TCAGCTTTGGTGGCAAAGGAAATGTTTCGTTTATTTGCCCTTCAGTTAGTCCTGAAAAGTCAATACCGTTACAGGAGCTGAACTGGTATCAGGCAAGGACAAGCTCTCCTTTCAGTGACACCTACGAAACACAAAAAAAGCCCACAGTGGCATTACATAAGTATACATGAAACTTAAAATCTAGTAACAGATTTCTGCTGGCAACACTTGGAACAGGAGAGAGCAGGTGTGAGCTGTTGGGGATACACTGACTGTAGTGTTGATGTGGGGGGGATTTACCTCTGAACCCAGTGAACTTGGGTGGTCGCTGAGCCACTGTGAACTTCAATTTGTGTTAGGGAACTGTGCCCCCGTTCATAAGGATTTATTCTTCAGCCACATGTTCTAAGGAGACAGAGTGGATCTGGGCTTTAATTTTGTAGGAAGATAGCAAGTGAAGCGTCCTGTAGGTGATTTGGCATATATTTATATATTTGGCATACATAAATACATATGTTTGGACTGACATATATATTTAGGACAGGAGGAAATGGAATGAAGCTGCCTCGGGGAAGTTCAGACTGAACACTAGGAAAAGGCTCTTCACTGGCAGGGTGGCTGGTCCATGGAACAGGCTCCCCAGGGAAGTGGTCATGCACCAAGCCTGTCAGAGTTCAAGGAATGTCTAGATGATGCTCTTGGCCATATGGTTTATATTTAGGTAGTCCTGCAAGGAGCAGGGTATTGGACTCAGTGATCCTTATGGGTCCTTTCCAACTTGAGATATTCTGTTATTCTGGCATGTTACTAAGGTTTCTTGATGATAACTTTTCTGTAATTTAAACTGAAATAGTAGATACTCCAAGTAGTATTAATGTTTAGTGAAAATATCACATTGAAATGCTGTCTTTAATGGTCATGAAAAATTCTACTTTGTATGTGGAATTTGCATGTGATATAGAGATTTATGTGTGACAGATATTATGGAATGTTAGAAATAAGCAAGTCTGCTCTGTAAAGAGGATTTATTTTCATTTCAGGCCGCCATAGCTGAATGATGCAAAGCTATTATGGGGTGGCCCTTTTCTAAGCTTTTAATGAAGCTAGGTTTTTAGAGCTGTTGATGGTGGCTGTTGAAGAGAAATGAGTAAAAGATTCTACCATTTCAGAGATTACGTGAACACTAAGTTTTTGACCCAGTCAGGATGTTTTCAGAACTACGTAATTTAGGAAGGAAGGTTTGAGCAAGCTACCTCCTTGTAGTGCAAACAAATGATTAACCTGCATAAATGGAGATCACTTTAAAAAAGGGAAAGAAAATATCATGATCTCTGCAGTCAGCATTAGGAGCAAGTCAATATCAAGGACTAAAAATCAATTGGATTCTGAGATTTAGGTGTAAATCCACAGTGAGATCGTACTTGGACTACCTTAATTTGTAAAAGTGATATGTAATTTCACTAGTTTTTCAAGATTTTCCTTCATCTTTAGAGAAGAGTTTCCTTTGTTCAGTGACAGAATGATCCCATGTCACATTCTAGTACAATCTCTGCTTATTAGACTTCCCTTTGCCTGTGTCCCACAAGGGACCTGATGGAGCAGGCCTGAGCAGCTCCCCCTTAGGTCTGCAAGAAGGCTGCTTCTGTTCAGACGTGGCTGCTGGTGGTACTGCTGCTTCTCTTTTTGCCTAGGCTAAGGGGGTAAGTGTGTTCAAGTTTTCAGCCTTGAAAAGGAGTGAAACTTGTGTACATCACTTTTTGTACATGTCCTGACTCCAGGCAATGTGGAGCTCTGAAGGGGATTGATCCCTGCCTTGTGTTGAACCTGTTTCCCTTTGAAGAGAAGAAAGTGTTCGTAGGCTGAGCTCCATGCTCACCATGTTACGTAGGAACTGGGGCATGTAGCTGCTGAAGAGGCACCAAAATGTTTTGTTCCTTGCTGAAAGAACTATCCCTAGGTTGGAGTGAATAATTGATTAATAAATATGAACAAAAGGTCTTTAAAAATGAAGCAAAATCCAAGACGTCTGCTTGGGTAGCTGAAGATGAGGGCTGCGGTTGTCTTTGAATATTCAGTCCTTTCATGGAATAGCTTCAAGGGGAGGGACTGAACTTGCCCCATCTCTGAACATGTGTTTGCATTCTTCTCTGTAAGATGAAAACATGGGTGAAAAGTATTTAAAAGTAATTGAATTTGTGTATCTTAGTGTGGGTGAGAAATGAAACGTAATGAAGATGGAAGGCGACACCAGCATCACTAACTAAAGAAAACCCTTTCTCTATTTTGGTGTAAGGTTGTTGAACTCCTGAGGTCGGTAACGTCTGGTGTGGAGATCTCCTTCTAGTGTTAGGCCTGGATAAAAGGAAACTAAGATAAAGCATTGTCATGAGTTGCTAATTAGCCAGTGCAGGCAGTGTTCAGTGCAACGCTGGCTCAATCTCCTGCTGTGAGGTTCTGAAACCTGTCCTTGCCTTGCTTAATGAATTGGTACCAAATTCAGGAGGCCCAGAGCCAGACATCTAACACTGCTCTTCACAGATCAAGCCCTTTGTGTTTAAAGGTTTGTTGGAATTCCTGCAGATTTGTGTCGTGTCTCTACCTTCCAAATAGCCCCTTATTATATCTGAACAAAATGTGATATTTGTTGGCTGGTGCTGTGTGCTGATAGATCAGAGAAGCAGACAGACAGTAACTGCTGAGCCTGGTGCTGTGGCCTTTCCCGAGAAGTGTGAATTGGAAGTTTTTCCAGATACCAATTTTCATGGAATGTATGCAGATTTCAGACATGATGCAACTCAAATCACGTCTGCTCAAAAGTGGTCCAGGGGTCCTGAGGTTCGTGTGCGAGAGGAGCAGACTAATAGAACAGCATGGTCACCTAAGCTTGGTTTCTTAAGGAAATCAGGATTAAACAATATTTGTCGTCCAAAAGTTGTAGAGTAACTACAGTGATTTTAATTAGTTGTAGAGAATGACATGGGATTAGGTAGCTAAAAGTTAATGTAGAATAAGAACGTCTCAATCTTACAGCTTCCATCCGTTGTAAATGGTAAGGCTGTTTGAGGGAGGTTTGAGGGCTTCACCTTTCCTTCTTTCTGCCCCACCTCCCAGATTCGTCAAATATTCTTCTGGTCTCAAATCATGAGAAAATCCGTCATTTACCACTGTTACCCCACTCCATTGCAACCAGCCCTGCAGTGGGCATACAGTGTTGCTGTATTAGGAACAGAAATTTACTCCACTGCAGTAGTTTTTATCTCTGAACTTGGGCTCGTGCGATTTTTCAGTTTGTCATCTGAAGTATTGCTTCTAAATGCAATAGTGTAAAATTTATTGTAACTATACTATCTAAAGAGCTTTTAAGTAAAAATCACCATTACCTTCTATGTTTGGCCAGTTTCTGTATCAGCCATTTTCTTGGGTTTAGGGTTGTTTGGTTTTTTGTTTTTTTTTTTTGCAGAGTGCTATTACAAACCCAAAATGATTTCTACTTCACCCTCTTTATTACATTCTCTCCTCCCTGTGTTTGCTCAGTTTAGAGCACTGGCTCAATCTGTACTTCAAGAGGACATCCCTGGAATACACTGCTTCTGACAAGGAGCAAGAATTTATTAAACATTGGGCTTATGCTTTTTGGAGGAGTTGACATGATAATGAGGAAATGGGAGATTGTTTCTTAACACGCTGGAGTGTTGGCAGGATTGCTGGCAGGCTTAATAGAGGATGGAGCCTCCTTTTGCATATGGCTACTGGAAGTTTTAGGAGTGGTGAGCTCTCCTCAGCTGTTTGCTGATTTAATTGGATTTCTTCCTGTCAAGAAATCTGAAGGACAACACATGCTTAGTGGAATCTCTCATTTATGGGGATGAACTGTCCACAGATAGATCTTTAAATTCAGTGGTGCACACTGGAAGAATCTGTTGTGTTAGTTCCTATGCTGGTCAGGAAAACAAACAACTCTATTTTAAAAGCTTGTCAGTCGAAAGGTGGCTGTTTCTTGTGAGTATCTCTGGAAACTGAATGTGGGGACTGTCTGAGAGCAGAGATTGCTGCTTTGGAGGTAATTACTGAGCAGTGTGGAAATAAAGACTGGTTTTTAGCTTGTAGTGACGTACCAGCAACTGAGCTGGTGTGGACTGGCCTTTCCTTCAACTTTTCACTGTGTGAGTCATGGCAGTAGCACACTTCCTGAGTTGTGCAGTTTGTGCTGCTTACCTGTGTGGCGCAGCCAGGTGGAAAGACACTGGTCTGGTTCCTGGGTCAGCAGTAGTATTGGTGTTCTTGGCTTAATGCTGGCACAAAGCTGTAAGGGAAGTGTGTGCTGCAAGTTCACGCTGCAGTTCTGTGCCTCTCTTGTCCTGCTGTTCTGGTAGGGAAGCTGGAGTGGATGTGCTAAAGGAAATGGTGGGATTCTTCGTAGAGGAATTAAAATCTTTCTAGGCATGTTGACTCATTGTTTGCTTTTGCTATTATTTGTTTTGCTTTTGAATTTCCTTCCTTCCAAGACACATGTAGTAATAGAGTAAAGAGGGCTGCAGTTTTTTCCTGCCTGCAAGGGCTTTGATTGTGCTTTCCTAGAAGTTGGGTGAAAATCAGTTTTGTGTAATGCATGTGAATAGTCTGGCTTATGTTGAAAGTGTTACTTCAGCAGTTTGGTTTGGAAGGGATTGGTTCCACTTCCAGTTTGTTGTGTTTTACACTTACTATGGGAATTCATTTTGGGGGGAAAATCACTGCATAATATTGAAAAGCTCACTGAGATAAGGACATCTTGTACAAGTATCCTGTTACTTAAAGGGCACTGAATGTTCATAGTACTAAATAGCGTTTCTAAACAGATGGTTATAATTAACATAAAATACATCCACAGATAGAGTCTGTTTGGTGTTCTCGTAATGATTTCAGTGGTCCGATACTTTAGCATTCATTAAACTGTAGCACAACCAACAATGGAATTGCAGCAGAGTTACTGGATTCAGACTGGAGGGGAGAGCTCATCGTCCTCAAAGCAATTACTTTTTTTCCATCATTGGAGGAAAAAAACCTAGGATGTTAAACATGTAATTATAGCATTTGTGTGTTTGCATTTCTAACAAGCTGCTAGGAGAAGCTTGTTCGTAGCCTTGAAGTGAACTAACTGGTCTCCAGGTTGCATAGAAAGTCAACATCATTGCACATTGCAGCAAAGGGTGGGGCTGCTCAGCTCTTAGATGGAGCTGTGGATTTCAGTCTGCATGATGTGAACGGTTTCGATGAACTACTTAGGCCTGTTATCTCTACCAAGAACTTAAGTTATATAAGGTGGGATGGCCTTCAGAACAATTTCTATAAATCCATGTTTTTTTTGGAACACATTTATGTAAACAGTTTTCAAGGCACTACTGCACAGCATGAGATGTTTCAAGACTTAATAGCAAGCCAGGTGAAATTATGGCTTGCCTTACTGTAAGCTTTGTCCCAAATACCTGGAATTTCAACACATCGGAGATTTTCTCGCTGTGAGTTCGTGGAAGTGAAGTTGGATTCCTGTGTAAGGTAGAGATGTGAAAAGCAAAATTGAATTCAGCAATCTCTGCCCTTGAGCGCTTCAACGGGTTCTTGGGAGAAGAGGGGAAGTAACACAAGAGAATCATAAAACTAAAACCTAACCTCTTATTCTTTTAGTGTTTTCTTATGGTTCTTAGCTTTTGCGAATTGATTTGTCTTTTACGGAAAGAAAGGCAAAGCTGTGTTTAGTTGGGTGTCTGATGAAGTCAGAATAAGCTCTGCAGAAGGGAGGCATTGCTTTGTTTCAAATGGAAATAACTTTTAACTGCCCCTCCCAAAAACATACACAAATTCTGTGTTTTCTCTGTGTAGAATGGCCTGGCCCATTCTACAACCAGGGAGTGCTGTCAGGATTTTGAAAACTCAAAGTCAGTTGAGATAGTGTGAGATGGTTACTGTGATTCATGCTTTTACGTGTTCTTTGCCAATAAATGTCTTCCTCCTCCTACACTAAAGGTGTATTTAATCCTGTGAGAAGAACTTTAATGCCATTTGTTGTGAATAGGTTCAACCTGTAGTCTGCATCTGTTCAGTTCATGAGCTCATTTTGGTACAGTTATTAAGCTAACGTGAGGTTGGGGTTTTTGATTACTTCAATATAAGGTTTTGGGTTTCTTCTGTAAAATACTGCAATGGTGGTTTGTTTATTTCTTAATGAAAAAAATCATTCTAAATTACCAGAAAGCATGTTTTAAATACTCTGTTATTCACTTACAGCTGCCAAAACATAGTACAGAGAAATAATGGTCTGCTAGCCTGCTAAACAAGAGTCCAGCTTCCACAATGCCTGTGCAGGCAGCTCAGTGGACAGAATTTCTGTCCTGCCCAATCTGCTACAACGAGTTTGATGAGAATGTGCACAAACCCATCAGCTTAGGTTGCTCTCACACTGTCTGTAAGACCTGCCTGAACAAGCTCCATCGCAAGGCATGTCCTTTCGACCAGACTGCCATCAACACGGACATCGATGTTCTTCCTGTAAACTTTGCACTCCTCCAGCTAGTTGGAGCCCAGGTATGATTTAAGCAGCTCTTTGGTTTGCCACTTTGTGTTATTACCATTTACATGCCAGTTGCAATACAGGTGCAGCTCTTTTTTCCTCGTTTTAGTCTTAAAAAATCGGTAAGACACAAACTTTGTTATATTTAGAAGTCCTCTAAGAGGACCAAACCATTTTCAGAACCGTCCTCATAAAACGTAACCATTGTAAAGTGAATTTTGGTTTAAAAAGGCTCTTGAACCATGACTGGAGAAAAAAATCCATTATGAAATAGTTCTGTCACAGCTGTCATTAGAAAAGTGAACCTACAGATTGCACTCATTCGTCGTATGCTCGCAAGGAGTCTGGTTTCTGCATGTCACATGTTCAAAAGTAGCTCGCTCTTTAACCACTTTCAGAAGTGTGTTTTGTGTTATTTGGGTTTTTGAAGTAGGCACGATGATGGGTTTCCAGTTGTGTTTTCAGACACTAGCTAATCAGGCCAGGAACGTTCCCTGCGCTGTCTCGTAGCAGTGGCAAAACAGCGATTATATAATCAGTACTGTGCCTTACAGAGACTAAATAAGTCTGCTCACCTTCTGCTGGTTCATATGCTTTGAGGTATTATTCTTCCTGTAACATCTGGGCATTTTAAGTGGCATAAGAAACAGTAAGAAGATACTTTTTACACTGCTTTTCAATGTCTTATCGCATGCCTCGACAGTGCTATTGGTAATAACACTGTATCAAAGTGGTTTTCTTTCTTAAGTTCATGTGTTCCTTTCATTTTTTTCATTTCTAACTTTGTGTCAGATCACAGCCTTGATCTTACAACAGTTATTTTCCCTGTCTTCTAACTTCTTGCACTGCCTTTCAAACAGTTTAATGTTTTGGGACTTATACTCCCTCTGTTCTCACTGCCTGACCTTGTTACTCTGGGTTTTTTCCAGCAAGTGAAGTTTGCTGGTTCTCCTTGAAGATTTCATCATGCCCAAATTATGCTGAAATGATTTTTTTAGCTTTGCTTTTGATTTTTTTTCATATTATTTTCCTGCCAGTTTGTTTTATAACTTCTCTTGTGTCTCTGTGGTAAATCATGCTGATCTTGTACACTGATCATCCTCTCAAATCTTTTGTTCTTCATTCATCTTTTAAGTACCTTCTCATTAGACCTCCATTATTGTTTTCTATCCTACTTATGTTCTTAACGTGTTGAGTACTAACAAAAACAATCTTTCATCATCCCAACCCTCATCTTGTTCCCTTTTTGTTATTCTTTACTACATTCTACCTACCTTTGGTGAGTCCCATCTCCCAATTCTCTGAAAAGCAGTGTAAATCTGCGGTGTTACATATTAATAGTAGCAATGTTGGTGCTGTCGAAGGCATATCAGGTAGCCTGGTATGTAGAATTATTCTCTCTCCTCCCCTTTGCATTTTCGTAGGTACCCGATCATCAGACAGTAAAGTTGAGTAATGTGGGAGAAAACAAACATTATGAAGTAGCAAAGAAATGTGTTGAGGATTTGGCACTCTACTTAAAGCCATTAAGTGGAGGGAAAGGTGAGTCTCTGCTGAAGAGTGGAATTTTGGTGAAGCTTTCTTTGAACAGCACTGTGTTTTCAGCACTGATTTTATACATCAAAAGAATAATCCTCTCATTTTTGTGATAAAGTTTCCCATATGGCTTTAAAAGCTTGTTCACACTTGTGACACTTGGGTTTTTTAGAATTTAAGTTCACGAGATATTCTTTTTTTATTTAATATTACTACTTTGAGGCTAACTTTGTACTAAAGCTGCACTTTCCTTAAAGGTTGGGCTTGATGTCCATGTAAGACTTTAAAATCCTTTTTGATAACGCAGTTGCTGAAGAGAAGGCAAGATGCCTGTGACTAGTGTCCAGGTCCTAAAGAAAGACACGTATTACTACACCTTTTTGTTTTACACAGATAAATTCGTATGGATAAAAGCAATAGCTTGCCTTTTCTCTCTTCCTTTGAAGGTGTTGCAAGCTTGAATCAGAGTGCACTGAGCCGTCCAATGCAAAGGAAGCTTGTGACGTTGGTGAACTGTCAGCTGGTGGAGGAAGAGGGTCGGGTCAGAGCTATGAGAGCAGCTCGATCACTGGGAGAGAGAACTGTCACAGAACTGATCTTGCAGCACCAAAATCCTCAGCAGCTTTCTGCCAATCTTTGGGCTGCTGTCAGGGCACGAGGATGCCAGTTTCTAGGACCAGGTAAGGTACCTGTACAGGCTGCAGCAGAGTACATTTAGCTATACCTTGTTATAACAAGGTTGCAGCATACTTCAGTCTTAAAGTTTATAATGATCATGTTTATAACTTTGATAGAAACAGCAAATTCTGTGAGTGCTGCTGAAGCAGGCACAGAAATGAGAAGGAAATAATGTTTAAACTGAAATTAGTCCTCTTTTTATTCCAGTAACTGATGTTAGCATTCCTGCACACTGTCCCTGTATTTATTTTATAGTTCCATGGTGTAGCATTGATAAGACGCTACAGAATTACAAAGGCTGCATGATTGCATGGTGGAATAAAATATAGAACCTGCACTACTGATGTGTTTATTACTGAAAATTAGTCATAGCTTTTTGTTTGCTGTGCTTTGAGTGCTTCTAAATACTACTTCTAAATCAGCAAACTTCTTAAAATGCTTACAAAGCTTTTTTTCTTATGATTAGGGAAATAAAAAATAATAAGGAATTACATTGAGATGATTCAGATGCCTAGTTATCATGTTAATATATGATAGCCTTGCTGATTTCTGGCAATGTGTTTCATCTTTTATTCTTGTGTGTTAAAGCTATGCAAGAGGAGGCACTGAAACTTGTATTACTGGCACTGGAAGATGGCTCTGCACTCTCAAGAAAAGTTTTGGTACTTTTTGTTGTGCAAAGGCTAGAACCAAGATTTCCTCAGGCCTCTAAAACAAGTATTGGTCATGTTGTGCAGCTACTGTATAGAGCATCTTGCTTTAAGGTAAAATACCAATGTTTGAAGTTTGTTTGTGCCTTAGTGCAGCTCCAGAGAACCTGACCTAGGATTAATATCTTTCACCTGTGAAATGTTGCATAAATTCATTTTCTACACATTTAAATAGTACAGACTGTAATCAGTTTCTACACATTTAAATAGTACAGGCTGTAAGATGTTTATCTAGAGCTGTCATGAAATAGTTGTTTGGTATTTAAAACTCCCTGCAAAAGGAACAAATGTAGTACTGGGAACTTCCCTAGCCCCAACACCAGGCATGAGAGAGGGACACCAGAGAGAGATTGCTCTCAGCCTGAGCTCCGGCCTTGTGTTCCCACATATTTGTCACTCTTTAGCCTTTCTTTTGTCTGTATCTGGCCACCTTGCACTGAAGAGGTTCTTTATTTTTGATACATAAGGGTGGCTTGTTTAAACTGAATATTCCCAACTCTTTATATCTGGAGAAGAATGAAAAGTTAATTCCATGGGTCTTTGTTCCTTTTTGAATCACAATTAAAAACATGATTATCACAACATCACTAAACATTAACATAACAAGACCTGTTGCTCTCATTTGTGACAAATACCTTCTCTAACCTAAGAGTTTTACTTAACTTTTACATTGGGCTTTCAGTTAAATATTCTAGGTTTAAAATGTCATTATCTTAAAATTGTCCTTTTTGTTAAGTTGCTTCTGGAGGCTTTCCTGTTTCTTTAAGTCATCTTTTAATACTGTGTAGCAAAAACTACTAGTAGAATTACTAAATATGTAACTGGGACTTAAGCAATCTGATTACTTTGTAGTTGGAAGTAGCAAGTTACTGAAGCTTTGCATCAGTGATCCTGTAGAAACTCGAAGGGCTGGTGTGTCTGCTTGTGTGCGCTGCTGATTGAGTGAATACGTGGAAAAGAACCAAAGTATATGCTGAATATACAAACCCAATACTTTTGTGATTTGTGCTGTATAACTGTCTTTTTCTAATGGACTTGGAGATTTTTTTGTTAAAGGAGGAGTATTTAATTATTCCTGTTTATTAGGTCACTAAAAGGGATGAAGATTCTTCTCTGATGCAGCTTAAAGAAGAGTTTCGGAGTTATGAGGCTTTGCGGAGAGAACATGATGCCCAAATTGTTCACATTGCCATGGAAGCAGGACTTCGAATATCACCAGAACAATGGTCTTCTCTTCTGTATGGTGACTTGGCACATAAATCACACATGCAGTCCATTATTGACAAGGTTTGTCAAAGGCACGATTTTAGTATCTTTGTAGGATTATATTAGACTATTAAATGTTGTACTAGAAATCTCAAGAAATGCTTGAGTTAACTTTCTGTCTTTAGTTATATAACATATTAATTAAACTAGAATGAAAGGGGTTTTCCCACTACAGCGTCTTCTTCATATGAAGACATTTTGATGTTCAGTAGTTTAAGACTAATTCCCTTTTATGTGTCTTATGATGAAGCTTCATAGGGCAGATTCTGAGATGAGAAATAAAATTTCTCTCCACTGATACTCTCTGTATGCCATCTGAAGACACGACATAATGCATTTAGAAACCAGTGTAATGAAAATCTTTCTCAGATCAGTAGTTCACGGTTGTAAAATGCAGCACACTAATGCTTGCTTTGTTTTCAGCTCCAATCTCCAGAGTCTTTTGCAAAGAGTGTACAAGAATTGACAATTGTCTTGCAGCGCACGGGAGATCCTGCAAACTTAAACAGGCTGAGGCCTCATTTAGAGCTCCTGGCAAACATAGATCCAAATCCAGGTATGCAGATGAAGCTTTTTAAACATTCTTTTGATGTTTTTTGTATATAACAAAGAAAATTATTAAGATAACTTCCATTCCTTGTTTATGAAATTCCTGTCTGTTACTATATAATAAACTCTTCTTCAGGGCTGTCTGAGTTCTGTCCTAGTACTTGGTGTTTTGAAGTACTAGAAGAGTCGCCTTTTCTTATTTATGTTACTACTGGAGTTATTGTCAGAATGACCAAGCCTGCTTTTAATGATTTTTAGATGCAGCATCTCCAACATGGGAGCAGCTGGAAAATGCAATGGTTGCTGTAAAGACTGTGGTACATGGGCTAGTGGATTTCATTCAGAATTACAGCAGAAAAGGCCATGAAACTCCACAGGTAACTATATATGTCTTAATGTACAGTTACTGAATGATGTAATTTTGAGAAGTTACTATTGCATTGAAACATTTATGGCCTTGTCTGTGGAATAATTGATGATACTGTTAACTGCATTCAGGTTTTGAGAACTTAACATTTCTAAATACGGAATGCAGCAGAACTTGCTATAGTGAGATCCATATAATGGTATAGTCTTTATCCCATCAACAAGAAATTTCCTTAATTTTCTGATTAAAGATGCAAAATGTATAATCATTTTGAATGTGACTTGTGTATTTTAAATCTGCTTTTATATAAATTGTCTGCTAGGTTGTAAAAGGAATGTCTGGTGGTTTGATTTTTTTCTTTGTATAGCCACAACCAAATAGCAAATACAAAACAAGTATGTGCCGAGACCTTCGACAGCAAGGGGGATGTCCAAGAGGAACAAACTGTACATTTGCTCATTCTCAGGAAGAGCTCGAAAAGTGAGTCTGGGAGATTTTCTTCTTCTTTTCTTTTTTTTTTTTTCTTCTTTTTAATTTAAATCCAAGAATCTCCGTAGAATTTTGAAAATAGTTTCTTCTCTACATTTATTCATTTGGAAGGATTTGTGAATCCCGATATAAAATTGAAACTACAATAAAGCCTGCAAGCGAATTCCAGGTTTATTTTCTATTTTACCTCACATGAAGTAAAATTTCCTGTCCCAAAATTAAGTCTAGGCTCGGGGGCTGTCAGGAATTGCTTATATCAACTACAAGGTGGAGAATGTTAATTACATTTTAATTGTTTAAGGAATAAAGCGAGTTATTCCAACGTGTGCGTTCTTGAAACTGTTTTCACCCAAAACCATTTGCAAAGAACTGCAGAAGTGGATCTTCTAAGAGGAGAGGTGATGTTTGGTTATAGAGGAAGATGTTGATGTTCAGTTTGCAGATTGTTGAAAATAAGAACCATGTTTTGGAGTCTTGTAATTTTGTTCCTACCACATTCCTCTCAATCCCTTCCTTTTGCTAGTTTTACAAATACATTAAAATTCATAATTACCACTGTTTAAATCTTTTGTCTGTTTAAATGTGCTTGTTTATAGATACCGCTTGAGGAACAAAAAAATCAGTGCAACAGTGAGAACATTCCCCCTTCTAAATAAAGTTGGCGTAAATAGCACCGTCTCGACCACAACAGGAAACGTAATTTCTGTCATAGGAAGCCCTGAAGCAACAGGGAAGATGGTGCCAAGTACTAATGGAATAGCTAATCTGGAAAGTGGGGTTCCCCAGTTGATCCCTCGCTGTGCAGACACCTCCTTGAGAGCTTTGGAGAACACCAAGAAGGGAGGGAAGACTGGAGCCAATGGCCAGAATGTTTCTGGGTCCCCTACAGAATCACTACCTGAAAAGTAGGTAACCTTTATGCATAAAGGTAAATAAGCACAACATTTTGCTTGTGGATTATCATGGAGTTTGCGCTGGCAAGCAATACATGCTGGATTCTGGTCCTGGCTTGCTGTTGTTGATGCTTACTGACTGCAGACTTGTGTAAGATGTACTGCAGTGCAGGTGTAGTTATACGTAGTCTGTGGACTCAAGCTGTCAGAGCCAGCATCAGTTGTTTTAGCTGTTGAATACTCCTATGCCATAGAGATGAAATGGTAAATCTCCCCCTTTATCTTTTATTCTCTTATTCTCAGCCTTGTATCTTGCTTGCTGTTGGGTTATTGCATACAAATAAAACAAAAACTTTGCATTCAAAATTTGATGTTTCCTGAAATCAGAAAGGATGCACACTGTGCACCTTAGCACTTCCTTAATAATCTTGGAAACCTCCTAGTTCTGGGGTTTGCCTTTAAAACTTTTTAGATACTTCCCCAGGAAGGCCTGAGGCTCTAAACAGCTTTTCAGAACTTTTGTCTTTACCACAGTGCACTTACAAGTGGTATGTAAGCTTCTGGTTACATACCAAAACGTTTATATCCACTTTTGAGTTCTCTTAGATCGAAGTCTAAGATGTAGGATCATTTTGGGGTGTGAGAAACAAAATTCCAGAGGAAATTACATAGCCCAAATTTGCACATTACATGGGAGTGTACATGGAGAGATGACTAACTGAAATAAGTCAAGATCTGCCTAATGATTTCTTGGTAATCCTTTTCAGTAAAATTGGTTCTCCACCCAAGACTCCTGTAAGCCAGGCAGCAGCTACCTCAGCTGGTCCTCCCAATATTGGAACAGAAGTTAATTCTGTACCTCCAAAATCCAGCCCGTTTGTTCCCAGAGTACCCGTCTACCCTCCACATTCTGATAATGTTCAATATTTCCAAGATCCCCGGACTCAGCTATCATATGAAGTTCCACAGTACCCACAGACAGGTGAGTGAGATGAGCACGGAATCACAAACAGCTCTGAACCTCTCTGAATGCTGAGAAATAACTTTGATCTCAATGTTTTATATTTGTTTTGTTAATATCAGATGAATCTTCACTTAATGGAATACTAATCTGGTCATTTTAACCTCCTGTGTAAAGAGGTGTGTAAGATGCTGTCTTTTCAGTTACATATGGTACATGTTATACCGTAGTACATAGGAGCAATGGCAATTGGTCAAGGTGGAAGAGGGTCAGCGCATCATCTCCAAATACAGTTGTCATATGTGAAATTAGCATTCCACAGGAAAACAATAGGGCCAGTAACAGGTTTGTAAAGTGTGACTCTTCATTCTCTAAACGTACTTATTAACAATATTTACAGTTTTAGAAGGTGTTAAATTGTGGGTCATTTGTGGTTACATTAAATATGCCTTTTTCCAATTTTTAAGGATATTATCCACCACCTCCAACAGTACCAGCTGGTGTGGCTCCCTGTGTTCCTCGCTTTGTGAGGTCCAATAACGTTCCAGAATCCTCCCTCCCACCTGCTTCCGTGCCATATGCCGATCATTACAGTACATTTCCCCCTCGAGATCGACTGAATTCTCCTTACCAACCTCCTCCTCCGCAGCCGTATGGACCAGTTCCTCCTGTCCCTTCTGGAATGTATGCTCCAGTTTATGACAGCAGGCGCATCTGGCGCCCACAGATGTACCCACGAGATGATATTATTAGGAGCAATTCTTTACCTCCCATGGATGTGATGCACTCATCTGTCTATCAGACATCATTACGTGAGAGATACAACTCTTTGGATGGGTATTACTCTGTGGCTTGTCAACCACCAAATGAACAGAGGACTGTGCCTTTACCAAGGGTAAGTGAGCCAGAAAGGGAAGGAGGTAGCCTTGGCTCTGAAGGCTATTACTGTAAAGTTGGCAAGTAATCAGCATAGATGTCTTATCTTTATTTGGGATTACAGTAATCAAGACATGTGACCTGGACAAAGTTCTGGGGTTTTTACCCATTATAAAATGGGTTGTAAAATAGACTGATCTGCATTAGGATCAGAGCCTCTCTGCCTCTCTAGTTCCCATGCATGTTGCTTGAATTAATTACATATTTAATATTTGAGCTGCTATACATGGGCAAGGTCCTCCAAATCCTTGTGAAATTCTTCAAGTGATATCAGTGCAAGGTTAAAGACCCAAGGGAATCTGAGGGTCCAGGTGTGTCCTTGGCAAGTATTTGCCTTTTGATTATAGTATGATCAGGTATGCAGTCCTATATTTATTGTTGCTAGGAGCCTTGTGGGCATTTGAAGACTGGTTATGAAGAGCAGTTAAGACGGAAGCCGGAGCAATGGGCACAGTACCACACGCAGAAAACTCCTCTGGTATCGTCAACCCTTCCTATGGCAACACCATCTCCAACACCACCTTCTCCTCTCTTCAGCGTAGATTTCAGCACAGAGGTGGGAAGCCAAAGAACTTCTTTATCTTCCCTTCCTGTTTAAGATGTCAGTCAATAGTTCTAGTAAAGGTTTTCCACCTACTACCTGTTGCTCATAAAATTAAATCTTCTAGCAAAAGGAAAGTAGTATCTATTAACAGATGCATTCAGTTTGATATTAACGTGATGCTGTACATGATTGTGGGGAAAAAAGGTCAAGAAATGAAGTGATTCAGTTTGCCCTCACTAAAGGAAATGTAATGTTACTGAATTAGCACTGTGAGCCCCCAGGTTTTTGTGTAGGGAGCAGTTGTTTTCTATTAAGAAGGACCTCCCTTTTCATACTCCAAATGGCATTATAAAGTGATGAATAGACTGAATCAAGCTGGGAATGCTTGTTAAGTCCCAGATAATACATACCTCTTAAAAGCAGCAAAAGGCATTGGTAGAACATTTTTTATTTTGTAAGTTCTGTACATGGAACTTAGTAAATAGGAACAGTGTGATTTTGGGGAAAAAAAATAAATTTTGTGATATTTACTTTCTACGTGTACTTTTAATGCGTAAATTAAACGCATCCAAAAAGCTAGTTTGAAGAACCACTGTGCCAAGCCCTCTTTGCTGTGGTTTGACAAGTCCATTGACGATATTTTGGTGTTAGACTCTGATTATTCAGAAAAAGTCTTGTAAAGTGAGAGTACCTGAAGTCCCCTGTGGGTGCGTTCAAGGTAGATCAGGATATATGTAGTCCATTTCATCCAAGTTGAAGGGTTCAAAGTCATATTTCTATCTGCCACTGGCTTATACATTAAAGGAAAATGCATGGCTTCTTCTCAGTTTAATTACTGTAGGTGTTTGCCTGAAGCAACTTGCCACTAGCGTGTGAGGCTAAAATCAGTGTCACTATCTTGGCAGTCCAGGCAGTTATTTGTAGTGGCAAAGCTTTCCCTTCTTTGACAGCTGTCACCTGCACTGGTTTAAATGAGTCAAAAATGGGTTATGTTGTCCCTAAGTAAAGTCTTGAATACAGCTAGAACTCCATGATTGACTTCTGAAATAATTTAACAGCAGTAAATGTCTTTTCTTATTTTAAGACTGAATTCCCTGGTTTTATTATTCACTACTTATTTATTCCCTTTTCCATAGTTCTCAGAAAATGTCAGTGATTTGAGTGGAACTAAATTTGAGGAAGACCATCTCTCTCACTATTCACCGTGGTCTTGTGGCACTATTGGCTCTTGTATAAATGCTATTGACTCGGAGCCCAAGGATGTGATTGCCAATTCAAATGCCGTGTTAATGGTAGGGGTTTTCTGCATGTTACCTCATTAGTGTAATCATACTCACATGCTGAAGTGTCTTCTGCTTGGTTATACAAAGCTTTTAAAAGTTGGTAGCTTCTATTCTTAGTATTTTGAAGCAGTTCTGCCCATTGGAGGTTGTTCAGAGTATCTTCTCCCAGTTTTGTAAATGAACTGTGTATTTACTTCAGTGACAGAATGTAGTGCCATGAGAGGGGGGAAAAAAGCTATCTGTGAAAATAGGTACAAAAAATAGGTAGTATGAATCATGGAATGCAGATCACCTCTGGAGGGGTAAGAGCTCATGTTTTTGGGAGACTTCCTGCTATATAGTGTGGCAGGTTGCCTTTATATTGTATGAAACAGGTGTAATCAAGTCTCATCTCAAGCCTTCTTTGATACTGCCTCTTTCAAGTGCAGGGAAGGGTGTTGGTGGATCTTTAAGCATACTGGAATTTTTTCTGCCTGGAAACACAAGCTTGGAAAGGCAAAATTATTTCTTCTAGAAATGGTGGTAGCTTTCTCGTGGTCAGTTTGCCATTAAAGGGCGATAATAGTTAAACCATGGAGGCCCAACTTGGCTCTGTAGTTGGACAGATTTTCAGCATTGTATTCAGGAACAATAATCAGAAAGTTGTTGGCCAGCTGAAGAACCTAAATAACCTCAAGTGAGTCCATGTATCTTTTTATCTCCTAAATACGTAGGATTTGGACAGTGGAGATGTTAAAAGGAGAGTGCATTTATTTGAAACTCAGAGAAGGGCAAAGGAAGAAGATCCTATAATCCCATTTAGCGATGGACCGATCATCTCCAAGTGGGGTGCAATCTCCAGGTCATCCCGCACAGGTTATCACACAACAGATCCTATTCAGGCCACTGCTTCCCAAGGAAGTGCTACTAAACCCATCAGTGTATCAGGTACAAGTATAAGCTTTGTATGACAATGTAACATACATCATGAGCATTTCATCCCCTTCATGCTTGCTACAGCAGTGAAGATTCAAAGAGCTACAATATCTGTATAACCCATTTGAAGAACAGAGAAGATAATGAATTGTGTGTTCATTTGTTACAGATTATGTCCCTTATGTCAATGCTGTTGACTCAAGATGGAGTGCCTATGGCTCAGATTCTGCTTCATCAGCACGTTATGCAGAACGGTATGGACTGTTTTCTGTGTTCTGTTAAAAGAATTGTCTATACCTTAGTGTAGTGTTCTTCAAAATCCTGAATCTGGTGGGGGAAAAAAATCTGGAGCTATTAATAATGTTCTGAATTTTAAAGTAAAAATTAAAGTAAAATGTTTTCTGTCAAGCATAAGGCCTTGGAAAAACTAGGTTAAAACTTGTGTAGTCTTTAATACATAATGCAGCTAATAATACCCCATTACTAGCAACATATCCCTTGAGAGACCTCGTCAGAGAATTGGTGTCAGGTACTACCAAGCTGTCATGTCAAAATGTGCAATCCTGAGTTGTTTCTCTCAAGTTTTCTTGCCACATTTTACTCATATGTAAAATAAGGATGTTTGTTTCATATAATATCTTGGGGTATTGTGAGCCCCAGTGAAGGTGAAGAGTGCATTATCTTAATCATAGAGTTTCTGTCCAAAAATCTAACACTGATAGACTAAGGAAGTTTATGGGGCCTTTGATTTAGAGAACTTGTTCTTAATTCCTAGTTTTGCCTTCTTTCTCTTGAAGGGACAGGTTCATAGTTGCAGATTTGTCGGGTCACCGAAAGCATTCCAGCACTGGAGATCTATTGAGTATTGAATTGCAACAGGTAAGATGAGAAATTATATCATGTGTTTTTAATAATTACAACAAAAGTGATTTAGTAAAGTGATTTTAAATTGATTTTCTTAGTGTAGCCTACAGAAAATAGTACAATTGACAGAATGACCAATAAGGGTTAACTAGGTGCCAGTCCTGCAGTGCTTAGTATGATGCATAAGGACAGCTAGCATGAGCTGTTCCACTGACATTAGCAAGGCCATTTTGGGAGAAACTGGTGAGCCTGATACATGTCAGCAAATGCAGAACAAAATAAATGCATTAAAGGAAAACATAGTTATCCATCTAGCAGGGGAACTGTCCCTTTGGTAGGCTGGTTTATTTTACCATTTGACAATACATGGTTGGTAACCGATACGTTTCTTTCCATAGGCCAAAAGTAACTCATTATTACTTCAGAGAGAGGCGAATGCACTAGCCATGCAACAGAAGTGGAATTCTCTAGATGAAGGCAGTCGTCTTACCTTAAATCTTTTAAGCAAGGAAATTGATTTGAGGAATGGTGAGGTAAAGAAAGGGGTAATTGGGATGAAACAAATTTGAGGTTTTGTGTATATACATAAGTGCATGCATTTTAGCCAAGAGCTAAAAATAGTTTTATCATTCCCAAATATTTCTAACATGTTCTTTGCAAGTTAAGTCACTGTTGTTGTTGTTGTTGTCTGGTTATTTCCCTGAGATTGGGTAGGTGCATCTGCAGTGCCGCTGCTCCAACCATCCATTTACAAAATGGGGAGAATGTGACAATCCATTTTCATGCAGTCTTTACTTTCCATTCTGTTGTACATGTTAGAAACATAAACATTGTGTCAGTGGACTCCTACAGAATTTTCTACCTCAGAATTCATTTTATCTCTCTGTTTCAGTACTTTAATGTGATTAGATGTAGTTTTGTCCCCTATTTTGTCTATGCTCAAAGTTCTATTTGTGTTTGTCTCGTGTGTTTAGAAATGTTGTGTCCTAGAAATGAATCTGATGTTTTCACTGTAATACTTGAGTGTTGTATGGAGCAGGTGAAAAGCCAGCTTGATATTACAGAGCATATTCTTTTTTTTTCAGACTGATTATACTGAAGACTGTGCAGACACAAAGCCAGATCGAGACATTGAATTGGAGCTGTCAGCCCTGGATACAGATGAACCTGATGGGCAAGGTGAACAAATAGAAGTAAGTACAGAAATCTGTGCATCTAAAGAGTTCACTGGGTCCTTTCATTAGTTACTAAGAAACTTTTACAATTTCTATGTGAATTAGTAGATCACTTTGATAGCAGGATCCTGTGTTTAGTCTTTGTAGTGATATCAAACGCTTGCCTTATTTGAACACTAGGGGTCTCGCTGAGATACCTGGCAGTTAGTATTACCAAGTTGAAAACAGCTCGGTGTGTTGTCACAGCTTTCAGCTTTTTGCTCTTTGATGACATTAGTAATGGGGAGTCTGTCCTTTCCCCTTCCCCTCCGGTGTTGAAACTGTAGTTAAGAATGGTTTATGTTTAAGTGTGATCATTTAACTTAAACTTTATGCTCACCTGGGTGCTAACAGTAATTTAATTGTAACCCAATGTTCTTTTGTTTTCACTACTACTTCATTGTTTGTAATGTAACTGGTGCATCTTTCTTTTGCTGGGCAATGTTAAAACATTCTTGAGTTCGTTCCAAACATTAGGATCAGTTGTCCTTTTTTAAAACATTAAATTAACGTTCTTATCTGGAACATATCTCGTAACACACTTCCCAATACTCACTTACAGTACTGGTGACAGCTTTTGTTTGCTCTGCCTGAGGTTTGTGAAGCAGTAGTATTTTCTATTTTGTGTCTTTTGTTAACCGTCCTGCCACTTGATTTGTGAATCACCACTACGTGGATGGAAGGATCTTTCTCTTCAGCCTTACCTCTGTCCATGATTATTGAAACAGCTCTCACTTTACTGCCTCCTTCCTCTCTCACCTGATAAGCCATTTTTTTAGCAACTGATGTTTACCATCATCATTCACTGCAGTCTTTGAAAGATTGTTTTTTCCTTTTCCCTATAGTAAAATAATGTAGACATTGCAAAGCATGAAATAAAAACAAGGAGTCTTTTGACGAGACTCTGTTTCTGTCAGTTTTATGTAGTGGAACATATTAAGAAAATTTAAAGCTGGTTGTGACAGTGTTGATGGATATTTCTCCTTTTCCTCTCTAGGAGATTCTGGATATACAGCTAGGTATTAGTTCTCAAGATGATCAGCTGCTCAATGGGACAACTGTAGAGAATGGACATCTGCTAAAACAGCACCAGAAAGAATCTATGGAACAGAAGAGACAAAGTTTAGGTGAAGACCTTGTGATTCTGTGAGTGTTAGACAAAACAGCAGTGTCTGCCAGTTTTAGACAAACAGCAGCATCAGAATAGGTGAATCATGGTTGTTTATGGATGAACTACGTACCTACTCAGACTTGGATTAGACATCTGCATTGTGTATACATGGTGAAGTGAGAAGAACCTGTTAAGAAATAGAATTAGGTCACAAATACAGAAGTCACAGGATGGCACCATTGTTCATATGCATTGTTGTAATCATATACACTAAAACGTGTCACAGCTGTTAAAAATACCTTTCACATTCAGTAAGCAAAAAAATGCAAAAGTATTTTTATAGTTAACAGAAATCAAGAAAACTCCAAAAGGTGAAATGTCCTCCTGTTTGCACAAATCTCCATAGAGAGGTAGTTTTTAAAATACACTATTTTAGGTTTCTATGTTCTGTAGTCTTTACTGTGTAATGCAGCCTTTGAAAATGAGGCAGACTACACCTTGAGCGTACCGTTCCACAGTAAGCTGTTTAGCCTGTTGCTAAAAAGGAGTTGATGTCAGTATTTATTTAATGCACACAATTCAGTTGCGGATACTTGTGCATGTACTTGTTTAATATTTGTGTAACTTATTTTTCTCCTCAGGGAGGAGCAGAAAACAATCCTGCCCGTAACTTCTTGCTTCAGTCAGCCGATCACATCTGTTAGCAATGCAAGCTGCCTGCCCATCAGCACAGCAGTCAGTGTTGGCAGCCTCATTTTGAAAACTGCTCACATTATGTCTGAGGATAAAAATGACTTTTTAAAGCCTGTTGCAAGTGGCAGGATGGTTAACAGCTGAAAGGCATTCATCTTTCCAGCTTGTGACCACACCATGGAAGCATTTACACTAGCTTTTTATATATATAATATATATTATATAATGTATATTTTTTTTAAAAGAATAATATTGGGGTCATGCATTTCCTGTGGACTCTTTGATACTTCAAGCCCCTCTCGCATTAGCATTCTGAAGAAAAAAAAAAACTTACTTTCCTAGGGTAAGGCGTTCACTTTCCACAAATGAATGGAATTTGGACATTGTTTTACTTAAGCTTAAAGCAGCTTTTTATGAGTTTGTAGCAATCCGGTGCGGTATCTGAGCCATTCTTGTTTAAAATGGCTTCTGTAGAAAACTAACAACTCAGTTATTTAAACTAGCAGGATCCTACGATGATACATCTAGTGAAAGGAAGACTTAACTTATTTGTCTCTATTTTGTTTCATGAGAGAAGAACTCGTGTCTTGTTGCAGCTGCTTTTTCTTTAGTTGTGGAACTTTGCATGGAGTATTGTTTCCTGTTTGAAGACTGAGAGGTGGAGATTCGGACTTGAGACTTTTACAGGGTTAACACACCATTAGCTTTGCACTGCTGCGTTATTTGCAGGTCTGTGGTGCAGTGCTTTGCTGCAGCTTTTTTGTTTCCATTTCCCCCCCCAATTTCTGCTTTAGTAATGTAGATACACATACACAGGCTACTTGTCCAAGTAAAGTTATCAGAAGTAAACCAAGTGCCTAAGTCCTCCAGCTAATGTACTAGGTATTGATTTCCCCAAGTTATACGTAAACGATTTTCAACCATTTTGAGAGGTTATGCACTAATGTAACAGCAATTTTGGTTTTTCTCTTTTTTTTCTTACTGATAGTTCTCAACTTGGAGATTATAGAATCCAGATGACTTGGCAAAAAGTATCAGGTGCTCTTGGCTTTCCTTTGAAAACCCTGTACGTAGTGTTTGCACTGACTAACAAAGATGGTATTGCTGTTTTTTGTACTGTTTTGTTCTTAATTTAAACTAAGTATTGGGAATTTAAGGCGGTTGTATTACCTTTGTTAAATGTTGTTAATCATAATTTTGTATTCAGGTTTAATTTTTGCTTGTTCAGTGGCAACTTATTTTCAAAGACCTTGAAAATACAATAATAGAGCATTATCTGACCTTCAGAGTACTGAAAAGCGTAAGAATTTATGCCCTGCTAAGGTGTGACTGAGAATCATGTTAGACATGTCAACTGAAAATTGGTTTTCATAAATACACATGAAATAGAACCCTGGGCATATATTTTGTTGGTTTGAGAAGCTTAAAAATCCACTCTTTTCTCTTTTGGGAAAGAAAGCAGGACTCTCCCTCCTGATGGTGACTCTCTTCTTGTTCGTCCTCTTCCTTTTCTTTGTGACAAGTTTTACATTTTATTTTATTTTTCTTTTCTTTTTTTTTATGTTTTTTATTAACTTCTGTGAAGTTGTTTACTCTGAAAATTGTACTGGAATATTTTAAGCCAAGCTGATCTTTCACCAGGTGTACTGCATGTAAGGGCTTTTCCTGCTAGCAAAAATGCTTAAAGAGGATCATGTTACTGGTCGTCTGAGTTGTTATTTTACAAAATCACAGCTATGTGGTCGGGTAAGATTTTGATAACTGTTTTGTGCACGCTTCTGGGGGGTGGGGGTTGGCATTTCCCTGAGGGTTCCTGATTAGACTAAGTACATATTGGTGTTTGATATCTCTCCTAATGAACCTGTCCATGAGATAATTATGTTGTAAATATACCTGAAAATCCAAGGGTTAGTTTTGATATTCTGGTGTCAGTATGGAAGATCTTACACATCTATTTAATACTCCAGTGTAAAGGAATGTATGTAGAAAACCAGTTGAGTAGTCTTTTCTTAGTTTCCTTTGGCTGTTGCTGTACCTTCCTATAGCCAGTGCCACCTCATAGCTAGGATTAGACTGATGCTTTGTTTCACTTGCAACTTGAAGTGAATGGACACAAAAACCAGACCACCTTTGTCACCTTAACTTATTTCCTATCGATGTTAACTTTAACTTAGAATGTTAGACATAAATATGATTGTTGTATATTTTATACCAAGGCCATTATGTAAATATGAATTTATATTACTTTTGAAATGCTTCTGAGATACTATTATTTGCTGTACAATGTAATTCCAAAACAGATATGCAAACAAGTATGTCTCTTTCATGGATATTTAAACAGTGAGATCTTCCATGTTGAAGGTGATGTAATTTTTTTAAAAGATTTTTAAATTTTAAATTGCTATTTTGTTACAAAAATAGAGAAAATATAAAGGTTTGAGAAGTCCTTATTTGCCCTCAGGGAAAGAGCCCTCTGTGCACCAGAACTCCACAGAACATCTTCAGCATGATCTGAGGGTGAATATATACTACATAAATTGATTGTGTATTTACCTTAACTTTTTAATTTTAAAATTGCAACTTTAAAAACTTGGTTGTGCTCTGCTGGAGGGGGGTTGGGATAAGCTGCTTACACACATTTGCCTGTTTGTCCAGTGAAATTACATAAGCCTGAGATCCTCCTGCTAACCAGACTGGCATATTTAACAACAGATGTATCTATATATACTCTTATCTGCAGCAGGAGGTCCCATGATAGAGCAGTTTGCTAGGATGACCATACACTTCAAATGGAAAGTTGGTTCTTAACTGGGGCTAGGGGGTTTATTTTAGTTGGATTTTTTGCTATCTAGAATGACAGGCAAAAGAATTCTTTAGGGATTTCAACATCATGCGAGCTTTGTCTTAACAGTTTTAGCACTGATTGTGTGGTTTATGCCATGAAATTGTGCCCTCCAGTGCCCTGACAAGGAGAAAGCTACAGGTGGTAACCTAGCTCGGGCTTTCTTCTTTGGTGAAGTTTCAGCCTTTGACCCTATACAAACAAGTATGTATTCATTTGTCTAGATGTAAATCAGGTGCCTTTGGGCTATGGAAGGGCTTATTTTCTGATGCTGAGATACAGTGACTTATCTTTGTGTGTGAATAGCAGTGATTCCCATGTGGGTTTTGGCCTAACTTACCTGTGCTGTCAGAAAAAAGGCCCATAGCAGAATGGGGAAAGAGATTGGCTCTTTTGCTTTGCTTGGACAAGCATTTTGGGTTGTTTTGGTTTGGCTTTTGGTTTGGTTTGGTTTTTTTCCCCACTAGGGGTACAGCAGGGATTTCACATGCAAGAGATACAGGAATTATTAGTGTCTAAGTTAATTGTGTTGCCTCACTACCTGGATTCACTCCTTGGTTTGCCTCATTTCCCACATAGGTCTTAATAGAGACTAATGCTTGTGCTGGGAGAATGCTTGTGTGAGAAAGTAATTATCTGTACATTCTTAACATATACTTAGAGCAGAGTGATTGCCCTGCTACTGATATTTTGTTCCTGTAAACAGGTGACAAGAAATGAATCTTAGTGTTTATGCAGATTTTGCATTGTAGAATGTATACTAGACCCTTCAAAGGAAAGGTTAGACTCTTTGCAAAGCAAACTGGCGTTGGTTCTTGGTAGTCTAGTACAGGGACACTAAAGTTTGACATTTGATTTAGGAAAAAAACCCCAAGTTGTACACAGCTGATTATGTTAAATAAGCTCTTAATTGCTCTTTGTAGAAGTCTAATTTGGGAGGTTTTAGTGCTTTGATAACACAATTGAAATCTTACTTTATCCTGTACTCGAGCTGAATGCTGTTCTTGTATAATAGTGTACTAGGCTGGATGAGGTACAAAATAATGCACAGAGGTCAGAAACAGCTGAGGAAAGAATGCTTAAAATAATGTAATCTAAACTCAGAATAGTTCCAAACATTGGTTTTGTTTGCTTTTTTAAAGCACAAGTTGTCAAGTTGTACCTGTTGCTGTACATAAACACTGTATGCCAGCAGCTCCTTGATCATATCTGTGGACAGACTTTGCATTATTATTAGACTGTTCTTAAAGGAAGATGTTGAATTTGAAGAGTATAACAAAATGAAGAAATGATCGGATTATCTATAGTATGTAAAAGTCCATTCTTTATGTTGTAGTTTAATCCCTTTTTTAGGAAATTCCCTCTCATTGAGGGACCTCTTCTGCAAGCAGAACACAATAGATGTGGTTTTTTAAATGACCCCGTTTTCCAGTATAAAGGAAGAGCTAACTTTGGCAGTAAGTCATCACCATGCATCTCTCTGCTGGCAAGGGAGCACGGCAAGAAAAGAAACCAAACCCCAACCTGGCAGTGATGAGATGAATCAAATCTGAATCCCAAAATGCCCAATACCCGAACATAATTATTACACCCTGTTATTTAAGAAGGATGCTTGTGGAAGCTTTTAATCACTCGAGATTTCGCTGTAAAAGCTGAACTACAACAGAGCCTGGCTGCATTTATTACTGCCAAAAGCCAAGGTCATTTGCACATAGCCCATCAGTGTATCCAGGGTAGGTCTCAGTTAATCCAAGGCATGGAAGTGCATGCATTTTCTTAGCTGGGCAAACAAGTACATTATACAGTAGTTGTGATACAACACATGTGGCTTTTATTTGTACTGCACATACCCACTGTACAGCCACTCCGAAGTATCGTGGTTAGCTTGCAGCATCTGCTGTCCGCATTTATACTGTTTACTGCGTATTCTTTTCCCTGGAAGTTTTAAAGAAAATTGGGGTTTTTTTGGTTTTTTTTCTCTTGTTGCATTGATTACATTTTATAAATTTGCTTAGCTGGAAAGTTTGGGAAAAGAGGCCTGTTTGTCAATTGTACAACCGATTGTGAAGCTCTAGTGTGAATATTTTTACGTCTGTATTAGACATTTTCTTTGCAAATCTATTGTTCGATTGAAATGTAAATGAAATAAAAGATGGTGTACACCCATCATGTATAAAGCAGGCACCATCGCTACGATGGATTTAATGCTCATTTTTATGGCGCATTCTCAGCTTCTATTTAAAACTATAATTTAAAAAAAAAAAAAGAAAAAAATCTGTAAAATGAAATGGGGTTATATGGGGGAGTAAATTCTATTCCGTTTATCTCGGGTTGAGTTCCCAATGGTCGTTTCCCTTCGTGTTAGAGGTAGGGGCGGGCGGTGCCGTGTGTGTTTGCTGTAGCACTGAAGTGAAGAGGTTGTATAGCTTTGGCTGGTCACGGAGTAGAGCATCCTGGTTTTCAGTGTTTGAGAGACTCGGTGGAAGAAGTTTGCAGTATTGACATGTATTTGCATGCACCAATAAAAATTATTTGTCCACCTTAACTGCCTCTTTGCCTTCACCTGCGGGAAGGAACGGGTGGGAAGGAGAGGAGGAGGAGGAGGGAGGAGGAGGAGGAGGAGGGCGGGATGATCCTCCCCGTTCCCGCCGTGCTCCGCGCAGCCAGAGCCAGCCCCGGAAGGCGGCGGCAGCGGGTGAGGTCCGGGGCCGCGGTGAGGGGCGGCGGGGCGAGCGGCCTTGGGTGAGTTGATGCGGAGGCTCTAAGGGGAGGGGTCCGGGCGTTCAGAGCATTCCGCGTCCTCAGCCCAGGCTCGGCTGTTCTGGTTCCTGCTTCCGCATCGCGCAGCCCCGGCCGCGGGAGGAGGATGCGCCGCGGTGCCCCGAGCGGAGCCCCGCCTGGACGCGGGCGCCCCGTTGTGTCGCTCTGCGGAGTAGCCGCGGTGATGGGCGGCCATCTGCGCACCTCCGCGGCGAGCTGCTTAATCTGGCTTTAGCTTGCAGAGCCTGCTGGCGTGGGGCGTTAGAAGTGAAAGCTCAGCTTTATCCATACGCTGCTTCGGGTGGCTTTGTGAGAGACACACGCATGAAGGGGGCTGGCTCTCATGCATGAACCCAGATCTATTGATTAGATTTAAATCGCCTTTTAATTTCTTTGCAATGAAATTCTGTGGACGTTTAAACATGGTTTGCCCGTCACAAGTCCACAGCCACATATGTGACCTTAGTGGTACTCTTTTTCTATGCCCCTTGCCCAAGAGAGAATATGATTGAGCATCTTGCATCTCCATCAGGATGAGATCTGATCAGCAGCACTTTTAGAGGACTGCAGTGGAAGAAGGCGGTGGAGCCATTCTCTACTTTATTAATTCTCTATTTGTTATCTATTAATATTAGAACACAATGACTGCTTTGGATGATAAACTGCTTGGTGAGAAGCTCCAGTATTATTACAGCAGCAGTGAGGGTGAGGATGAAGACAGTGACAAAGAAGATAAAGAAGGGGAGAGCACCATTCCTGAGAGCGGTGGGGAGGTAGAGCTCAGCAGCGATGGCAGTGCAGTCAACACAGGTATTGTCATGTCAAACTCATATCTTAATAAGTACAAACTTAAGGACTTGTAAATGGCAAATCACTTTGTTCATTTTATGTCAACATTTTACACAGTGTACAAAAAGTTTATGACAGAGCCATTATTTTACTACTGACTTATGAATTATTACTTGAATTTTAAACGTAGCTTTATTGCCCTTTTATGCAAAATGCCTGCATATTTAATTTCAGGTCCCAAAGGAGTCATTAATGACTGGCGGAGATTCAAACAACTGGAAACCGAACAGCGGCAGGAGCAGCGCAGGGAAATGGAGCGACTCATAAAGAAGTTATCTATGACGTGTAGGTCTCACTTAGATGAAGAGACTGAGAAGCAGAAGCAGAAAGAGCTTCAGGAAAAACTCAATGGAAAGGTAGCATGGCACAAAGGAATTAAAATGCCACATAGATGTTTAACATTTTCAGTTTCATTATTTGTGTACATGAAGCAGAGCGGAATCTGTGTTCTAGCAGGAGATTTGTATCCTATTTCCCTGGTAGATAAGAACACAGCTGCAGTGTAAGAAGTGCATTGCAACTGTATTTGCCAAGTGTTGTCAAGTTTAAGTATTTTGCATTTTAGTGGTATTTGTGTTTGCCTGTGTTAAGAAATAAGCAATTTGGTTGCTCTACCAAAGAAGTCCAGATCCTATTTCCAGATTTCCCTTGACTGCTTATCAAATAAATCAACTTCAGAGGATTAATACTGAGACGTGTACGGCAAATCTATGGCTGCTGCCTCCTGAGCCAAAAAGAAGAGTTTAGGATTCCTCACTGATTTAGTATTTAGTACGTGGGTGGATGTTGAAATTTGGCTTTGACTTTTTTGCTCCAAAGATAAATGGTATTTGAAGTGGAGAATGGTTTTAATCAGCTGTGTGCTGCATAACTAGTTCTTGCAGTTCTAGTCAGAGAAGTTACTAATTAGTAATGACGAAAGCTGTCCATGCTGTTCTATAGCTTAAGTGATGCTATTATATTCAACAAAGGAAGTGAACAGGTACAAAATACCTCCTAAAATCCTGTTAAATTTAGTTCTACAGGCAAGATAGTACATTTGGTTGCCACAGAATGTTAACTGAAAAGCTAGATGAAAAAAACTAATGAGAAAGAAGCAAAAGTTAGGTCAGGCACCATATCCACATCAGCGCTTGTAGCTTAGGGAAAGCACATAGCCGGCATTAACCTGAATTGAAGTGGGAACATGGAGCAGCCACTTGTGTTATTAGTGCAGCTTGTGGAACCTAGAATTCCCAAGGCTGAAATCACTGTTCCCACTGGACACAGCTTCTAATTAGATCAAAATGGAGTGTAATGCAGAGGGTGCTTGTGCCTTCATGGGTTGCACTTTGCTGTTGCTAAAGATGAGTGACCCACATTAATCCTCTCGATTGGAATTCTCGTTATGTAAGTGACCCATATAGCGATGCACATCTCTTTGATGTATCTTTGTGTGTGTGTTTCTCAGATGACATTACAAGAATATAACATGATTCACAACGATGAAGACGACGAGGAGTTTTTGCAGCGATACCGGAAGCAGCGGATGGAGGAGATGAGGCAGCAGTTGTACAGCGGGCAGCAATTTAAACAGGTTTTTGAGATCACCAGTGGAGAAGCGTTCCTGGACACGGTTGATAAAGAGCATAAGAGCACACTGATCATGATCCACATTTACGAAGATGATATCCCTGGCACCGAGTCCCTGAACGGCTGTATGATCTGCCTGGCTGCTGAGTACCCAACAGTGAAGTTTTGCAGAGTAAAGAGTTCACTCATTGGGGCTAGCACCCGCTTCACTAACAACGCGCTGCCCGCTCTTCTCGTCTATAAGGCAGGTGAGCTCATCGGCAATTTCGTGCGCATCACTGACCAGCTTGGGGAGGATTTTTTTGCCGTAGACCTGGAGGCTTTTCTGCAGGAGTGCAGTTTGCTTCCAGAAAAAGACCTGGTGCTCCTGACTTCTATACATAATCCAGCTGCAACTTACAGTGAAGACAGTGATCTGGAAATCGACTGAACTGCTTGTTCCAAGGGCCAGTAGGTGTAGTTGTACAGTAGGATGCCCATGTGCTAGGTAGGGATTGTTCTGTTTCTTCCATAGTGCAGGTATGTTTTCTTCCCTTTCATGCACTTCAACTTTTGCTTGTTAAAAATCATGTAAAGAATCCCTAAGATTTTCTTCAGTTCAGTGAAGTACACTTAACATAAGTCTTGCTTTTATGCAGTTCAAGTGTATTTTACTAACCATGAAGCTAACACAATTCAGCAAGTTTAGGGGATTGTGTAGTGTCATGTCTGTTCCCCACATCACTTGTGTCCAGTGCTGGGGAATCCACTGCTCCCCTGGGGAGGTTATTCCAAGGACTGATTGTTCTCATTGTGAAAAATTTTCCTCTTGTATCCAGTCAGAATTTCCCCAGGAATAACTTGTGCCCGTTGCCCTAATTCCATTACTGCTACCGAATGTGCACTGCCCTCCTGCAGCACTTTTGTCATTACCATTTCTCAGCGATAACGTTTCCATTAAGGCGTGTTTGTTTATTTGGTTTGGCCTCTACATCCTTCATAAATCAGAGCATAATATGGGGAAGTAATTTCAGGGTTTCTGTTACATTAAAGCTCACCCTGCCTCCAGCAATCCTGCTGCTGCGTAGCTGCAAGATAACCTGGGCAGCATGAGAAGCCGTTAGCAATTTATAGCAACTGCAGGCATGAGCACCTTGTAGTTAAGGCTTTACTCAAAGCTTTACTGGCTGGGTGGCTGCACTGCTGAAACCATGCACCTTGCACACATCAGCATGCTGAGCAGGTGTGCTCTGCACTTAGTTGTTACTGAATCCTTTTCTACCTACTTAATTTGACATTACAACACATTTGCTTTCTCATGCATTACTTACTGTGCTTGTTATCTTTTAATTTTGAGGAAAGTAGACTTATCATTACCTAAACACGACCCAACATAATGCCCTGTTTAATGATTAAATTTAATTGCAAGTTTTACATAAGGCAGTGTGGAACACCAGGAAGAAATGCAAATGTCTCTGTGCAAGCACTAGGCTCTTAATAAGAATGAATCTTAGGGTAGAAAAAGAAGAATTTGGAACTGTGTCTGTTTGAACTGTGTTTTAAAAAGTAGCATTAGGAGAAGAAGAAATAATTTGTAATTAAAAATTACCGAGTTGGCACAAATTGTAGCTGTTTTAAGGAAACTGGCAGAAATCCAGCTTTTCCAATGTGCTAAGAGATTAGTTCTTTTCATCTCAGAATCACGGAAAAATAACCCATGAAAGTTATGTGAAATTAAATCAGTGAACATGGATATCAGTGCATTTAAGGGGGAAAAAAAGCTGTAATTTATATTCAGGAGGAGATTCAGTGAAGTCTGCCATGCAGAGAGGGTGCATTTTAGCAGCAGCATCCAACCTGGCTTGGAGCGGGGCTCAGGGAGCGCTGACTGCTTGAGTTGCTTTGAAGTTTTGTTTTGTATAAAGTGCTTCATTTTTTTGCCCTTATGGCAGCAAAACTGGAACAGGATCAAAACCTCTCCTGCTGCTCAGTCGGGTGGCCTGCAGCAAGGTGACTCCTGGTTATTACTGTCCAGTGCACAGGTATGGGATGGATGATTTACAGGGCTGGTAGCAAAAAGGAAACGAAAAGAGGTCTGAATGCAATTAATCATCGAGTATAATAAGCAGAAGGGAAAGGGGGGCAGAGAGATGAGGTGCAGCACTGCTTCTCATTCTTGGCACAGGCAGCGTTGCTGCTGCTCCTCTTGGCCATTCTTGCAGTTAAACCCTTCCCAACTGGTAATTGGGTGCCCTAAAATAACAGCACTTTTCATGTGCATTACACAATAGAACAGAAGTAGTTTAGAATAGGGTAGTGACTAATTTGTGTCTGTCCCCTGTCCATTCAGTACAAATAGAAACTGCAACTCATACCATGCTGTGGTTAAATGTGGGTTGAAGTGTTACAAGTCTGCTTTATTTCCCTAACTTTCGATGCGATCCTGACCTGCAGATGAAGAATTGAGGTGTATTTATATATACATACGGGGGGCTAAAGTGAAAATGAAATTGCATTAATATCTACATAAAATAATCCTGTTTTGGAACATGTAGCTTGGCATTTGAGCGAGTGAGGCTTGTGGTTTGATGCAGGTGCCTGTGCTTCCACCAAAGCTGTTGTACTGTCACCATCAGATCTTCACTTAAATCAGTGCATTCCTACTAAATGGTTTGGTTTTGAATAAAGGATGCTTTTTAATTTTGTCAGAGATGTTCCATCGATCTTTTCTGGCACAGCAGCTTCCCCAGCACAGAACATGGTTCTTGGCAGAAAGCTGAGAGGTGGTGAAGTGGGGTTTGTTACCATGCAGGGCTCTGGTGCAGCGGGTGGTAGAAATTGGTCAACTCTGGTGGCTGACCCCAGGCTTGATGGGCCCAGGTGACTTCCTCCAATGGGGGATTGCTTTTCCATTCAGCCTTAGTGCCCTACTTATCTTTGCCACCATGGGGTTCAGACAACTTTCCATCATCAATCTTGATTCTGGAGAGGAAAACCCTGGAGCAGCTGCACCCCGTCTGCAACCTCTGTCCTTCCCTTCCTTCTAACGTGCTAAAGCATTGCGGGCAAGTGGTCTTCTTGCACAGTCTCCTCTGGTCAGCGCTAGCCTCCTGCTCGGTGAATCATCAGTTAAGAGGTCGCAGAACCACAGCCAGATGTTCTCATTGTTGCTGTTTGCACTGCACATCCTGCATCCACGTCGGTCCCTGCGCAGGCAAAGCTGCAGCTGGGCTGCTCGGAGCTGCTTGTTTAAAACTCAGAGGATGTCCCACAAGCTGTGTTTACCAAGAGCTCAAAACAGCAGCCATCGCCTCTGCACCATCCCCAGAGCTCGCAGTGCTGAGGGGCACTAGGAGCCCTCACCTTGGTTGGGTGATGCTGGTGGATGCACAAGACTAAATACTGTGTTTAGATGCAAACTGCTGTCTTCTGCCGTGGATGTGCCTGTGCATTGTGGTGGATCAGCTGGTGAGGATGTGATTTCTACCAGCTGCCATGGCTGAAAGACTAGCAAAGAAAAGGCAAGGGCTCAGCAGTGCTGCATGTGCAGTCCCCAGGCTCACAGAGAAGGTTTTGATAGCGTTAGTCCTACAGTGAAACAATTTCAAAGCTTTTCCCATAGCAGAAGGCTGAGGTGCAGGAGGGAGATGCTTCCCCGTGCTGGGCTGTGGCGTGTGGGAGCTGGTGGCATGGCTGGAAGGGATTTCAGTATCGCTGGTGTCAGCTCGGCTGAGCTAGTTCCTGGATGAACATTCCTCCTTGGTGACAGAGAGCATCTGGGCAGCTCTCTGTGCCTGATGGACTCCCATACCCTTATCGGTACCAGCCAGCACTGCTTGCCTTCAATAGCTACAAACAAAAGCAGGATGTCTGTGGTCTAACTGAAACCAGCTGAGCTTGTGCCTTTAGCTGGGTGGTAAAGGAGGCTGGAGGCTGGAGCAGCTCAGTGCAGGGAGAGGGTGATCACGCATGTTCTGGAAGTGTGCTCTAGCTGGCTGGAGACATGGGGCATGGAGATCCCGGTGTGGATCTGGGACACGCTGACAGACCGGATGAGGTACTGCTCCCCATCTGCTGCTGTTTGCATTGTTCCTGAGCGCTGTGATTTTGCCTGAGCGAGGGATGCACAGTGAGGGTCATGGCCCTTGGAGGGGCACAGCACAGGGTACAGCCGGGCAGACCCTTGGGGAGAGACCCCCCAGCACTGCCACCTGGGCCAGCACGAACACCTACAGCGTGTCCTCCTGTCCCTCTGCATGCTGCCACCAGCCTCTTCCACCTCCTTGGGGAGCTCAGCATCTTCACCAGGTGCAGCAGCGGAGGAAGGATTGTGAGGGCTGCCTGGGCTCTGCGCTCCTCTGTTCCAAGCTGGGGATCCCTGTGGAAGAGGGGCTGCAGGTGGCCCGGTGCTGGAAAAGGTGACAGAGCACAGAGGGGTCCAGAGTGTCCCGAGGAGGCGGGTGTCCCATGGGGAACCCCAAAGCTGGCTTAGTGCGAGGTGTTCACTAGCAAGAGAGCTGGGTCTGCTGAGGACGGTGGTGGCAGCTGCAATCCTGTTATGGTTTAAGCCCAGCCAGTAACTCAGAACCATGCAGCAGCTCGCTCACTCTCCTCCTTCCCCCCGTGCTCCCGGAGGGATGAGGAGGAGAATGGAAATAATGTAATGAGATAAGAACAGTTTGGTAACTAAGGTATAATACCAAAACAAAATATTTATATATTTAAAATTTTAAAAATATTAAAATTTATAAAATTTATATAGATACTTAGTTAGTACTACTAACTAAGGTATAATACAAAACCACTAGGACTAACTGAAGTATAATACAAAACCACTAGGACTAACTAAAGTATAATACAAAACCACTAGGACTAACGAAGGTATAATACAAGAGTACTACTACTACCACTAATAATAACAATGATAAGGGAGATGAAAAGGGGAGAGAATACAAAACTAAAAGGGAAAAGAAACCAATAAGCACAAGTGATGCTCAGTACAATTGCTCACCACCCATTGATCGATACCCAGCCTGACCCAAGCAGCGATTTGGCCTTCCAGGTAACTCCCCCCAGTTTCTATCCTGGATATGATGTGCTATGGCATGGAATATCCCTTTGGCCAGTTTGGGTCAGGTGTCCTGGCTCTGCTTCTTCCTGGCTTCTTGTGCCCTTCATCACTGGCAGAGCATGAGAGACTGAAAAGTCCTTGATTGGAGTAAGCATCACTGAGCAACAACTAAAACATTGGTGTTGTCAGCGTTCTCAGGGTAAAACAAAACACAGCCCTGCACCAGTTACTAAGGAGGAGAAAAACAACTGTTACAGCTGAACGCAGGACAGCCCCTGAGGCACTCGGGGTTTTCACAGGGCTGGTACAAGCCTCTCCTAGAGGCCTGGTGTGGATGATGCCCAGGATGGGACCACCTTCTGTCCTGCTTCTCCTCAGCACAGTGGTGGGCGTCCCCACTACCTGCAGGAAGGAATGGGATGCTCAGTGCCAGGCCTGGAGCGCAGCTTTGCCGGTACCTGGGCAGGCTGTGCTGGTGCTAGAGCTCCGTTGAATGTCCTCCATCCTGAGGGCTGCCCCTTTCCGCAGCCTCCGGCACACGGAACGACACGTATGGGCACTTCTTCACGTTGAGGCACACGAGCTTCTTGAGCGATGCTGTCTTCACTATGTCAAAGCCAGTTGCTCCACCAAAGGTGCTGGGTTTCCAGTACTCTGGGGAGCAGATGGGGTTTCCAAGAAGCCCCTTCAGGGAGAATGGAGCTCCGATCTCCACCATGCTTTCCCCAAAGATTCCATTGGGTTGGGGTTTCTCAAGCAGCAAGCCCGGATAGAACTCCAGAGCGTCAATGTCTCCATACAGCTCTTGCAGTTCTGCCGCTTTCTCTTCCTCTCCTGCACCAAGCAAACATCAGAGTGCTTTAGAAAGGGAAACAGCCCAGGCAAGGCCTGGCCTTGCTGTGGATAACGGGAACGTGGCAGCTCCCACAACCCAGCCAGCTTGCAGAGGAGCAGCTCATGGTCTTATACCCCAGCGTGGGCACAGAGCATCTGCACTGCCCCAGTGAACCCCAAGAGCTCCCACAGCAGCACCGCAGCCCTACCTGTGAGCTCCTGAAAGGACTTGTAGGGCTTCATGCCAAACCTCTTCCGATACTCATTAAACGGCTGGAGCCTGAGCTGCCGGGATTCCTTGATGACCCCAATGGCCACTTTCAAGACATTGGCGTGGATGGTTTGTCCCCCACCGATCTGGAGGGTGAGAACACAAGGAGGAACACATGTGAGGCACAAGAGGCACCAGCATCCATTCCAGAGCTACTGCACTGAAGCATCCATGTCCTGGGCACAGTGTCATGGAGAGCAGCACAGCAGCACAGCAGCAAGAAGAGGGGGAATCACTGCACAGTGCCAGGGAACAGCTATAGAGCAGCTTGGGCTTATCAGTTCCCAGGGCAGGTCAGAGAATGGTGCAGGAGAAGCCCTGGGTGGATGGTGATCCAATGGCCTGGGTGAAGGGGAGAGATGATGGGTTTGGGAGAACCCAAACACACAACAGCCAGTCTGCACTTTGCACAAGCAAAGAGGGTCAGGAATGGAGATGCAGTCACTTGGAGGAAAGCATCCATGTGATGGCAGCAAAGAACAGTGCTGCTCCCATGCCCAGGCTGCTCCACAGCCCGGTCTGGGCTGGAGGATCCCGGCTTACCACAGGCTCCTGAGAGAAACCAAAGGGGCTGCCAAGGTCCAGCCTTGCTATGGTGCTCATGGCCTGCCCATCAAGTGCCTCCCTGAGTAGAAGGCTTTATGTGTAAGATAGGACCCAGTCCTGAATGGGAACAGGGATGTTCCCAGGGTTCCACAGCCCCGGCACTGGCAGGGAGGGCAGAGAAGACCTTACCCTTCCTGCAATCTGCTTGGAGAAGGACTCCACCAGTGCCTCGACGCCATAGTCCATGAGCATGGAGGTGTTGTAGAGGAACTGCTCGTAGCTGTACTCTTCCCCCTGGATGACGAAGGAGTCGGGCATCAGCCCGTGCCAGTGATAGAGCTGGTTGAATTCCACCGCGATGCGATTCCGGTACTGGAACTGTGTCCCGAACAGCAGCTCGGGGTCAAACTTGAGGCTCAGGTAGTACCCGCTGAGGTGCTGGACGTAGTCTTCAATGATGATCTTAATGGTCTCCCCTGGTTAAGAGGCAGGAGAAGCGGCTGTCAGCAGCAGGAGATACCAGCTCTGTACCCCGAGACATTACCCACATACTATGGAAGCACCTCCCAGCACTCATCCCCCCCCTGGGACCTTTCTGACTATGGGCTTGTTTTGCTGGTTGGGAATTTGTCAGTGAATCACTTTATAAGCAGCAAAGGTCAGTCTGCCAAAACTGAAATGGTTCCTGAGGAAGCTGACCTCGACACGCTGCTTGCAGATGAGGTGGTGACAGGGATTTGTCTGGAGTTTGGTCAAGAATGACTTTCCGTGAGATTACAGTACATTCATAATGAACATTAAAATGCAAAAATTCAAAATTGTGACAAAATTACCCAAAATCAATATTTTTGATGGCTCAAAGCCCATGTTTGCTCTATGGACCAAAGCCAGCGATCCTCGGAAGGCTGCCAAAGAAACTCCTGCCGCTAAAGCCAGTCTGGCCACTACCTTCAGAGACCAAACAATGCTCAAGTCCTTGGGCTTGCCCAGTGTCCTGGGTTCAGCTGTAGCAGTCATTTTTCTCCTCCTTAGTAGCTGGTGCAGTGCTGTGTTTTTGACTTTAGCCTGAGAACATCATCACTATTACTGGGGGCAGCAGCAGTGGTTTGTTACACCTCAGTTACCGGACTGTTATCTCAGCCCATGGGGTTTACATTCTTTCCATTCTCCTCCCCATCCCTCCGGGAGCAGGGAGGGAAGAAGGAAGGGGAGTGAGCGAGCGGCTGCATGGTTCTGAGTTACCGGCTGGGCTCAGACCACGACACCCAGGGAGATGGGCACAGGGCTCTGTGCTGCCCGTGCCCCGCGGCTCCGCTGGTCCTCACCGATGAGGATGAGCCGAGCCGTCTGGAAGAGCTGCTCGTCGCTCCAGGTGGGATGCTCCCGTTTCAGCACGTCACAGACACGGTTGTGCTCGCGCAGCCAGAGCGTGGCGTACATGCAGAGCCCCGGCAGCAGCCCAAACACCTCCTGCCCTATCGCCAGCTGCTTCTCCTTGGGGGTGGCAGGCGGGTAGACCATGTGGACCGGGGCATCGGTGACCGTGGGGGGGTACACTTCTCCATCCACCACCTTGAGGGCAAGAACAGGATGAGGGGAGAAAACCACCTACGTGAAAGCCTGTCCAGCCAGACCCTACAGGTACCAGGGCTGCTTTCCTGCAAGCAGTGAGTGAAACAGAAACACCTCCCTCATACAGCCCCAACTGTGGAATGCCTGCTGCCGTCAGAACAGCTACACCCCAATGCTTGTCCCTCTGATAAGGCATCTTTGGCTGGCAGCCACAAGGGGCTGGGGTTTCCCTGGAGCTGCCAGAGGGATGTGGCTTGAAACAGCTCTGGATCACAGGGCTGAGACATGTTTGCCTGTGCTGGCTACCTGGAACTTCAGCTTCCCATCCTTGAAGAGTCGCAGCTGGTGCTGCCGCTGCAGGTTGTCCCCATACAGGTGCCCGAGGTCCACCTGCCAAGAGAGCATGGCATCAATGCTGCTCCAAAGGCCATGCATGCCCTGGTCCCCTCCTCACTGCTGCATGCCCCACACCCCCAGGCATTCCAGCATCCCTCACCCCGTGCCCCAGCGCCTTGGTGAAGCCGCGTCCCATCTTCCCGGATGTCTTGAAGAACTGGTGGGTGAAATGCTGGGCGAAGAAGGCAAACATCAGGTTGGTGCCCTGGGGATCAGCTTTGAACTTCCTCCGCAGCAGGAACCTCTCTGCCAGGAGCTGGGGGTCAGGGAGCTGCTGCTTCCCTGCAAAGGATGGAGGTTGAGGGCAGATGCTCTGCGCCAGCCCAGCTGGGTACCAGCGCTGGCCATGGGGCTGTTGATATTGCTGTGCTGGGTCTGCTGCAGCACCAGGCAGTGATGCCTCTGCACAGACTTCTCACAGCCCTCTTACACAGGCTGTGACATGCCCCAGCAGCTCTTTGGATAGCATCAGGCAACTCCTGCCTGCAGGCCAGCATGGGCGGAACAGAGGAAGCAGTGCCCTGTAGGTGTATCCATAGCAGTGAAAGCTTGGCATGGGTGGATGGGAAACACCGATGCTGCACCAGGTATGGACCCAGGGTGCTATTCCAGTGACTCAGCCCCACTGGTGCTGTGCCAGCCACGTACCTTTGGTCCCCATGGGCTTTGGGCAGTCATCCGGCACGGGTGGGAGGATGCGGGTGTAGTAGCTGACGTTGGCATAGGCTTCCCAGCTGATGTAGCCGTAGTCGGAGTTAAAGGTGGGGGGACTGGGGATGAGATTGGCACGAACTGAAAAGAGAGGGGGAGTCACATACGGCAGCATCCCATGGGCTCTGTCCCCAGCCCCTGCTCACAGCCCAGCGCTTCCAGACACCCACCCCTTACACCCCGTAAAGGTACCAGCAGCAGAGGCATGGGGGCATCCCAGGCTTTGCTCCGAGCCTTTTAAAGGCTGCAGTTCCCTGCAGAGGAGGAAGGCTTGTACTAACGCACTAAGTGGATTCTTGGATGATGAATGAGATGACAACCACATAGAAATGGTAAAGCCAACAGCCGGAGCCTTGTGAATGTTGCTGCAGCTCCAAGAGCTGGAACCTAAATATTTATGAATGTGGGGACATGAATAACAAGGGCCATATTTCCTCAGTCTGCTTTCCGTGCGGCTGCTTAAGAGCCCTTTGGCCCCAGGAGCGTGGCGTGCCAAGAGCTGCTCGTGTTTTCCAGCAGGCTGGAAGTCTGGTGTGGATGGGGACACACGGACAGCCCAGCCTGCAGACCCCCTGCACCCCATGGGAAGGGTGATGCTGTGACAGGGGCATGGAGTGATGGGGGACAAGCTCCCTGGGTCTCACAGTGAGGTGACTCAAGCCTGGTAGCCACGGTGTCCCTGGGAGGCACTCAGCATCAGTGCCACCCCTACCCACACCTCTGCTGATGCCCAAGGGTCCCCAAGTCCTGCTGCACTCCAAGACCTGCTCCAACCCCTCACCTGTGAGCACGAGCCTCATGAGCGTGTCCCTGATGCAGGTGCTGTTGATGATGTCCCACAGCCACTTGAAGTGGGTCAGGATGAAGTGGTAGAAGGCAGGACTGGGCTTCAGCAGGTTGTGGAGGCGTGTCCAGAGCTCGGCTGGGGGGCACAGACCAGGCAGATCACTCACCCCAGTAATGATGCCGCTGACGGCCCCATGGGGTGCCAGGGGGTCCTCTGGGGAAGAGGGACTTACGGGAGGTGCAGTTGTCCCCAGAGTATCCCGTCCGTGTGCAGTCACACTCGTATCCTCCCAGGCCGACCCTCACACACACTCCTTGGTGCTGGCAGGGGAAGTAGCAGCAGGGATTCACTGCGGGCAGAGAAAGGCATCACCATCCAGCCGCAGCATCACTGCACCCAGCGGCTCCCTGCTCCTCATGGGGGGACACAGCCAAGGCGGGTCCTGCTCAGGGGGATGCATCCCTGGGAGGTCCCCTGCAATGAGGTGCTTTGATACCAGCCACATGCATGAGCGCAGCCCCAAGGCTGGTGTCAACAACGTGCTGCAGGAGCCGAGCGCTGCCCTGACAACTGCAGTATCAGCAGATGTTACTGCTCACCTTTTCTCCCACCTCCCTGGCGAGGTGTTTTGGGCAGGAGCATCGCTTCAGCACTGCCCCTTCCTCCCTGTGGAGGTTGGCCTTGTCTGAAACACCCAGGATTGCCAAAGGAGCCGTCTGCACCCCACAGCCCCACACCAATGGGTGCTGCAAGCACTGTCCCCCCTGTTGCTGTTGCTGCCAGGGCCCTGTCCTGCCCGGTGCCACCACAGGGCCATGTCATGGTTATGTCCTGCCCCATGCACAGGGGCTGCTGTGCCCCAGAGCCCCAGGGCAGGACCCAGCAGCACAAACACAGCTCTGGTGTTAAGAATAACAGCGATTGTCAGGGCTGGAGTTTGCTTTGGCAAACGTCTCCTCCTTCCTCGCCGCTCCAACCGGATGGAAAGGGCCAACCGCTGCGCCCGGTCCCCAGCTCCCACCCAGCCCCTTCCTCTGCCACCTCCGTGCCCCAGCCTGCAGGCATGAGATAAGGGCCCCTTCCTGCGGGCCCCACGGCGGCAGGATCCTGTGGGACAGAGGGAGAACCCCCCGACATAAAGAAGCTCCCAGCTCTGGGGCAGTGCAAGGCTCCCACCCACACCAAGCCCCTCTGATCCATCCTGGGGCAACAAAACTCAGGGGAGAAAGAGAACCAAGAGCTGGGGTGGCTGGAGATGCCCCTGCCTGTCATCAGCCCAGGGACTGCTGGAAATGCAGGTGTCCTCCGCACTGCTGCCTCCCAAAACCATCCTCAGCATCACCAGGCTGGGTCAGTCCCTGCAGAGCCGGGGCAGAGCCTGTGTACCAGGAGAATGAAAGTGCCAAGAGACAAAACCTCCTGGAGCAGCCTTGGCTGAGGGGTTTGGTGCACATCAGCAGGATGGTGGTCACTGGGAAGCACAGCGCTTGGGGACATGGGAGCCACCAACACAGTGCTCTGCTCCGGTGCCACCAGCTGCAGGGGCAAGGATGGATGCCGAGAACCATCCCCGGTGTGCTCAGTGTCACAGCTGATGAAGGAAGATCTCTGGGGTCCATCGGCTTCTCTGCACGATCCATGAGCTCACCAGACCTGGTTCAGATTCTTCCGGAATGTGGGAGCAGGTGCCAAGGCTGGGGCGGAGGGACAGGCACACGGAATAGGAACCACATTTTTTCCATCAGAAATTGCAGTTCAAAATTAGCATCTTCGGAAAACAAAGCTCATTTTGCAGAGCTGCTCCGTGTCCCAGCCAGGGCACAGCAGGGGCTTGGCCAGCAGCTCTGTGATCCCAAACCCCTCATGTCACAGGGGCCGGCTTGCAAAGACACGTTCAGATCTCAGCCTCCCCATCAGACTCCCTTTCATCTCGGAGCTTATTTATCTCACACAGATTGCGGTCAGACCACCCATTTGGGCTTTTCCAAGATGGGAATTTTCACAACGGGGCCCATGTTTCAGTGCAGCCCCAGTATCCTCTGGGCTATTCCTGCTTCGGAACCTCTGCACTCGGCACCTAGCTCGACATCCCTGTGCCACGCTCAGTGTAACGCAGGGATGCGGGGCTGCCACAGCCACAGTGTTGGGAAGATGCTCCCTGCCGCAGGCTCCGCCACAGCCCCGTTTCCAGCTGATGTATGGAGCCAGGGGAAGTTCACCTTGCACAGCTCTCCTCAGCACGGGGTTCCACGGCACACTGTGGCCAAGCACTGCTCCGAGCCGGGTTTGGCAGCATGCCGGGCTCAGCCGAGCTGCCTCCTCCCGCCCTTCACGGTGGTGTCAGCCCCACAGGGTACCGGAGGTGCGCCGGGAATGGCATGTTCCAGCCAAAAAGGGTGGGAAGGGGCCGGAGCGTGTCCTGGCCCGCGACAGCAACCCCTTCGCATCCTCTCGGAGCCTCCCTCCTGCGGTGCCTCTCCCCACCCCAGCCTGGAATCCCGCACCCGCGCTGTTGGGATGGCTCCAGGTGTGGGAATGCCGCTGCCAGGCTCAGTGCTGGTGGTGGCAAAGCTGGTGAACACGCTCCATCCCTGGTGGGAAATGCCAGATTTCAGGACAACATCCGCTCTGCAAACCGCAGCCAGAGCAACCTGGGGTGAATCACGGCCAGGACGGAGCCAGGCTTGCTCAATGGGACCCGGCTCCGTGGCTGCGGTCTTTGAAGATGATGAAAGGATCATGCACTTGTTTTTCTGTCTCCTCGGGCCCAAAAGCTGTTCGCAGCAAAGGCAGCGCAGGCAGATTGTCATCTGCAACCACTTCTGGCAGCACCACGAGCAGAAGAGCGCGCCAGGGCCGCAGCTGCGTGCCACGTGGGGCTTGGGGATGCTCCTCCCTGCACCTGAGCCAGGCTGATGGGCATGAGGATGGGCTGCGGGTGAGTGGCTGGTGCTGGTGATGCAGCCCCAGGGCTCTCAGTGCGGCACCAGGCTCCCTTTGCAGCCCTGTTGAAGCTCCATGAGCCCCATGGCAGAGGGGCTGCGCTGGGAGGAGGGCTATAGAAACAGGCATGAATCAGTGGCTCTGCCCCTGCCCTTGGGGTCTGTGCCCAACCTGCCCCACAGCTGGAGCTCGGGCTGACGGTGATGTTTGGGTGCTGCCGCACCTCCTGTTTGCCGGTGGGAGCTGTGGGATGGCTGTGGAGAGGAAAATCAGGTTTATTGTGCAAAAGCCCTTGCACAAAGCTACACCCCTGGAGGTGACAGCCGCCGAGAGCAGGGTCTGCAGTAATAAACAGAGGAATCCCAGGAGAACAGCTCGGCTCCGCTCGCAGCAAGCAGCGTGTTGTTTGGGCTTCGAAAGCAGATCCAAGGTCTAGATTAGGGCTGTGGTCCTCCTGGGGCAATGCTGGGGAGGAGCAGGAGCCAGGCTGCTCTGCTGACAGCACCTCAGGGCATTGCACCGTTCCCCTCATTCCTCAATCAGGTATCTGCCTCCCTAATTGGGCTTGGAAGAGCCTTTCATGTGTATCCCAGGAATGTTCTCCTCTTTCCCCACGCAGTGAACTTCACTTTGATCCTGGCACGAAGCAGTCAGCTCCAGGGGCTGGTCGTGGCTGTGTCATTCCAGGGTGCATCTGACCCAGCTGCTTTGGGCATGTGGGACCCCAGTGTGTTCCCAGGCCCTGTCCTGGGCACAGCAGGACACATGGATGCTGCTCCTGGCTGTCCTCAGCCCCTGAGAGGAGCTTCTCAGAGAGATGAAATCTATGCTGAGAGAGGCCATGCCAAGGAAGGAACCACACAGAGGTTGTCCCTTGCTTGTCCCCACCACCTATGGTCCAGTGCAGTGGCTGACAGCTGGATCTATCCCATGGGATCTCTCCTCTTGGGCAGACATCCCGATGGGCCTCCCCCACATGGCTGCCTGCTGCGTGGCCACAGCCTTGGGGCCTCAAAGCACTGCAAGCCGGGGTTGTGCTCCCCTTTCAGACATGTATGCTCATGTTCTGGGTCTGGGCAGATCAATTCCCACAGCAACAGGTAAACCTGGGCAGAGCCCTGCTGAGGGATGCAGCCCACATACTTAGTCTGGTTTGAGCTTCACTCTGGGATGGCATTTTCCTGCAAGGAGGAAGCTCATTTCATGGAATAAGGACTGCAGTCAATGCTCCATTAAGGAGCTGGAGGAGACTGCACCTGAAGAGCTGGGGATGGAGCTGATGGGATTCAAGAAGTGGTTTATTTTGCCAACACATTCCATGGATTCCTTCCGTACACAGTGTTACTCCTTGACACCGGAGGGGCAGGGGGAGCCTGAGCCCACTGTGGTTGTACCAGCATGCAGTGAGCTGCTGCAGCACGTGGGCATGGAAGTGAAACCTCGGCTGAGGCCACTGGAGCCATCCCTGCTGCTCCCGACCCTCCATCCTCACCCCCAAACTGCAGTTCCTCTGGTGTGTGCAGGGCCCTGGTGGGGATATTCATTCATGGATATTGCCATCCTTTCTTCCAGAAGCCTGATCCCAGATGGGAAGCTGCAGGGAGCAGCGGGTGCCCCTCACCCTGGTGTCAGGGCCACCCCGGCGTGGCTGCGGTCCCCTCCTGCCCCATGGGCAGCGGTGGCCTTGGATGGAGCCCTGCGCTGTGGTGCGGCCGCGGTCACACTCGGGCCATCCACGGCTCCTGCAGCCGCTGCGTGTGGTCCCCCCCGGCGCAGCGGGGGGTAAAGGGAAGTTTGTTTTTCAGGGCTGGTTTTGCTCCCCAGTCAGGCGCGACGGGACAAAACCTGCAGCTCCGGGTGCCCCCCGCCCTCCCTGCCCTCCTCTCGGGGCTCTGCTCGCAGCCCACTGCCCCATCCGGTAGAGACGGGGCAAGAACCGGCCCGGGGCGATGGGCACGATCCGGCCCCGGGGACCCGTCCCAGCTCTGGGGCAAAGGCTCCGACCTCTCCCCGAGCGCTGGGGCAGCAGCGACCGCCCCTGCGGTCCCCTGCGCCTCCGGGGCACCGCGAGGACCAGATCCCTCCGCATCCCCGGGGCTGGCTCCCCCCTCCCTCCCCGGGTCCCCTCGATGCCTGATATCCCCCCTGGTGCGGGCGTCGCCGCTCCCCCGGTACAGGCTGTCCCGGGGCTGTCTCCTCCTTTCCCTCCTTCCCTCCTTCCCTCCCTGCCGGTGCTGTCCCCGCCCTCGTACCGGAGCCGTCGGTCGCGGCGCTCCCGGTGGTGCAGAGCAGCACGGCGTGGGCCAGGAGCAGCCGCAGCCCCGCGGCCGGCGGAGCCCGGTCCCGGCGCCCACCGCCCATGGCGAGAGCAGCTCCGCCGCGTCCCGCCGCCGCCCTCGGCCCGGCCCCGCCGCTCCCGTCCCAGACGCGCCTCCTCCCGCCCGCGACGGGACAAGGACGCCTCCGGCAGCCCAGAGCGCGCACTGCGGAGCCCCGCGGCCACCCCGGGCCCTGCCCTGAGCCACGCGTGCCCCAGGAGCCCCCTGACAGCCCCCGGGTCCCTGCAGGTCCTGATCCCCCCCCAGCAGCTTCAGACCCACCTTCTGGTCCCCCTGTCCCAGAGGGCTCCCGACGCGGTGCCCACATCCGCCTGGTCCTCACATCCCCAGCATCCTCATGCCCACACCCTGGTCCCCCGAGGATCTCCATGCCCATCCCCTGACCCACAAGCCCCCTGCCTGGATCGCTATGGCCCGGGCACGCTGTTACAGCTCAGGCAGCAGCAGCAGGGCCGTGGGCCATGGGCCTGGCTCAGCTCGCTCTGACCGGCTGCAGGTCGGTGCCAGGAGGCAGGCTGCCCACAGCCACCAACAGCCAGCAAAGCTGAGTTTATCAGTGGAACCATGGCTGGGTGCTCTCTGCCTGGCTACTGACAGCACGGACAGGGTCAGGCCAGCCCAGCCCCAGGCACCTGCATCACCAGGGGACTGCACTGAGCCCGAAGAGCCTTCTGCATGCGGCTGGGGTGGCTTGGAGCATGATGGGCTGCAGACCTTGCTGGGACAGCCTCAGGGATGTCCCTGAGCCTGGTGGTACCCAGAGCTCACCCTCTTCTGCAGCAACAGCAGAGACCCCGGCACAGGGCTGGGTGTGATTCAAGATTAAATGGGGTTTTGTTGTCACCTCCTTGCAGAGCAGCACCCAGGGCGTGCGCAGCTCCTGTCTGCTTCCTACACTTGGCTGTGAGGTGGGGACTGGACAGGAGTGGGGCTGTGGGAGAGAGGCTGTGGGTCTGGGTCTCACGCTGTGGGGCTTTGCTGGCTTTCAGCAGTGGGGAGGGAGCAACCCTGCAGGGTGAGCAACCCTTGGAGGTGTCCGACAACGAGCCAGGGCCTCAGATCCAGCTTCAGCAGGCAAATGCATCAGCCGTGACGCACACATGAGCTCAGCAGGCTCCTGATCACTCTGGAAGGGTGGGGACAGTGGCTGCCTCCCAGTGATGAGCGTGTGCTGGGAATGAGGGGCAGGTTTTGGTGCACGTGTGCAGTTGGGGCAGTCAGTGTGTGCCGGGGTCAGGGCTGCTCCTGCCTGCAGGCAGCACCGTCCCGCGGGGCACTGCACACCCAGCCTCTCACCCTGGCCTCTGGCCTCTGAGGTGGGGAGAGGCCGAGCTGCCTGGATGGGCACCAAATACAAAGCCAGGGCAGGGTGCTGGTTCAGCACAGAGGATGGGGTTTGGGCAGGCTGTTGGGATGGTTTCAGCAGGAGCATTGGGGACAGTGTCAAACACTCACCAAGGCATTGCCCTGTGCCCCCACCTTGTGCCTGTGAGCTCCAGGTCTGTAGGAGTGGAGCAGCACCGGGTTCCTCACCTACTGCTGCCACCTGCCCCACGGCATCCCAGCCCCACAGAGTGGGTTACCCTGCGGGTGAGCATTTTCCTCTCTGTCCCCACAGGTGGCACCTCCAACCCCAGCTCTGCCTTTCTCCTCCCACCCCGCAGTTGATGCCCAGTGCTGTTGACCACAGCACATGGGATCTGTCAGAGCCTGGCACCTCTCACACCCCCTGGGCCAGCCCAGCAGCCTTTAGGGATGTCGCAGCCCCAGCACTCACTGCCCCGCTCCCTTCCCTCCTGTCAGGTTTTAATAATCCCTCTCTTGCTCAATACAGCAAGCGGCTGCAATAGCCCAAGGCTGTGGCTGTCGCGCCAGGGCCACCGAGGGTCTGTCCTTAAAATGCCAGACAAGGGAGGGGGCTGCAGATGGCAGCTGCAGGGTGTGGGGCAGCCCCACTGCTCCTGGCATCTCTCCTGGTACCCAGGCCCGTTCCCCTGTGTGATGTCTGTCTCTGTCTGAGCTGCGACCCGGGATGTCTGTGCTCATGTCTCAGGATGGGAGCCAGCTCTGGGTACCCACAGGAGGCCCTGGCCCTGGCCCTGGCCTGGTGCTGCCTGGGCATCATGGTGGGGTCATGGCTTCACAGCCTCCCTTGGCACGAGCACAGGGCTGGGGCCACACGGGTCACCAAAGGGGAACATCTGGAGGTTTGCCATGGGTTTGGCAGCATGGGCACTGGGTCTGCCAGCAAACACCCGACATGGCTCTGTAGCAGCAAGGGGAAGCTCCAGTGGGGTACTGCTGAGCCCCATGAGCATCACAACCATGGTCCTGGGGGACACCAGGCAGGAGGGTTCCTTCAGCCTGATGCGCACACTCAGGAGGGGTGTGGGAATGGGTGGCTGCTGCTCCTCTGGGTGCAGGGCAGCAGTGGGGATGTGGCCTTGCCACGACTCCTGGGAGTGCTCCTCACCAGTGGATGCAGCAGCGGCATGGACAGACGTGTGGCAGAGGCAGCCCGAGGAGGTCGGGCTCTGGCTGGAGGGTTTCAGCCCTGAGCACCCAAAACCTTCCTGGAGGTGACTGGAGCAGTTCCTGATGCCCAAAGGTCCTCCCCTGTTCCGCTGCTGGTCCTCACTGAGCCTCCCGCTGTGGGTCGGGGCATGGGGGGTGAGGAGCTAGGTGCTATCCCAGTCCAGGGCAGCCACCTGGATGTAAAGGGAAGCCTCAGCCTCCCCCCATGGCCTAAAGCCAACTGAAGCCCCCCCAAGGCCAGCACCTCTACAGTGGCCCTAAGAAGCTGCCCCACCAGATTGAAACCCCCAATGGCTCCTTCCATAGAGTTCTGTGAAGTTTGAGGTGCCTTTTGAGTGTGTTCCATAGGGTGCTTACAGTGGATGCTTACAGTGCTTAGTGCAGTTGGTACAGACAGTTATAACTATGTACAAGTCACTTCCTCAGCTTCAAAGTGTTCTCCAGGCTCCCTGGGACAGGTCTGTTCTCCAGCTCCTGCTTTAAATCTGGGTATTTTTTCCAGGTCATGATTTTGGACTCCGACCTTGACCCAAAGTCCCTTCTCCAGCTGCATTTCTGTGGGTCAGGGTCAGTGTTTCTTCCCATTGCAGCCAGAGTGGTCTCATTGCTTTGGAGAAGAAGCACTGTCTCAACGCCATGCTCTTGGCCAACCCCACGCTGGTCTCATGATGCTCTTCCCCTTTTCACAGCAGCAGCCGTGGGCATCACGGCTGTGGCTTCACCCTTTGTCTTCCCGCAGCTTCCCTCCTCTTTCCGGAGGCATCACTGGGGTTTTGCTTCCTTTTCTTCCCCCCTCGGTGCAAGGGGGATGCAGCTGTGGCCCCACTCCAGCTATGGCTGTCCTGGGCTGTTGGTCCTGCCCCGGGGATGTGCTGATGCTGCACCTCCGTCTCTGCCGCCTCGGTCTTGCTCCAGTTTACATCAGGATGGAGAAGGCGTTGTGGGAGATACAGTGATGAGAGGTCATTGCCGTGTCCCCATCCCATGGCGTGTCCCTGTGTCCATATGTCCATGCCGGGGGCAGGAGCCGGCGGGGCTAAGGGAGCCGGTGGTGCCGGCCGCGTCCTCCCGTAGGGAGGCAGCAAAACACCGTCTATGGCAGCGCCGCGCCGGCCGGGGCTGCGGAGGCACCGGGAGGCACTGGGAAAGCGCTGATGGTCCTGAGCTGCTCTGCACTGGGCCGCCCCACAGCTCCGCTCTGCCCCCCAGGACCCTTTTCCCCCGGGTCTGGGGTGATGCCTCGCAACGGCACCGGAGCAGGACACTGGGACCCAAGAGCCTGCAGTGGTTCAGCACCCAAAACTCCTTCCCCTGTCTTCCCAGGGGGGCTGGAGCTGTGGGGGCACCCCGTGCTGTGACCCCACAGCCATGGGGTGAGGTGGCAGCCATCGAGGGGAGCTTTGGGGCAGCGGGACAGGGGCACCCCCATGGCTCCCAGTCCAGGAGTGTGAACCCCTGATCCCGGGGCATCTGCATGGCTCACGGAGCATCCCCTGGCATGACCCATCCTTTGCATCCCTGAGAGGCTCCTTGGGTGGGATGTAGCTCAGCGTGTGTACACTTGACTGTCGACTGCAGGGGCTGGGCAGAGAACAGAGAAGCCAAAACCCCTGTTTTTCTACCTTAAGGTTCTGAGGTGACCGGTGGGGAAGGTCCCTGAGAACCACAGGAGGTTCAATCCACACAACGGCCCAGAGACCCCACATAGAGCATCGCACTGATCTGGTCACCCTGTGCTGGGCTCAGGGGTGCTCTGGGGGTACAGGGCCAAGCAGGGCAGCATTGGTGCAGCCCAGGGAGCAAATCTCTCCCTGATGGCCCCTTGCCCAGCTCCACGGCAGCAGAGGACCCGCGTTCCCTCCAGCACGCGGAGCTGACAGGCGCTGTTTGAGGGGCTACAAATCAGAGCTGAAAAGCCGGGGCTGGACAGGCTGTCTGGGAACAGGTAACCTGAGCCCCAGGAAAGGAGGACTCAGGAAGGCGCTTTTCAGCAATCATATTCATCATCTTCAGCTCAGACTCATTAGGCTCGGGAGCCCGGCCCCCGCCACCGCCAACGCCTCCCGCACGCAGATAGAGCCCCTGGCTCAGACAAATAAATGCTTCCAGCTTCCCGGTGGATGCAGCAGGTCAGGGAGCATCTGATGCCAATTACACACGGTGTAGGGTTCCCTGCCCGCGCTCGCCAGCACCGTGCACTGAGGCGGCTCCCGCGCTCCGACCTTCCGATGGCCCCATGGATCACCCTCTGCTCCCTCTGTGCCAGGTGCCATGGGGGCAGACAAGGGGGAGAGCAGCCCTGTGCCACCCATGGTTTGAGCTCCTCCATGCTGGGGTCAGGGACCAGCACAGGGATCTCCCACCTGAGCGGCTCAGGGGATGCTTGAGGGCAGCCTCACTGCATGGCTGTTCCCACCATGGGTGGTTGTGCACAGCACTGAGCATCAGCGTGTCACTGTGTCCCCATCACATGTGCTCACAGCACAGTGCAGCAAGAACCCCTCCTTCCTGCTCCCTGATGTAGGACTAAGGGTGGGAAGCTGCCCTGACTGGTTTGGAGCCATCGTGGTCCAGGGTATCCCAGAGTCCCTGGCGCTGCACAGCCACTTCAAGCAGTGGGAAGCACGCTGGGGCTGTGCATGACCATGTAACACCACATGGGTGCCCTGAGTCCTACTGTGTACGTGGGTCCATCCCCATCTCAGGGTCTGAGCAAAGGGAGCTCTGGGAGTCTTCACCCCATTTAGGTCCAGAATTGTACCATGGAAACCTAGGGATGAGGCTTGGAAGGACCCTAGGCTGCAGGCACCCATCCTGAGCGGTGACAGCAGCCAGCACAGCCATGCAGGCTGCTCCACTCACCCAACGGCTCATAGGGGCAGCTCCATCCTTCCCCTTCCCCAACTGGCCTGGATGTCCTTAATTGCCCAAAGGTCAGTGTCCCCGAGCCCGGGGCCACGTGTCGGAGGGACCCCGAGCAGGAACCTGACACGGACACGAGTCATTCGGGATCAACGCTGGGGGCCAGGAAATTGCAACGGACACGAACCTAAATACACCGCACGTCCCCCCAGGTAATCAGGGACCGGGCCAGATTCTGGCTGACAGCTTAAATGCCTTAATTCCTTGTCCGCTGCGGTTCGAGGGGGTCCCGTGTGCCGTGGGCTTCTCCCAAGCAGTCTCCGAGCGGGAGGTTTGCCTGTAATTGGAGGCATGCTGCATTCCCCTGAAGGTAGCCAGGTCCCACCGGAGGGGGGCTGCGGGAAGGCAGCAATTTCCCTTATGGAATTATTTATCTGATTAGAGAGTTTATTTTATCAAAATTGTTTCAGAATGGGGCCGCTCGGTGTGTCCAGCGCGGGGAGCTCCCCGGTGGGGCCGGCGGCCTGGAGACAGGTAATTTGTGTGCTTAATGGGACTAATGCGCCAGGCAATTACAGCGATGGATTTCACGGCTGCAAAGTGCCCTGCTCCCATTAATTAAAAATCTGTTAAGAAGATTAGCACATAAAGGTATCAAAAGAAACCCAAGAGTTTCTTTCCCCACCGGCCCCCCGAAGGCGAGTGTGGGAGTGCTGGATTGCTCACATTAGCACAAAAATTGCTCTTTTAAGGGTAAGGGCCTTGCTTCCAAAGTAACCGCTGACAGTTTTCTTCTGACTTCCCTACCAAGAAGTCCTTTATGTTTAATTATAGTTTGTTTAAATTAGCCCTGATTGTTCACTTGCAGTGTTAGCTTAAATACATTCTGAACATGCGGCTCCCCCGTGCCCTGCCGGTGCGGTGTGAGGAGGGCAGCCTCCAGCCCTGGCAGGTGCCCCTGCCACAGGGATGATGCTTGGGGCCACCCAGGAGGAGATGGGGGTCTGGTGGGGTCCAAACTCAGCATCCCTCATTGAGATGCTCACACCAGAGCAGGAGCCAGGGGTGGTGGTACCCACCATAGGGTACCACAGCTGCCAAACCCAGCTCTGCAGCAGGCTCTGGTGATGGGCAGCTCCTCACTGTGATGGTCTCCAAGACCCCACCAGTGGCTCCTCTGCAGCAGGATCCCTGATCCATCACCACCTGCACCACATGGACACCGTCCCCACTGCTCCCATCCCCACGCTGCCGCTGCTGGCACTGCCCAGCCTCTCGCTCAGCATTGGTGCCACTCCTGGCCTTTGTCCACAGCCAGACACTGAGCAAAACAAAAGCACATTCCCCGGCAGCTGAAGGTGCCATTTTTACGGCTGGGCTGAACGAGGAAGTATTTTTTGATCTCTTAAAAATCCTGAATATTATCTGACAGTTTATCTTGTTTCTCCGCATCCGTGCCTTTGCCGCAACGCCAGCTCATTTACATGTGTATTGCGCCTGCCTCCACGGGTGCTGAGGTCAATTGAAACTCAAGAAAAGAGGAGAAATTTATGCAAAACTGTTGATTGCATTTGTATGTAATGAAATCATCCAATATTCATCTGACTATAGACTCTAATCTGAAAGGAGAAGTGAAGGACATAAGAGTCACTGGAAAGCAATAATGAGCTTCTGTAGTGATTAAAAAAGCACTTGAGCTTTCTGAAAATCCAGCCAGAAATCGTGTCTAATCAACACGGAATATAGGAGGCAGAGATTACATTGATACATTTTGCAAAGCTCACTGTTGAAAATGTATGCGAGCTGTAAACTCTGACATGCCATCCATGGTCTGTTTTACACAAATCCGGGCGGCACACAATCAGCGCCCGGGCTCGTCCCTGGCACAAAGCAATCTTGGTGTCTCTGCTCGATGACTCACAAGGAGCGCAATCACATCTATTTTGAAGAGCGATGTTGGTTTTTAACTATGTCGAGAGCTTCCAGCTTCCTTGGAGTTTTTCCTTCCTTTTGCCTCCGCTTCACGTTTCCACATGGCCGCGGGGCTCGGTTTGGGAGGTGGCAGGAGGCTGGGCCCCGTCCGCCCCGGTCCCTGCCACCACCCCCTTGGTGCATGTGCCCTGGTTCAGCTGCTCGGAACAAACCCAAGTGTCCTGGTGGAGCTGAGTGCGGATCCTTGGGCAGCCCTAGGAAGGATGCGGGTCTCTGCCTGGGCTGCGATGAGTGGGGATGTGAACAGGGGTACCGCTTTTGACAGGATGCGATCCCCTTGGGGACCACCAACCCATGAGGCCATGGCAGCACTTGTCATGTGGGACCTGCTGGTGCCCCATATCTGCATGTGCTGATGGAAAAGTGTTCCTGGTGAGCACGGCAGTGTGTGGAGAGCCCAGGGCACAGCTCCGTAGGGTCTGGCCATGGCCCTCTGCCATGCCCTGCACCATCCAGAGGCATTTAACTGCTGAGGCCAAACCATTTGGTGGCCAAAGCAGCATCACTGACATCAAATCCATGTTACAACCAGCCCAACCATTTTCTGGCCCACAGTCCCTTTCCCTCCTGGGCTATTCAGCACAGCTGGAACTCCTTCCCACCCGCCAACAGCATCAGCTGCAGCTTCTTATCAGCTCTGGGTGTGATCCAGGCTGGAACCAAGTGAGAGGTTCCTGCTGATGCTGATGGAGGAAGTGTTTGGAGCAGGCAGGCCTCGTGCTGCAGCTCTTGGTGTGGAGCAGCAGGTGATTTGTGCAGCAAAGGGAACACGGGACCTGTCCAGAGCCACCCTGTGTGCCAGCCGGCTGCAGTCACAGTGAGTGTCTGTCTGCTCTTCCCCTGGGGGTGGTTACAGTGGCCCATGGCAGGCAGGGGGTGGTCTCCCAGCACCCACTGTGTGCTGTGGGTGCTGCTGCAGTCCTCTGTGTATGGAAGATGCTGGTCCTGTGGTGCAAGGTCCCACAGTGAGCAGGATGGGCTGTGGTCACACAGCTCTGCAGGCTCATGTGCTGCTTGTGCTGCATTGCTGGTATTGGGGTGAGAGCAGCATCTGCAGGCACTGTGGCTGCTCCTGGTTGATGCACAGTGTATGGGGTGAGGATGCAGGTGAATGGACTCCCGAACCCTCCTCCACCATGCAGTGCTTGGCTGCAGCTACTCAGAGAACAGGTCTCTGCCTTTCTTCACATTTAAAAGCTGGTTTTGCACCTAGTTTTGCCTTGCCAGTGTGACCAGCACCAGGTCCCCTCCTGGCACATCCCAAAAGCATAGGGCATGGCTGCACTGAGGATGGGCAGCTCCATCCCCAGCTCAGTGCTGGTGCCATCTTACTGCTTGGTTTTAGTTTATGTGAGGTGGAGTAAAGGGTAAGGAGTAGCAGTGAATATTTAGGAAACTCATCTGTGCAGTGACTCTGCAGCTCCACTGCCTGCATCCACCATCCCACCCCTCCGTCATCCCATTGCCATCACCTCAAACCCTTAAGAGAATGGGAGGAGGCTGGGGTAGCCCCATGGGCAGCACCAGCAGCAGCTTCTCCACCTGCCCTGGCTTAGAGAAACACCCAGCTCAGCAGCTGCTGCTCCAGGGCAGGTACCAGGAAACCCTTCAGGTCCAGGCTGGATGCTGAGGCTGCAGCAACAGCACAAAAAGCCTGGTTGATAAATGTCAAAAGGAATCCAGATTTGGGCTGAAAGCAATTTGCCGAGCCATGCAAGCGCCCTGGGCTCACCATTTGCCTGCCTTCATTTATCATGGTGAGCACTTTGGCCAAAATACACAAAGGAGAGAAATTGTTGATGTGTGGGGCCCTCGCAGAGCAAATCCTTCATCCTCCTCCCCCTCCCCGCTGCACACAAACTAAGGGTTTGGGAGTTGTTTATTTAAGGACTGCAGAGCACTCGGTGCTCTTTGAACCCAAATGCCTTGGGAGCAGGGCTATGGGGCTGGCCACCACCTTCCCTCCTCTCCATGAGGTGCTGTTTGCTGCTGCTGGCAAGGACCTGCTGGTCGTGAGTTGAGAAGCACGATGTGCTCAGAAACCTGCTCTGTTTCTACCTCTTCCACCCCCTCAAACGTGGTACTAGTGGCTGGCACAGGGGGGTCTGTAACTGGTCAGGGGTGGCAGATGCTGGTTTTGGCAAGTTCTTGTGTTGGTTTTGGGTCTTGGTCTAGGTAACACTGACAGCACTGGTTCCGGTTCTCCATCCACAAAGCCATGGGGAATGCAAAGCCTGTCTCCCCTGCCCACCCTGCACCAGCTGGTGCCAAGCTCCTCATGCCTTCCCAGTAGCCAGGCTGCAGATGACTGCTGGCCACTGCAATGGGCAAACACATCTTTTGGGATGCATGAACCCAAGGGGCCAAACCAGCCAGGAACTGCCTCTTCCAAGGCTGCTCCTCCACACCTCATCTTAACTTTATTTTAAGCAAAAAACCAAATGCCAAGGTTCACAACAGGAGAGCACAGGCTCCTCCTGCAGTGGTCCTGGCTTCTGCGAGGTGCTGGGATTCAAATGGGCTGATGCACACAGTGAGCAGGGCAGCTGCTCCTCCTGTGCCCCGGCTCCCACGTGCGAGCCCTTTCCAGCAGTCTCCACTCTTCCTCCCTGTTGTTTTATTTTAATCTTAGTTCACCCAATTCTGTTGCCACCGGGATGAAGACCAGTGAGGAGAGATCCCCCCTCCCTCCAGTATAACACAAAGTGGAGGGACCCCAGCACAGAGCTGCTCCTGAGGTCTGGCAGAGCTGCCCCTGCCCATTGCTCTGGGCAAGGATGGTCACTGGGGTTTGTGGCAGTCCAGCCTTACTCGAGGGGGGAGTGTGTCCATCTGGATGATGCTCATCCAAGCAGCTCCTTGGTCTTTGCTGCCAGCAGCTTGTCCATCTCCGCTGCAGCGCTGTCTGCCATTTGCTGGATCTGTGGCGACATGGTACAAGTCAGAGTTGTGTGCTGGGTGAGAGTTTAAAGGGAAATGAAGGAAGGGATCGCCTCCTCAAACAAAGCCTAAAGTCCTAGTAAAACCCAAATAGTGCTGGGGCAATAACTGGCTCTTAGTGGGGGCTCCTACCATCCCTCAGTGATTCCGTGCCAGTGTTGCATCTGTACAATGAGAACAGGGACTGGTCAAAGGCTTTGAAAAGAGACACACACCAACTCCTGCCTGAGCTTCACAAGTGACTTGGTCCTTGTTTAACAGAGGGACTTTAGGGAAGGCAGAGTTAGAGACCTGCTGGTGTTGGCACCAGAGAAGAGAGGGTTTACCTTGTCACCTCCTGCAGCCTCTCCACTGTCAGAACCAACCAGGTAACAGCAGGAGCGCAGCCCTGGTACGTGCTAGGGATTCACACGTCAAGTAACTGAGCTGTTTATTTCTTATGAAAATAAACGAAACGGTGATTGCTGAAGCACTGCCCAGGAAGCAGGACTCTGGAAACACCGGATGGATGTGGCAGGCATGGAAACGGGACCAAAATGTGCACGTGCTTATTTGAGTGAGCGCAGGTAAGGGCTGGAGCACATCGAGGTGGGGGTTATGCACCAGTTTTCCAGGACTGATTAGGATGCACTCTCTACATGATGAAGACCTTTCCTCACACTGAAACATTTGGGTACAAGCGAAAACTAGACTTGAGCCGATACCTCCACAAATGCAGAAACCATCTGCCTGCTCTGGGAGAGCGGCTTCCCAACAGGATTCGGTTACAATAGCATGGCCATTTTTCCTGCTTGCACAAACGCTCTGTATATCGATGTTTATTTTTGTGAGCACACAGAGAACTGTCCCAAAGCATTTGCAATGTATCTAACTTTAGCTGTTAATAAACAAACAGCTAAAAAGTAATGGCCTGCCTTCAGAGGCATCAATTCAGCAAAACACTTAGGCTTGCGCCTGAGTTTATGCCCAAGTAATTGACTTTAGTGACATCTGCTCTTAGGGAATTAGGCATGTGCTTAAGTATTTTCCTGAATTGGAGCCAAAAACTCCTAACAGAGATAATCTCGCTAGCCTTTTCATTAATAACAAACTGGAGCAATCCTCATTAACCCCAGCTGTTTTGCAGTGGCCAGGCCCTGTGTAAATGGTGGTAAAGCTATGGATGTAGGTCATTTTGCTCCCCGAGTTCAGCTGCTTTGTGCAACAGCCCCTGTAAGCCTGAAAGCTTTGGGGGATCAGTTTTTCCCCCTGTGTCAGTTTACAATGGTTAGTACCATAAATCTGGCTTTGAGATTGAAGCCCCAAATCTCATAAAGAAAAAGCAAATACAACAGCCAGTGCTGACTCAAAATATCCAGCCCTGGGCCACCCACTCCCCAGCTGGGTTCTCAGTGCTGGAGATCTGTCAGCAAAGGGCTGGCACCAACACACCGGAGCTCTGAGACATCGTGATGTGGCAGAAGAAAAGAATGCATTACCTGCTTTTCCAGCAGCCAGATGGTATCTTCAGACACTTTGCTCTTGCTCTTCTTTATCTGGTTGATGCTTTTGCTTCGCACCTTTCTCAGCGCCTCTTTGGACTTGTTGGTGGATTGCTTGGCAAGCTTGGCCAGGCTCTCCCTGTGCTCCCTGGTTACCCTAGCAGCAAGGAGGGGGAAAAGAACACCAAAAGGAAAAACAGTGTCATGTGTGGCACAGCCAGATTTGTTTTCTGCAGCAGACTTCAGGTAAATGCAGTGATCATCTCTGCCACAGCACAGGGACACCTAAAAGCTGCCTGTGTTAATCACAGAGCTCTGTACTGCAGAGGGATTTAACAGCTCTGGGCACATTTTTACCCTGCTTGGGTCCACCTGAGCCACCTCTGCACAGCACCACCAAGGCAGCACACCCCAGTGAAGCAAGTCTTGAGCCTAGCATGGGAAGTTCCCAGCACAGCCCTAAGCTGATGGACTTGGACTGGATCTTACTTGGTTTACAGTTGTCACTGCAGTGCTTGAAATTTATGCTGAAATGTTCAGAGTTTCCTTTTTTCTGCTGCCAAAGCATCTGTGGGAAAGAGGGGAAAATCCAGCTCCAGACCTGAGAGATGGAGCTGAAAAGCATAATCCTGCAAAGCTGGGAGGAAACCTCTGTCCCTTCCTGAAACTCTTGGTATTGTCTCTCTGCAGCCAAAGAGCTTGAATTATGTATCTGGAAGCTACAGAGCTTATGTTTCACTCAGCCTTAGTCCAGCTCATCACGACCAGGCTCTTTTCCACCAAGACAATGCTTTGACAAGAGGATGATGCTACACATGGCTCGCCCCAGGTAATGCAGCCCAGGAGAACTTCAGCTCCACTTTTCCCCTGACATGGGGCCAGTTACTGCTGTGGTGCCTCAATAAAACCCTCAGACTGCCATCCCAAGCCAAGGTGATGAGGGAGCCTGGCCATCTGAATAAGGCACAGGGAACGGCTGGGGCATCACCTCAGCTCTGGTAGGGCTCCAGCATCTCCAGCTCATCACTGTCAACATCAACTGCTAGTGCTTAACAATAATAATCAATATCGTGGCTATTGGAGCCCCCAGACCCCCTCGAGTATGAAACCCCTGTGCTCCCCCCGAGGCTGGCGAGCAGGAGAGCGCCCGTCTGCTTGCAGCAGCTCTTACAAAATAAACATCTCACAGGAGTATTTAGAGATCGGCTGCAGCAGCCCCGGGTCACCAAAACACTGAGGCCGGGGCTCTTCCTGCACGGGGCTCAGGAAGCACGGGGCGAGGGCTCCCCGGGCAGCAGCAGCTCTGCCCATGCATGGGGGTGTGTTAGAGGGAGGCTGCTGGGGCACAGTCGGACCCTCAGCCCTTCCCAAGCTCGCGCTGAGCCCAGCGAGTGACGCACATGCCGATACCTTCCCAGGTTGCTCGCAGCAGATGTCTGCAGAGGCGCTGGCCTCGTGCCAGTTTATCTTCATTTCATGGTGCAAGAGGGAATAGGCTTCCCAGAAGTGATGAGTAATAACGGGGATTTGGAATCACTGGGAAAGCTGACAGAGAGAGCAGCGACCCAGCCCTGGCATCCATGGCTTTGCCTTGCAAGCACCCTGTCCTCCCCCAGGGGCACCCCCAGCCCATCCCGCTCCATGAGGAGATGGGCAGTGGATTTCACACGTGGCAAGAGCTTCTGGTCAGTGCAGGCTCCAAGCTGGACCAAACACCCAATTAAAGTGAGTGGGGTTACTCGTGGTTTCCTCTGCATCCCAACATCGATGCCTTCAGGGCTTCTCGTGTTCGATCTCCCCAGCCGGAGGTCCCGCAGCGCATGCGGAACCAGCAAAGCCGGCTCACAAACAGGGGTCTGCGTGAGGTCAGGTTCTCAGGCAGCTTTGTAGGGGGGTAGGGAGTCAATCCTGGCTGCTAAACTTGGGAGGAGGGAGCTGGAATTCCCATCTCCTGCTGGGTGGCGAGGCAAGCTGGGCTGCAGCAGGGCTGGGGAGACCCAGCTCGCCGACAGCTATTCGCCTCCCTGCTCCCGCTCGGTTACTCCGAGTTGTGCCGAGGGTATCACTCGCCTGCTTGGGGCTGCAGAGCCTTTAAGGAAATGTTTTTGTTTATGCAGCGCTGCCAGATTTCCTATGCTTCTTGGCACGGGGTCACAGCTTTCATGCCTCCTTGTCTGTCTTTATTAACACCAATTTCTTTTTATCACTGCGCAGTGCCGTGGAGTTTCTCAGCGGGTTTTATGTTCCAGCCAGACTGTGTGTAAATTCTCAGCAATGCTACCAACAATGCCAGAAACGGACACTTTTTCAAGCAGATGCTGTTTCTGGTTAAGGAATCCATCAACACGAGCCAGGCCCATGGTTTCTAAGGACAGTTGTTTAATCCTGCCCCCAGACCTGGGACTTTTAAGCTGTTCTTAGATATGTTTTCTTTTCTGTCTAGTAACCATTGTCCCTACCCCCTCTTTAAAGCCAACAAAAGCATAAAGTGAACCTGGGGAAGGGTGCCAGAAGTGGGGAACAGGGAGAAGGTCCCTGTCTGTTGACCCTTCTGCTCTCCCCACTGCAAGGAGCAGTGGGCTCAAATCCTGCCATTCCCTCAGGGACAATCCTGCCCTTGCCAGGATCAGGATGGAGGCTGGTTCCTGACACGCCAGGGTGTTCAGAAATGCACACAACCCCTTGGGTAACATCTCTTTTTCTGCTTCCCCCAGTGACCAGTGGTTTAAGCACTGCAACCCCTGGATGCTCCTCTCATACAGCAGAAGCAGACCCACAGCGAGCACAACATGGGTCACGTCTCCAACGCAAGACGCTTCTGCGGTAAGAGTAATTTCTGTATCTCAAACACTAGGAATTTCCTGTGAAGAGAGGGATCAGTTAAAGGAAAGTAGGCTTAACTAAATACTCTGCATGCATAATTGCAGATAAACATAGGGTGCAACGTATATTGCTCAACAAAAAGCATGCAAGAGGCTTCTGATGATGAGCGATCCAGAGCAACGCAGCGCAGAAACAGCTTTGGGCTCTTTCAAAGGAGAGGGTTTCTTGGAGTCCTTTCTCCCTGTCGTAGGTATCTTTGCATATTTCTTAAAGGGCAAAGGGAAAAGAAAAACGCTCACAATGAGTCATTAAACTTTCAAAAGAGTCATCTGGCTTTCAGTAAAGCATGTGTAAAAATATGACTGATTTACAAACAATATCCAGCGTAACACAATGGGTCCAAAAAAGATGAATCTAAAAATGAGGCACCACCAGAAAAGACACAAGGTCAGGTCAAATTCGGCCAAGAGATCAACCAATACGAATGTTCCCATGGCTGCTTTTCTTTCTCTTCTTTTTTTTTTTTTTTCCCCTTTTAAAACCCTCAGAGAATACTTTTTACACAAATAAATATTGCCTGTGCGGTGCTAGCAACACAAACAGGAGAATGCCTTAGGGAGCAGAGGGGATCCAAGCAGGCAGCAGAAGTAAACACCAGCGGAACGAGTGTATTTTTTCTGCTACAACTGCAATGCAAAAGCTAAACTCCTAGAATAAATACTGAAAAGTAAACTCCATCTTCAAATACTCAGCTGAAACAGGCGCAAGCGCTGAAGCTGGATCTGCATAAGGCACAACGACACGTGTCTGGCTGATAGAGCAGGCTAAAAAGTGTCTTTAGTAACAGGTCAGCTTTGATTTTACTTTTACTGTGCCTCCCCTCGTGAAAGAACAGATTTCTGTAGAAACAACCTTATCTCTATTGTCTCTTCCTTTCTGATCTGCTTCCTCATTTTTCACACCTGCCATCATTTGGGCAACCTCTCTGCATTTGTCTTGTATATTTTGTAAAGAAGGGCTGGGAAAATGAAAAACTTAGATAATTTAAGACAGCCATTCAGGGATACAGTATTAAAGAGAGGCCACTAATAGAATTTGACTATTTCCACCCTCCCTGTGCATTAGAAGGTTTTAAGGTTGAGAGGGTCTTTTGGTAAGTGGTTGAAACTCTGCCAGACCCAGTCATGGTACTAAAGAGCAAACGGGATGTCAGAGGCAGACCTGTAGGGCACAGCTCCCAGGCTATAAACCTATTTAACGTAGGGCTCACTGGGCTGCCAACCAGCCAGGGAGAAAGGGGCCAGGACCTGCACCCGTTACACACCAGAGGAACAGGGGAGCACACCAGGCACATCCTCCCTGGAGAGAGAAGACTCATTTTAGCTCTGCAGCACTGCAAAAGACGGTGACAGATTTGTTTAAAAACCAATATCTTTTTAAAGATTGGGATTTTCAGTTTTGGAGTTTCCTCCCCTGCAATTCCTATTCAAGGATGACCCAAGTGCCCATTAACAATCAAACCACTGTGCAGCAACCCGGGAGCCTCAGCAATTATGAAGATAATGGTGCCCTCCTCCTCCTCCTCCTCTCCTGAGGAATGGGGGAAGGGCAGGGAGCACGGGGAAAAGAAAATCAGCAAATAGAATGATAATGTCATTCCCTCTCACCGACAGCAACGGAAAGCTGCAATTACACTTCTCCGATCAAAATGCTAGGGAAAAAAACATTCCATAGAATTTTAAAAGTAGATGTAAAGCACGAGGAATACTTGGCTCATCCTGACTGAGAAGTCACCTGCTTGTAAAACACAGCGCACGTGCAAGGGGTTTGCACGCCCAGGCAGTGTAGGGAGCTCTCTTCACCCTTTGTGGGTCCAGCACTGTGTAACCCCAGGGTGTGAGGCCATGTACACCCAGCCAGGGCATTTAGATGGCTGCAGGGTTTAAGCAGCCACAGGAACCCATGAATTATCCTTGCAACACCCAGTCCTGCCCATCTCACACACTCTGTCTATGCAGGCCAGTTGTGCAGCAGTAGGAGCATCGCTGCTGGGAGGTCCAGCCTGGTCCCAGGGACCAAACACATGTGTGCAGTGGGGGAGCACTCGCTGAGCTCCCAGAAGGTACCTCTCTAGTATGATGAGGTACCTCATGTGAAAGGAATCCCATTCACAGGGGGAGCCCCCAGCGTGCTGCAGCCCAAAGCACACTAAGCAGGGATCATCAGGATTGCTTCAAAAGCGCTCTCTTGATCCAAACTGAAGCACTGATGCAGTAGCACCTTCTGCTTTGTCCAAGGGCTGGGATACTCCTGTGATGGGTGAGGGAAGCGATGCTCAAGCCTCAGCCAGGAGCAGCCTGCTTTTCTAGCAGGTCTATTCCAAAACTTCCACACAGCCATCAGCTACACAATGTGTATTACATGAGAAGAGGGACTGGATTCCTTAGTCAAAGCTATAAATTTCCTCCTCCTTTCTTTCATCACCACATTTTAGTGTTTTCTGCAGCAAGGTGCTACTCGCCCCTAAGACTGCTGGTTCACACCAGTGCTGCTGCTACTCTATGCTGGTGCAATTCAAGGAATTTACAGCAGGGCAGCAAAGAATCAGCCCCTGACTTGAAGCAATACATCTTCAAAAGCCTTTGGCTGTCTCTTGGAAAGCGCTGCAGCCAGCTAGGACCAAGTCTCCTCTGCAGGGGGAAGATAAAGAACAATAAGACCAACCATTAGATGCCAAAATGTGATGACTTAGAGCTCAGACACTTGGAAGAGCTTCCTCCAGCCATTTTTTAGGGGCTCAGATTTTTTTCTGAACCTGAAATACAGCTACTTGGAAAGCAGCTGCATCATGACATTACAGCAGTCATGCATGCTTCCCCTCTGAAGGGCACTCACTGCAAGCCACTGTGTTATCTTGCACGATGATGAACTTGGGCAGCCATCAATACTCACTTAGGAACTGGCACCCGGATTATTGTCCCATCCACTTCTGGGTTCAGGTTCATGCCGCTCTCCCTTATAGCCTTCGTAGCTGCAGCTGTGCTCTGTAAAACAGATCAAAAGGTAAAGGGAATTAGGAAATAATCACTCCCATATGCCAGAACTCTGTCAATAGTTGGCAATCCATCTCCATGGAACATGGAAACATTTACTTCTGTTACCAGTAAGATCAGGAAGTTACATTGGTGCGGAGAGCTTTGATCAAACCGAATGGGAAACTACGGCTGCGCTCGGTATCGGGGCAGGGGGGCACAAAGGGGGGAAGAGGGGAAGGGAAGCAACAACAAAAGAAAACTGTTTGGCTTCTTTGAAACTATTTGACTGGTTTGAGGCAACGCAGAGTGAAACCGCAATAAAATCCCAAGACGTCGCCTGACTGTGGCGAAGGAGATGAAAGATTCTGAGCGTTTAGAAATTCCAGTTGAATGTTTCCCACTAGAAATCACACAGCAACTTAACCACTTCGGCACTACAGCCTGACCGCATCACATCAGGCCAGCAGCAGTTGGCTGAGAAACAGTGCCTGTGCCCAGCTCTATGTTTATCTCACAGCTTATTACTTGGGATTAACTTCTCCAAACTCTACCACCACTGGCTGGCTACTCTGCTCTGCTCAAAACAGGGGGTGCTGCGATGGGGTAGCTGCAAAGTGATTAAGAGGCTTCCTTCCCCATCCCAGGGCCCTGGTGTACCTTTACAGAGTGACAGGCTGAATGGTTAAATCAGAGCCTTGCCAGCAGGAGCGCTCTGCCAGGTCGCTTCGTTCTTGACATTGTCAATAACAACACCGAGCGAGTCTGTATTCATGTGGTATTTCCTACAAGGCACATTGCTATTTCTGATACTCCTTCCCATCATTCACTTTGGCTCCAAGCTGCTGCAGGAGACTGTGTTTAGGGTTATTATGTATTTATCAGTTCAGCTTTTGTCAACTGAGGCACAAAGTTAAGCTTGGCATATCTGCTTAGGTCTCCGACGCGTGCCATCACTGAATGGAATGAATGCTAGTGTTCTGTAAGACCTAACTGCTGTCCTATAGAACACAACAAGGGCAGAGAAAACGTAACCAAGATGATCTCAGCACATTAGGAATGTAAATGTGTTATTCTATGGACAGTGCTTGCTCTGTAGGAAGGAAATGCTCAGTAAAAGCTGTGTTGTTTAACATACAGATTGGAGGAGATAGAGGAAGGGGAAAATACTGCAACATTGCTTCATCAACTTGCAGCCCATGGAATAAACAGCCAGGCTTAAAAAACAGTCTTGTTTGGTTTTATAACTCCCAGGCAAACAGAATTTGGCCCTGAAAGTCCTTTTCTGTGATTATTTTCTTTTCCAGACTCTTCAGGCATTTTTATTTGCTTTTCAATGCCATGAAGTACTGACAATATGCTGTAAATAATGACATCAAGTAAATTATCTGTAATGGTTTTAAAGAGTTCAATCTATCCATGGAACAGTTATGGTATAAACTAACTGCATTGAGAGAAGCAGTTCTAGCTCTAGTTTCAATGAAAAATTGCCCTTTGGCTTAGACAGCCGACGCAGGCAATGCTATACAGTGGGCTATTTAATGTCTCACATGCCCACTTCTCAGCCTGAACTCCTGCTTGGACATGAGCTATAGTCATGGAGTGACTTCCCTGGCTCTCTCCGCTCTGGCACTCCAAGGGACCTCGGTGCACTCACTGATGAGGAGCCTCCCTTCTTCAAAGCCATTATACATGCTGGATGCACTTTAAGAAACACTTAGGCATCAAGTGCTTTACACTGACCTCCTCTGAGACTTTGCTGACTTAATTAATTGGGGAAAGCCTTTGGAAAATAAATAGAGATAAGCTTTGGCAAAGCTCCAGACCTGGAGCGGGATGAATAGCTAACCTTGTGCTCTTACTGCTCCTATCTGCACGGCTGCCCAGCACTGCCCGTGCGAGTCTCCCCAGGGGATGTTCAGCATCAACCTGTTTGTTCCCATGGTAATGATCTCCCCTTGCAATGCCTCCGGTGAGGTGTCCTTACCTCTGGAAAACTGGCCATGTTCACCACAATGAGCTGCGGTGACTTCAGGGAGATCTGCCCCAGCTGGTTCAGCGGAAACTTCCCATCTTTTGTCACCACGGTGATGTGATCAAGGGCCCCTCAAAAGAAGCAAACACAGGGGGTTTCAGTGTGATACAGCAAAGCTGAAGGAAAATGCGTGCACTGTGTCCCACTTCCCTTGTGCTATGCAAAATATAGATGTTACAAAGGGAAAATAACCCATGTTTATTCAGACTTCAGATGCTGTTTGTGTTCCTGCATCCCCGGTGGTATTTGCAACCTAAGTACTTCAACGCTGCTGTAAAGCACAAAAACATAGAAACAAAACTCGTGTTTGTTTTTGTTACTAAATAGGAAAACTAAGCAGGATTGTTAAGAATTAAAAGGAAATCGTTATTTTTTAATTCCTAGAGATAAAGAAAATCAAACTGTTGTTATACAAATCAAGAGTAATGTCTTTAATGTAGCAGTGTTCTCTTTCCCCCCCTCCAAGTCCCAAGAGGGGGTGTTGTACACGGCCTAATTTAAAGTATTCGGTTTCTCCCTGAGCTACTCTTAATCTGCTCTCTAGTTTCTGCTGCAAAATGTTAACAGGCCAAAAGGCACAGGGGACAAGAGGTACTTTATCAATGCAATTAAAAAACATACCTATGGTTAAAATAAATAGTTAAGAGCCTGAGCTATGCTTTCCAACTCCATTAAAGACTGATGTTCCCCTGCCAGAGCTGGGGTGGTGAATGATTCAGGCTTGGTCATTGTTTAATGTTAAGTTTTATCCTTGAAACTTGATACTACTTACAAATAGTTCAGAGTGTTATAGTAACTGTAGCTTAGTCAAATATATTCACGTTTCTTCCTAAAACACAAACTTCATTAAATGAACAAGGCTTGTGAAGGTCACTAAACACAAAGATGCACAGCAAAAAGAAGTTTGTATATGCCAGACACCAGCCTGATGGCAGTTTCCAAAAGGCTAATTTAATGGCAATTGGATTTTTCCTGCCCTACTGCACCATTAGCTGACAACCTGCTTCTTCATCACATCTGCAAACGGTTCAGTTAGATACTTTTGACATCTCCCACTTAGGAAAGCTATTTCCAGGAAGCTATTAACAAAAATGGATTCTTCCTGGTCAAGCTGAGGTGAAGAAAGCCTTTAGCTGGAGGACATCAAGGTTGGAGTAATTGGGTGCCCAGTGAATAACTCAATCAAAAGAAAATAGATTTGGAAAAAATCAGAGTTCCTCATTGCTAGGAAAGGTACCCGTCTTTACAGGCAATAGAGCATCATGCAAGAAGGTTACCAACCTGGGGAGGTTCTAACACTGAGGTTTCTGCTTAAGTCTTCTTTCAGAGCTTCTACCACCGCCTGCATGTCTTCACTGGTTTCCTCCAAATTGATAATATCCTCAACTAGGGCAGCACTGATATTCACTTTGGCTTGACTCTGCCCTTTACCTTTAGCTGCAGATTATACAAAAAATTAGGTTCTATTTCTGACAACAGTTAGGCTGCATTTTAAAGCAGAAAGAAGACATTAACCAACTCCCTGTTAGAATCAAAACTGAGTCCAAGATAAACCAAAATAACCATGTTTTTTAATGAGTAAATAGCCCAGCACTTAAGCACAAAATGTATCTGTTGGTTACATTGTGTGAACTGACTTCAGCCTGGACTGTGATGATTGATACCCGCTGCCTCAGCGCAGCAGCAGCAGCTCTCCCAGGGGAAGGGCCAACATTTCCCATGCACTGCAACACCATGAGGCAAACCAGCTCCTCCAGAGCTGCGTTCTGCCTAAGTCAGATCAATACTTGTACATGAGATAAAGGGGACAGGAAAGGAAATTCTGCCAACATACTGAGGGGCTGCAAACAGTAGGAAACCCATTACCTTTCTTGGTAGCTAGCTGTCTGGTCAGCAGCACCTGATGGACACACTGCCTGCAGCCATCCAGGAGCAAGGATGGGCAGCCCGTGGGAGCCTGTGGCAGCCCCCATCTCACTGCGAATGAGGAGCGATAAAGCAGGGAAGGCAGATGCCAGAAGCATCTTAGTGCCATGGCCATCGTCTACAGCGTCTCTCTAACCCACCTGGAAAAGAGAAGAGGCAGGTGGTCCAAGTGCTAAGAAATGGATTCAGGTCTCAGTTGTACCTATCAGTGCGAGGTGGGAGCTGAGCCCTACGGGTGCTCTGCAGTGGCCAGCGGGCAAATTCAGTGGAAGGGGCTGCATGGGAATGCATCTGCACAGCCGTCCAGAGGGGCCTGTGGCACAGGCTCTGTTAAGCAGGAACAGCTCATCAGGGGAGCTGGTATCCACACATCAGCTGCACAGAACCGTTAATTGCTGCCACTCGTGGCCTGCGGTCCCAAACCCCGCTGAGCTCCCACAGCTTTATTCGGAGCTGCAGAAACAAACGTTAAACCCAGTCCCTGCCACGCAAGGCCGCGATGGGTGCGGGAGCCAGGGCACCACCACTGCCGGCTGCGGGAGGGACCGGCCCGGCCCTTCCCTGCTCCCCGCCGCTCCGAGGCCGGCCCCGGGCGGAACCGCTGCGCCTCGTCCCCCGGCCCCGCTCACCGCGGGGCACGTGTGCCATGGCTCCGCCCACCGTGTTGCCCCGCCCACCGCGGTGCCCCGCCTCTTCACAAGGCTCCACCCCCCTCGCCTGGCCCCGCCCCCTCTGCCTCCCTCTCCTCGGGGCGCACCGACCCCGCCCCTCCCGCGCGCTCCCCCCGGTGCCCCGCGGACACCGGCCCGAGCCCCGCCCCTCCCGCCGTGCACCGGGGCCGGGGCCGGGGCCGGGACCGGGACCGGGACAGGAGGGGGGAGCGTGGCCGCCCGCAGCCTCGCTCACCGTCGCGCGGCCCCTTGCGTTCCATTAGCGTCATCGGTCCGCGCCGCGTCCGTACGTCACAAGTCGTCGCCAAGGGCGGGGCGAGGCGAGGCCTAGGCGAGGACGGCGCGGCAGCGGCCCGCGCGGTGTCATGGTGAGTGCGGGCCCGGCCCGACCCCAGCGCCGCGGCCGCCGCTCTCCCCGGTGCCCCCCGCAGAGCCATGGAGCCGGGCCGCCAGGCGCTGCCGCTGGAGAACGCCTCCATCCTGTCCGAGGGCGCGCTGCAGGACGGGCACCGCCTCTGGATCGGCAACCTCGACCCCAAGATCACCGAGTGAGTGACCCCGGGCGCGGCCCCTCCTCCCAGCACCGGGCCCGCCGTCCCCCCGGTAGTGCCACATCCCCGCTGCGGTGCTGGCTCCGGGCGCTGCCCGCGCTCCGGGCCCCGGTGCCGGTGGTGGTTCGGGGGCGCCCAGGAGAGCGGCGCAGGCTGGTGCAGCGCCCCCTGCTCTGGTCTGTGCCCCTAAGCGGGGGGTGATGGAGCAGCTTTGCCAGCTGGGCCCGGCTCTCCCGGCCCTGCGGCTGCTCGGAGCTGCTGCCCGGCCGCAAAAGGCTTCAAGTGTGTGTGTGTGCGGGGTGCGTGTACATGGGGTGTTCTCAGACATGGGGTGTCTCCAGGGCTGTGCTGACCCCATAGACCCAGGGGTTGGAGGCACCAACATGCTTAACTACTGCATGCAGAGGTCCTCCAACTGGAAACCCAAGGGTTGAAAACATCTTTGTTTTCTAAACAATGGAAATATCAGAGTTCCAGGTTGGAAACTTTAGGGTGACCAAGAGCCTTGTTTCTTGCTGGTGTCAGCAGTGGGATGTGGGTTGAACAGAGGATTACTCTTGTAACTGAGTGGTAATGAGGTGGGATGTGGTGTGGCGGGCTGCTTGTGGCGGATAAGCACATAAATCAAATGCATGTGTGTATGTTCATGCTTTCTTCAGACTACAGATGATTATCTTCTGAGCAAACAGTTTCTGAACAGCTAAATAGTCAAGGAAGTATGACTTACTGCCCAATATTTGGGTGGTGTGCTGGGAAATCAGTAGGGCCTATAAAGAAGAAGCCCAAACCAAAACAATCTGGGGTTTATGCACACCTAAGAAACAAGCAGTTTTTAGTGTCTTATTGTATCTCTCTGTCATGGAATACTTTTTCTTCCGGGTTCTTTTTGTGTGTGCAGGTGCTAGGTTTTTACGCTAAATGGGGTTCATCTTAACAGAGCAGTTTTCTGATAGCCTCTAAATGGGATCGTTAATGCTTTGTGCTTTTTAGCCTTCCAGCTCGGGTGGTTTCTGCATTCATTACCACTTTACCCCGCAGTTATGTTGCTCTGGTTTGTCCACATCCACTGACCATGTAACATTAAATAGGGGAGTTCTTGAGCATGCAGTTTGGGTCTTTAAAGATTTAGGAAACTGGGTTAGTGTGAGGGGAAGAACAGTGGGTGTTTGCACATGCATTAATGGTGTCTTTAAGGACCCTTTCAGTCTAGGTTGTTCCTTTGATTCTAGGCCAGACAAGTAACAACTTTGTATGGCAAAACTTACTGTTTTCACAGCTTGGGTGAAATGCTTTTTGTGGGTTTCAGTTGGTGGCTTCCATGTGCAGGCTCTGCCTTTCCAAATAACTTGTTGCAGCTGCATGGATTCAGGTGTGGGGCAGGGCTGCCCTGGAGCCCTCTGTGCCTCAGACGGAGTCCAGAGCAGTGTCACAGCTGTGAGCAAGGGGCAAGAGACTGGTTAGAGGGCTTCATTCACCTGTGTCATCAAGCCTAGAGTGCTTCCATGCTACTCAATGCTTGAGGTTTGCCCTGTGGTGAGTGGCAGTGCTTGTCACTTATTTCAGGCCTTATAATTCTGTATTTTGCTTTTAATTCTGCTTAAAAATCAGTTATTCTCTCCTGCAAGCTGTATTGTAATCTCTACCTCCTTGTGAATAAAAATGGGGAAGTTCCTTGTAATGCATTGTCAGTGTAGAGAGAAAGAGTGCAGTTCTGTCAGGTCAGTAAGTTTCTATAAATCATCTTGATCCTTACTTTCTTATCCTGAGAGCTTACATCCTTGCTCATGGTTGTTCATCTGAATTATGCTTGTTGAGGTCGCTAATCATGCAGCTAAAGACATATACCTGAAAACTACACAGCTGTTTCTTCATTTGCTGCTTCTATCTGCCTTTTTAAAGCATTCCCCTGTTAGATTTGCTTAAGACACAGTAAAGCTGATTGAGTTGTTAGCGGGGTTAATAAGTGGTTGTGACTTCCTCAGGCAGAAATGAGTTCAGAAAGTCTTGAATTAATCCAAGACTTCCATTTGGAGAGCAACCTATAGCTGCAATCAAGCACTAGGGAGTTAATAGGTAACGTACACGTTGAAGCACAAGCTGCAGCAACAGGAATGTATAACTGTAGGGCTGCCCAAAATTACAGCCTGCAAGTTGGTGGCTGAGAGGAGGTTATTGCACATACCGAGTAACTGTGACTCAAGTGGGAGTCTCAAAAGATCTTGAATGCTGCCATACCCCACATACAAGGTTATGGTGGGTCTTCTGGTGGACATTCCTCCTTAATGTGTTTGTTTGGGTGGCCTCTCTCTTAGCCAGCATCCTTTGAGGATTGTTCTGCTTGTGGCAGAAGATCGTATTAGGAGTCTACTGAGTGTATTCTTGGCAGCTGGAAAGAGGCGAGCTGGCACCTTGCAGCATTTCAGGACACTGTCCAGGCACATCTGATGCTGAATGATCCCTGCTGTGGGTCTTGTCACTGGAGTGCACAACGAGAGCAGCAGAGAACTGGTTCTAGGTTTGGCATCACTGAGCAAGGAAGCCATGGAGTCCCCTCACCGTCACTGTGAGCATTTGTCACATCACCTCCCAGTGCTCCCATCTTGTGGGGGTAAAAAACCCTATGCTTTAATTCCATCTCCTGTGTGGCAAGGAGCAGGAGTGCCTTCTCTGCCAGTTCCTGTTTGTAAAGCCTTCTGAGGCTTTTCAACATTCTGGACAGGCAAATATTTCATTTCCCGCTACAGTTACACATATTGTCCAGTTTCCAGTAGCCTCTGAATGACCATTCATTTTCCAGGGGTATGAAATAGCGGGTGTTCAACTTCCTTGGCTGCTCTGCTGCTTGTCTAGGATCCCATCTTGATGAGTCTCACCTAGAAAACAATGTGTGCATAAGTTGTTGTTACAGACCCCTGCTGAGTCCCAGTGGGGCAAAATTCTTCGCAATAATAGGTTTTGCATGTGGCCCGGTACCTTTGCGGTATCCTTGGGACAGCATTGTTCAGAGGAAGCCTTGCCTGTGTTTGAATAGCGCTCGGGGTGCCAGGAGGAAGAGTGGAGGAAAAGGAAATGGGGGAGCTGCTGGTTTGTCTCGCATCCACATCAGATGACAGGAAGTGGAGACCGAGGTTGGCCGCGGTGATCTGCGCAGCGCCGTGGGGCCACATCTGCGCGAGCGACTTCCAGGCTCTGGATAACCCAAGTCGTTGCCATAGTAAAGCTTTTGACATGTTCTCACTTCAGGTTTTCCGTGACGGCTCTTCCTTCGCACTGAAGTCCTCTTGGCTTGGAGAACTCCTTGTCGAGTTACTGTTAATGCCCTCATTATATTGACAATAACAAATCATAAGCACAGCCTGAAACTGTTTGTTATACAAGACTTCAGTTCTGAGCTGTGCCATGGAGAGTGGGTGACCTGCAGCTGTAAAGATGCGTGCGTGGTTGGAAAATAGGCTTTGATTCACCCAGGATTTAAATATTCTAAATGAAATAGGTGCCCTAAATTGCTTGTAGACACTTAATGGAACTTGTTTTAGAGGAACAACTACCACGTTGCTGCTAAGAACTATTTGAATGCAGAGGTTCTCGGAAAAGAAAACAAGCACTAAGTATTCCTTTGAGCAGCTGCAGGGCTTTATTGTTGCTAAACAGAATGCAATGAGAATCATCATTGCCCTTCCACTGCCAGAAAGGGAACAGCATTCTGGTGGCAAGGACTTTATTTTCATACTGCTGAAACTGCAAGTGCTTTTTGTAGCAATACGCTTACAGAAACAAACCTGAGGTGCATTTGCATCCTTTGGAGGCACTGAAAGCTTAGCGTGTGGGGGTTTATGTACATCACAGCTCCAGAGTCAGTGGTTTTACTGGTACCCCGGTGCCTGCTTCTTTTAAGGTGTGTCCCCAGTTCTGTGCAGACTGAGGGTTTGTAGGCCCCTTGGAAGACCATGTGCGTGGTCTGTATTCTGAAGGATGTAGGAAACCTTTCATAATCAATTACAATGCGTTTGTTCCCCTGGGAGATAACTTGGCCCTTCTGCACTGCTCTCTGTACGTTTGCTGCACCTTCACCTCTTTTAAAAGTGCATATCCTGAATGTCCACCGTGACCATCCTGTGAGATGACTCACATTCCTGGAACTTTCTTGCCTGGCTCCTGAAGCTTAACAAAGGGCTAAAGCCCTTCTCAAACATCCTATCAGGCTTTATTAGGAAAAACATTGTCTGCTCTTCCTATCTGGACTGTCCCTGAAGCTGCCTGGTGTTTTTGGCTCTCTTGGGCCATTACTGACCATTCATGTCTGCACATGCAAGGTTTAATCCAGTGCCTGGTGCTCCATGTGCGCTCTGAGTTACCCTGGTAGGCTTTCAGAGCGCTGAGTGTTATCTTGTAAGCTGCAGATTTGGCTTAGACCATGTGGCTTGCTGATGAATGGTATGCAGCTGATCAAAGGAGATGACTAAGACACCCTTATTAAACCCTTAGACAATTCTTAAGCACTAGGAATGGGGTGAAATAGTAGCAAGTGTCGTTTTCCTTCTAGGTCAGGTAGTGTTGTGAAACACTTTGGTCTCAGGGAACCAAACAAAGCTGCAGAGAGCTTTGAGGATTAGATGTGGTCTGTACAACAAATGTGCTCCTTGTTCTAAGTTGCTCAGTGCACTAGATACTAAGCAGACAGATTTGCTCTGGCTTTCCCCAGTTTTATTGGAAACAGCACACTCCCCACTGGATGGCAGGGAGATAATTGGCTAAATAAGTGTCTGACTTTCATGTGCATGTCGCTGAGGAGCTGTCTGAGCCAGGAGCATTGGCAGATTTGGGCTGGATGATGCTGAGGTCTGTCTGGTGCCTTTTTTTTTCGGCCTTGGTCTGCTGTCAATGCCTGGTTGCAGTTTGTTCTGCTTATTCTTCCATCTTCCTGCTTCTCCCGCGCTGCCGGGCCAGTGGGAGAGCGGCTGCATTTCTGTATGATCTGGCCATGTCCTTGCCACTGCACTGTTACTGCTTGGCACAGGGAAAGGATGGGACTGGCAGTGCTTGTACAGGGAGGGGCAGCAAGAATAGCAGGGATCCCGAGTGAGGCAGGGTGCTGTGAGCTGTGGGCTGGAACTGCTTGTGTGGGGAAAGGAATACAGGGATGGAGCTTCAGGCAGTCACATCAGGGCTAGGGAAGGGGAGAGATGATGTTTATGCTTAAAAGTAGATGTGATTTAGAGGCAGGAGGCAAAGCCCTCCCAGAGCTCTAGGGAACCATTGCATAGTTGTCCAAAAGCCAAGTATTAATAGATCTTCTGCATGCCCTTCAGCTGGTACCACTGGGAGGGAAGCTTTGTGCTTTGGAGTTCTAGAGCAGCCCCAGGATAGTGCAGCTCAGAGCTATGGAAGCTGAAGCATTGCTGTGCAAGGCACCCACCTCTGTGGGTATCTGGGAATGTATGTGTGATACAACCGAACTGCTTATGCTACTGAGTGTGAAACGTGTGTGTGTCAGGGGGGTTCCTCTCTATCTCCTCACTTTCAGAGTGGTGAAAGGTGTCATAAATGTCTTCTCTCCCCTTCAGGTACCACCTCCTCAAACTCCTTCAGAAGTTTGGCAAAGTAAAGCAATTTGACTTTCTCTTTCACAAGTCCGGTGCTCTGGAGGGGCAGCCGAGGGGTTACTGTTTTGTGAACTTTGAAACCAAACAGGTATGTTGCTTTTGTCTAAAGTTCTGATGTGAATGGCTGGTTTCATTCCACATCTTTTGGGTTTTGTATTAATGTAAAGCTAAAATGGGAAGGAATAAATTGTATAACTTGTTTACACAAAGCTACGGACTCCGCTCTGTGACAGCCACATTGTGACTGCTCCTGGAAATAGCAGTAGTGGTTTCCTTTCTCCTTTGCTGTCTTATCCTGAATCCTGCTTTCTAATGGTAATCAGAAGGGGGCAGTTCTATGATCCACTTTTGTAGTGAGCTCCTGGAGTTGTACCATGGAGGTGCTGCTAAAACTGTTCAAAAGTGAGCAAGTACAGGTGTTTGAAGATTGCTTGTGTGATCTCATCTGTTTGCTCTGCAGTTGCTGGTAAGGATGTCAGAAGAGCCTTTACACGCAGTGTGATGGCTCTTGAGAATCATTCCTAGCAAGGTGGGAGCAGCATAAATCTTCAGCTGTCATGAATTGTGTTTTATGGGAGTGCCCTAAAATTGAGATTCCACTGCTGAGTCTAGAACAGGACCAAATGGATAAATGTCCCCAGTGCGCATGAGCAGGATCCGGAATAAGCATGGAGAAATGTTGGAGATGTGTAATCACTGTGATGAGTTTTCCCCATTTTCTTCCCCCAAACAAGTGAAAGACTAAGCCAGTAAGGCTGATAAAAGTCTGGATACTCTAATGTTGGAGTCATCCAAAGATACTGCTGACTTGGGATGCCATGGGATAATCTTTCTCTGCTGTTGGCTAGCTGTTCTGATGAACAAAGAGAAAAGGCTCTTTACATCCGAGTCGGTTTTGACTAAAACGTGGTTTGTTTATTGAACTGTCTTCCTGTGCAGGAAGCAGAAAAAGCGATCCAATGTCTCAATGGGAAGCTGGCCCTTTCCAAGAAACTGGTGGTGCGGTGGGCACATGCACAGGTCAAGGTAAGCTCGGTGTTGTGGATAGGAACTGCTTTTAATCTGCAGAATTGAGAAACTTTAATATTGAGGAACCATTTTTATCGAGGCTGTCTTAGCCTGGCAAGATGATTTCAGTTTGTTCTAAGAGAAATAACTCCCGCAGAAACAGCAATAACAAACTGCCCCTTCTTTTGTGTGCTGAAACTGTGCTGGCTGAGCTGTGAGCAGTATGAGCCATTTAACCTGGTGCTCTTTGCGAGGGGGTTTCCGATCGGAGCGGTGTGAACAGGTCACTTGTGTAAATGCCCATGTTTTAATTCTTCCCCAACTCAGCGAGTGCCTGAAAGTTTGAATCCTTCCCTTTGTGGCTTTGCTCCCTTTTTGGAGAGGAGATACATGGAAATTCCCAATTACCAAGTACTTTGTTGCTTTGTTCTATTCCTGAAAGCACTTAACGTGGACGCAGCTCTGATTACTTTTGACTTTAAAGCAACATATTTCACATCTAAGCTAAATATCCTTTTTATTGCTTGCTGTGTCACATAAAACATCAAGTTTTTAATATTAACCTAGGCAGTGCCTTCTGGAACATCCTTGTTTTAATTTTTATTTAATTTTTCTCTTGTTTTCTCTGCAGTTATTTGCTATTTGGCATTTGATAAAGCAATTTATATTGAATAACTTTCTTTGCAGATAAATGGATTTTGGGAGAAGCTGCTTGTTGCTGTTTTCTTCTGGGTAGTTTGCTTTCGATAATCCTGCAAGCAGCTTTCTACACGTATCAAGTGTTCTAGTGCATCTATTTTGGATGCTAAATGAACCAAGGCAGGTATCTTCGTTAAAGAAGAACATGCTGTTTTAATTACTGGCTTCAAGGGCTCCAGGCTCTTGTCAGCACATCCAAGCTTGTGCAAACCCAGTCTCCATTTTCTCGAGCTCTGTAGCTACCAGAGTGCCACGTGCTTCCAGATGCCTGAGGAATGAGCAGGCTCTGAAAGGAGTTTCAGCCAGAGGAGTGAGTGTCTGCTCAGCTGGGAGTTCAGCGGGGTAGCTCAGTGCTTGGCTGTCCAGGGTATGGTGAGGAGCATACATAAATAATCAGTTCAGCTTGCATGGCATTTTCTGATCCATGAATGGAAAGATTTAACAACGCAAAACTTTGTCTTATTGTAACAAGTGTTTACTTTAGACAATGCCAGCACCAGGCTAAGTACTTCTGAGATGAGTGGCCAAGGCTTAGCAGACCCTGTCGGTTTGAGCAGCTCCGCTGAAAAACAAACCTGTCTTTGTGCCAAGCGAAATAAGGAAGCAGAACACTGCGAATAGTTTTGGAGGCCCATCGCCCACAGAGATGACAGACTCACAGGCTGCTTTCTGCAGAAGGGAGATGGTTCCTAACTGGTCTTTTTAATGTCCTTTATTCTGGTTTTTCCCTTCCAGTAGCACACAATGTGCTCGGGTCACCTTCTGGCTCTGCACAATGTCTGTATAAAGACCACGGCAATACAGTACAGCAGTTACCTTAAAATTTGCCATCTTTGCTTCATGCTGTATATAGAGGGGAATAAGAAGTGGGTAAGACAGGTTAAGGCTTAAAGATCCATAGTACAATGCACAGAAGTGTTTGATATCAGTCTGTGTTCTGTGTTGGTACTAAACAAATATTATGCCTGGATTTGTTTCAGTTTTGGCCACCAAAATCATTCCTAGCAAAAGCATCACAAAACCTGAGGTGACGTTAATCCAGTTTTAAAGTGTATCTGTGGACAAACGTTTCTTTGTTCGTAATTCAGTCCTTGGTCTCTTGTTCACAGAGATATGATCACAATAAAAACGAGAAGATCCTTCCAATCAGTCTGGAGCCATCTTCCAGCACAGAGCCGCCCCAGTCTAACCTAAGGTAGGAGGTGGGGTGGGTGAGAAGTGACCAAGCTGTGGGAGTGGGAGGGAATTAACTTCTCCAATTTCAGTATGATCTAGAGGTGTTGGCATTATGTTTGGCTGAAAAACTGTTTTCGGAAGGGCAGCGTGTTGCAGTGTAACTCATTAGATGTAGGGCACTTCAGACTTGAAGTTCCTTTTCTAACTCACGCAGCTACTAGGGCAGTAGGAAGGGAAAACGGTGAGGAGAGGAATTGGGAATGTGTAACATTCCAGCTTCTTTGGCCAGAGCACGCTTTGCCCTTCATATGAATTTCAGTGAGCGCTAATTTGATTAAGCAAAATACTTATGAGCAAGGATTTCTATTCTAGTGGTAGAAGATTAGAGCAAACTCGCAAGTAGTGCTTCACATAAAGCTGATTTTTGTTTGGGGTGTTTTAACGTTGTGCTTGGTTTTCCTGGCTAGTGTTAGGGCAGGAGGGTCTTCTGTGGGATGTGGTTAAACCCTCCAGCCCCTCCATTTGCCTAGAGCACATAGTGCTGCTTTGCTAATTCAGTTTGCTTGGAAGGGTATGTGATTTTCCTCTGGGTTCTCTCAGTGGAACCCTGTGAGGAACCAGGACTGGAGAGAGTGAATTTGCTTACAGATAAAATGAGCTTGGAATTAAGAAGTAACGTGCTAGGAAGTAACGAGGAGAGAGGCTTGAGTTGTGCAGGTTGCTAGCTATGTCAATGGCATGAGGGAGTTGGTTTAGTGGGGATGGATGCTGCAAGAACCCACAGCAGAGAGGGGAGCATGGGGGATAGTGAATAACAAAAGCCCTAGGAATTTGGGGTGTAACCTAGGATAGCCTGTCCCTTTGGGATAAACCCTGCTAATGCTGAAATAATGTTTCTTCCTGACCTAATTAGAGTCTGGGGTTTTCCCATCCTGAGCAGTCTTGTAGCTGGGAGGAAGTCTGGCTTTCATTTCTCTGCTGTTTCCAGCAGCCTCGTCTGAGCTGCGCTGCGCTGCACATGCTCAGAGCTCTTTAAATGACATCATTTTACATGAAGTAGGAAGCCTTGTTGTGTGCTTGTCTTGCTCAGTGTCCTCAGGAAAGTGCTGAGTAGGTGCAAGGACCGTTATTTTGTGGTGCTGTGATATATCTTGGAGGAGCAAATCCGTGCTGAGGAATGAAATGAAAGAGCGTGGGCTTTAAGCAGTAGATTCCTGCCTCCCAACTGCACGCTGTTTGTGAATGCAGCGGTGGGAGCTGCCTGGCCCCTCCTCGTGTGACTGAGTATTCGCATGTCAGCAAGATCTCTGGATTGCTGTAGTCTGATTCCGTGCTAAGATCAAGCTCAATTTCTCTTCTGCTTTTTCTCTTTCCAGTGTCAGTGCAAAAATAAAGGCCATAGAAGCCAAGCTGAAAATGATGGCAGAAAATCCAGACGCAGAATACCCCGCAGCACCCGTTTATTCTTACTTCAAACCACCGGATAAGAAAAGGACTACTCCTTATTCCAGAGCTGCCTGGAAATCTAGAAGATGATGCTTATGAATGGAGAATGGTAGCGAGAAAACAGTGCTTTGTATACCTGGAGTCCTCTGATGCTTTTGTACTTTGTAGAGTGAGAAGGATACTGCCACCCAAGCACAGCACCGCTGTACATGGCACAGTGCTTGTTACACCTTAGCTGGTGTGCTGAATCCTCCTGACTGCCAATGCAGCTTCACAGCCGAGCACTGCTCAGAGAAGTAGGGTCCCATCAAAGCCTTTGATGAACCTCTCGTTAGTGTGCATTCATTAGCAAGATTAGAAACAGTAACCAGTGTATGGAGTAAAGCACAGCCAAAAATACTCCATTTAACTGATTACTTTTTAAAGTATTTTTGAACAAAAACTATTCTGATTCGTGTTTTTAACGAGGGGAAGCACTTGGTTTTGATTAACATTCTGTAGTTACCATGGAAAACTTTTTTGTTTTTTTTCATCTCAATAAAACTCATTTGAAATAGATTTTGCAACACTTTTAGTAACTGTGCATGCAATATTCTATATGCACCGAAGCAAATTTACATTGCAGTTTGATTTGCAAACTCCATGGTGGTACTTGCTGATGTGATCACCAGAAGAGAGTGATGCAACATGGGTATTGTCAGTGTTATTTAGGCTGTAGGTGCGTTCCCCCATGTAGGAATGAGTGTATTTACACGCCGCTGGCTGAGGTCTGTGCTGTGCCCTAAGCTTCCCAGCGCGGCAGTGGCACATCTAATGTTTGCATTCAGTAATCCCCTTCAGTGGTAGCTCTTCATAAACCAGATGTGACAGCGTGAGAATAGCGCTGCAGCCTCCGAGACATCTGTCAAGCACATGACCTCCACGTCTGCCCACCGGCCTGCCCAGCTTCTGGTTTCCTCTGCCTGGTAGAGGTGGTTGGTTGCCTCTTGGTGTGAAGTGGCACAAGTGTTTGTGGTGAAATGGCTCTGCTGTGTGCTGGGGGTTACCTGCACCGTGTGCTTCACTGATGAGTCTGATGGATGGTGTTTTGCCAAAGCCGCTCCATCTGCAGCATGTTTTTCTCCCTAAACATCACCTGCAGATTGGGAATCTGAGGGGAAAACCCGTTTTCTGGCAGTGTTTTCTCCTCGGTACACCCAGAGCTGTGACTGTGTGTGCCAGGGGGGTGCTGGAAAACGTGCTCACTTGGGTCCAGGAGATGCTGGTCTGATTTTGCTGATGTCCGCTCTCTAGTGTGTCAGTGGTGAGTCTGAAGGTGCTTCCCTGAGCTGGCTAACAGCAAGTGGCCTCAAACAAGAGGAGGAAACAGTTTTCAAACAGCCCCTGGTTCCCCTACGGGGGGTTGCTCACTGGCATAGCAAAGGTGCATCTGCATCTGTGCTTCCTGCTTTGATCCGAGTGCCTGGCTCAGAGCTGTGTGTGTCTAGGATGGATGGGTTGTTAGAAGCCTGAATTGTTCAAAAGTAGGTTTTGTGCTGTTAATGTTTGCTTTCTAGTTTTTGGGTACCTGATTAAAGAGAAAAGTAGCATGAGTGGGAGCTTGTACCCCTGTGAATGTCACTAACACCCGTTCCCATTCCTCTGTGAACAGCCTGTGTTTTGTTCCTGCGTGGTTTGTAGTCCTCTGGATCTGTATCTGCTTTACTTGGAACAGCAAATTCTGTTTCTGTAAGGAAATTGGGAAATACCTAGGTTCAACCCTAGATTCCAGCCGGGTATATGGTGGTGTTCCCATCGGATACGTACTTTGATATTTATTTGTAATTAAATACAATTTGTTGAAATCCTTCTGTCTCAAAATAACCATTTAAAAATGCATGTTTTTCCTCCAGGAAAGTGAGGGTGGCAGCAGGAAGTGAGGGTGGTGAATGCTTGGCATCCACCGAGGTCCACTGATACAGATCTGGGGACAATAGCATCAGTCTTTGTTTCTGTTATTATTTACTCTGTGTTCACTACCGCAGTCACTCACAGAAGTGCCTTGTCTGTGCTTCAGCCAGACTCAGACCTGGGGGAGGAGGTAAATGCTCCCTAAGGTCTTTTCATGAGTGCCAGCTCTGGGGCTTTGCATATCAAACATCATTGAACAGGTGGGAAAAGCACCGGGAAGCGTGGCACAGCTTTGGCAGAGGATGCAGCCGGCTCTGAAGCTGTAAGTATGGAGGTTGCCGAGCTGGTGATGGGAAGGGGATCGGGGCTCAGCATCCGGCTCCCCTGAAGAGGCATTAGGGACTCTTCTGTGCCTCTCTTGCCCTCTTAGCGGTTTCTTTGCTTCCCCTGTATTTTCAGCATACCCCTGGGTATCAAGGGCAGTGGTCACTGTGTCCACAGTCAGGGTTTTTCCTCAGTATTTCAACACTTCCTGCCTATGGTGAGCCTTCCTCACTCGGGCCAGGTGTGAAGCCATGCCTTCACCCATGGGAACACGGAACGTGTCCAGCCCCCAGGTTTGGGATTGGGGCTGAGGTGCTGGTTGACACGCAGCCTCCTTATCACTGCCTCATACAAGCTCCAGCACTGGTGGAGGGAGCACACGGGGTGAGAAAGGGGATGAAGTTGGTGCTGATACCCAGTGCTTCCACTGCTGTGCATTCCGTAAGTGCTGTGTGGGCCGTGTGCTGGTGCAGGCAGCGTGTAGCTCACTTGGGAGGTCGATGTGCTCCTGGCAGGCAGCGAGGGCAGGACACCGGCTGCCCACAGGACCAAGACTTAATCCCAAGGCTGGATAAAGGCAGAGCCTGGGTTGATGAAGTCGCGCTGTTCCTGAGCCTGCTCTGACTTTGCAGGGCCTGGAGCGCCTGGTCTGTAATGGTGAGAGCAGAGAAAGCCACCACCGTCACCACGCTGTGCCACGGCTGCTCCAGCCCTGCATCGCTCTCGGATGCAAACAAAACCCGCGCTGTGCACGGGAGCAGGCAGCGTTCGTGGCTGTGTCCCTGTCAGCTCCTGCGTGTTCCTGCTGGAGCAGTCGGAGCTGATCCAGACCCCGCCGGTGTGGACGAGTGGTTTGAATTGTCCTTTCTCAGCACCGCTCCCCTGCACTTGTCCGTGTCCCCTCCGCAGAGCTGGCGGGCCTGGGGCTGAGGCTCCTGGGGGTTACTCGGCCTTTCTTGCAACCTCGATGTTTAAACCTTAATGTCTTGTATTTATTCTAAAATGGCTTTCATCTGATTTCCCTCTCGGTTAACAATTTAGCTGTCAAAACCAATAACGGCGAGGATCCATCCCCGGCCGCCATCAGCTCACGTTACCGTCCTGCAATTACTCCGTGGTGGAACCGCTGCCGGGGCTTTGTCGGGGAATTATCAGGTTACTAATGAAGGCCGGGCAGAGGCGGGCGGCCAGACGCCGCGGTGGTGGGTGCGATCTGCGCTGCCGCACCCGATCCCGCCCCGCGGGGGGCTCTGGGGCCGCGGCCGGTCCCGGCAGCGTGGGGCGGCGCTGTCCCGGGGCCGGCCCGGCCGGGGCGCCCCGTCGGGGCGGGCAGTGCCCTGCGGCGGGGGAAGGAGCGGCCCGGCTCTCGTGTTCCCCCCCCCCCCTCCTCGGCGGGCGGTGCCGGTGCCGCCGCCGCAGGTAGCGGGGCCCGGCGGGGCGGGCGGCCCCCGGGGCGCGGCGGGGGGGCGCCGCTTCCTGCCCGGCCCGCGGCCGCCCCCGGCGGGGGAGCGGGGCCGGCGCGGCTCCCCGCCCTTCCTGCCGCGGCCCCGGGACGCGCCGCCCGCGGGCACGGAGCGCGGCGGCGGGCGGAGCGGGGCGCGCCCGCCCCATGCACCGGAGCCATGAGGGCGAGCAGCCCCGGGGCCCGGGCCGCCGCGCCCCGGCCGGCGCCGAGGTGGGCAAGGTGAGCGCTGCCGGTGCTGCCGTCGGGGCCGGGAGCGGGGCCGGGCACCCCCGGGGAGGGCCGGTAACCGGGGCCGGGGCTGCGGCCGGGCGCTGCTCTCCAGCGCCCGAGGGGAGGATTTTCCATCCCGGCGTTTTCTGGGGCGTTTTGTGCTCGGCGCAGGGAGAGGGGGAAGAATTTCGATTTTTAATTACTACCATTAAAAAAATCAAATTTGCAATTCTTTGGGTGGCCTGATGGATTCCCTGATTGACAGCCGGAATTGACACTCTGGGTACCTCTTATCTCGGGCATTTACGGCAATTTCTAATTGCAGGTAGTTTGTGGGGTTTTTTCAGCGCTTTGGCTCGCATGGGAACCGAGCGATTACTTCAAGAGGCCCGGGTTAAGTGCAGGCAGGGGGAGAATTCAATCCACATTCAAATTGCTTCATTAAAGAGACGCAGCTTTTGTTGCAAAGGATTTAAATGGCCACTAGAAAGTTCTTATTTATTGTTTTGAGGCGGTTTATATAGGGTGCCCCGCGCTCGCCCGGCGCATGGAGCCGCAGCCTCCTTCTCCCGCTCTCTCCCGCAAGGTGATGCCGCCGGAGCCGCTGCCCAAGGGGAGCTCCCGCTGCCTCGACCCGCACGCTCGAGCCATGGTAAGCGGGGCCGGGGGCTGCGGGGGGACAGCGGGAGGTTGCGGGGACCCGCCGGGGGTTGCGGGGGATGGCGGGGACCTGCAGGGCCCGGGCTGCGGGGCGCTGCGGGGTGCTCCGAGGGACACCGGGTCCCGCCTGACGGCGCCGGGGCCGCTCTTCCCGCAGTCACAGCCCGACGGGGAGCCGCTGCCCGGCTCCCTGGAGAAGGAGGACGCCCGCTCGGCGCCCAGCACGCCCTCCACGCCGTCCGTCTGCTCCCCGCCGTCCTCCTCCTCCTCCACGCCGTCGGCCGGCAAGAACGTCTGCTCTAGCTGCGGGCTGGAGATCCTCGACCGGTACCTGCTCAAGGTGAGCGGCGGCGGGGGGCGGCGGGGGGCAGCGGGTGGTGGCCCCCGGGTCTCAGCCCCCTTCTCTGCCGCAGGTGAACAACCTCATCTGGCACGTCCGCTGCCTGGAGTGCTCCGTGTGCCGCACCTCGCTGCGGCAGCAGCACAGCTGCTACATCAAGAACAAGGAGATCTTCTGCAAGATGGACTACTTCAGGTAGGGCACATGGGGTTGGGGGGGGGGGGGGGGGGCAGCTCCGCTCTCCGGGGGGGCTCCGTGTCCTCGCCGGCTCCGGATTGCGGGGTGAAGGATCGGAGAAGCCGCCGGGCTCCCCGGAGCAGCCCGGTGGAGAGGCGTCCTCTCGGGGCATGGGGAGGAGCGGGGTTTGGGGTGCAACTGCAGCCCTTCCCGGAGGGGTTCCTCACCCCGGTTCACTGCCGGGGGCAGTGCCCCGCACCCGGGCTGTGCGGGCCGCCCCGAGCCACGCAGGGGAACGTCCTCTGCCCCCGGGAAGGGCCGGTTGAACGGTATCGCCTCGGCTTCTGCCAGAGGGGTGAACGTGTTCCTGTCGGTCTATGGTGCTGAGCGGCTTTTGGGAAGCTCTGTCTGCTGGCGCTACCGCAAATACCGGGGTGTCAGTGGCAGGAGAGCGTTAAAGAACCGAAACGAATGCCCGCGGCCGGGCGGCTGCCGTGGGGTTCGGTGTAGACCCGTGTGCCCCGGGGAGCGCATCCTGCCGGGGGGATGTTTCTGGCTGCGACCATCTCTTCGTTATAGACCTAAAACCACGAATTTCTCCCCAAAAAAATAGTGGCTCGACGGGATGGAGGATCCCGAGCTCCTCACTTGGGCTTAACTCAACATCAGGGCCCCCCGGTCCGGCTTTCCCCTTCCCACCAGGATGAGGGAATGCCGTTTGCCCCAGGAGGAAGGGGAATCACGGCAGGAAATGAGAATGACCCCTGCGGGGGGCTCGCAGCATCCCCCGGCCTCGGCGGAGCGGGTCGGGGCAGCCTGCGCGGACAGTGGGGCCGCGGGCAGGGAAATACCTGCGAGGTTTCGCCCATGGTTTGCATCGGGCTCCGGGTACCGGTTACCCGAGGCTCAGCTCCGGTCCCAGCCGGGAGCGGTGCCGCCGCGGGATGCGCGGTCCCTGGGCTGCCGGAGCCGGGTGCGGGGCTACCGGGAGCCGAGCGGTCCCGGGGGTGCGTGGAGGTGTTATTGGTGTTGGTGGTATTTGTGTTGTTGGTGTTATTATTTTTATCAGTATTTTTAAGCTTCTATTCGAGGGCGATTTCACCGAAATCTCCTTCACGCTCAGCAGAGAGGTTTAAGGAAGTCGGCGGTGCCGTTGTGCTGCTTCGGGGCACTTTCAGCGTTGTCATTGATTAATAACGGTTCCGATCTCGTTAATTTTGGTTTGTTTGGGGTTTATTCGTTGGGGATTTTTATTATTTGTAATTTTAATTTTTAACTTTTTAAGAGTGAACCTTTCCAAAGGGGGTTGTGTTTTTTAACGCAGCGGCTGGATTTACAAATTACCTTCGAGCAAATACAGCGAACAACATCTCTTAAATACAACCCCGTTTAGCGAGCGGACCCCTCCGTCCCTCCCGGGCTCTGCCCTTCGGGGAGCGGGAATGAGAACGAAAACTAAAACGAAAATCACTGAAAACACCGCAGGACCCCCCCCTTTCCTGGGGGGCTTCTTTGAGAGGGGGTGGGCGCTCCCAGACCGCGCCTCGCACTCGCCTTTAGCACAAAAAAGAGGGGATTTCGGGCTCTGCGTTTTCTATTTTCGGTGAACGCCGAGGGCAGCGCTCGGGGCCGCTCCGTCCCCCCCGCAAGCCTCCGGTCCGAGACTCTCGGCTGAGCTCTGGCCACCCCGATGCGGGGGTCGCTCCCGCTGCCCCCGAGGGCATCCCCGGTGCGGAGCCGGGAGCCGGGGTGGGTCAGGGCAGGCACCTCCCGGCTGCCCCTTGGCAAACCGGGCTCGGGGGCCGCTCACCCAGCCCCGTCCTGTGCCTGTGCGGCTCCTGGGAGCACCCGGCTCGCAGCTCGGTGATCCCGGACAGCCGGGACCCGGAACCTGACTCTCGAGGTGGTTCTTGCCGTGTTTATTATCCGCTGGGGATGAAGCGCGTGTTTGTTGCTTTACTTTACATAAAGCAAGGCAGAAAACCCATTGTAACACGTGCGGGGCTCCAGAACCACGGCAGATGGGAAGGGGCTGAGGGATGCGCTCTGCACCGAGCGCACCGCGGCTTTTATTGCACCAGCTCTAACTCCCCGAGAGTTTGGGGCTGGGGGTCTGTCAGGCGCGGCGCTGCCCATAGGCACTGCCCGACAGTGAACGTGTTCAGGCCTGGTCTGTCTGAGCTTTCCTTCCCTGCTCATGTTGGAGGCTGTGTAAGTGCCGACGCGGCTCCGCGGCCTCATGTGTATTTTAAGCAAACGCTGCTGTTTCCTGTGTCTTGTCAAATAATTCTATTTGGCATCCAGGGCTCGAGGAGAACCAGATTAAAACTGGAGCTCATTGAGCAGAACACTGCGTTCCCAGGCAATGCGAGGGCTGCTCACAGCCAAGCTCCCACGGGCTCGGGTCGGGTCGCAGGGAGGCCTGGTATGATCCCGGTGTGATTCCCGCAGCACCCTGCTGTGACCCCTGGGGATCCTGCCTCCATGGGCAGCCCTTGGGCATGGGAGTGTGGAGTCACCGGCTCTGGAATGTATCCCTAGGGGCCAGGGCAGCAAAGGAGCTGTGCTGCGGGTGGGCTCGGGTGGCTTCCGTCACCCCTTGCTATCATGTCCCGCTGGGTTGGTTCTGCTTGAGCATCACTGTGGCTCAGCGTGGAGATAGACTGAGGCAACCCACTGCCGTGGATTTGGGTCATGCCTGGAAGCCACAGCTTGACCATGCAGGCTGTGTTAGGGGCTTTCTGTCGAGTGGGCCCAAGAGGGGACAGGGATGCTCGGTGCTGTGGGTGGCCTTGGGTGTCCTTTGCCCTGTCCCTGCAGGCGGAGATGGCCAGCCGGGCCCAGGGGGCTGCGGCACATGGGTACCAGTGATGTGTGAGAGCCAGGATGCACCAGGGTGTCCTCTGCCTCTGCTCTTCCCGCGCCCCAGATGTTGCAGGCACCCCGGGCGGAGGCGGGATGAGTCTCTGGGATGAGTCTTTCCTGGTAGTGCTGTTGGCAGTTTCCACCTCCCTTTGGTGACCGCCATGGAGAGCTGGCAGCATCCGCTTACCCGACCACAGACTGTGCATGCAGGGTGTGAAACGATGGCTCCAGAGGTTGTGGATGCCCCGGCCTGTGCTGCAGCGCTGGGCTCAGAGAAAGCATCTGGCTCTGCGTCTCCTACAGCCCTGTCCCCATCCCTGCCAGAAGGGTGGCAGGAGCCATGCAGAGCCCCTGGTGCTTCATTGCCCTAAGCAGACGGAGCTCTCTGGGCTCTCACGGCCCTGCGAGCTCAGTGAACTGGGGTCTGTTTTATCTTTGAGCTGTTGTTTGCAGCGGTTTTGAGCTCGCAGGCGTATCACTCCCCATCCCTGTGCCGCTGGCAGTGTCGGTCCCTGCGGTGACGGTCTCTGTTGGGTGACAGTAGGGGCTGATGCTGGCCCTGGCTCAGCCTGGTCGCTGTCAAACCCGGTGCCTGCGGTGGGTGCTGGAGCAGATGTTGGTGCAGTGTTGGCGGCTGCCGGTGCCGCAGCCGGTGCAGCCCCGGTGCCTGTGTCTGACTGCGGAGCCTCAGCCTCCCGCTGGGCACTGCCGGTGCCGTGGCTCTGTTGGGGATGGTGGTGTCAGCCCCAGGCTGCGCTGCTGCCCCCCAGGAGCCAGCACCAACTTGGGGATCGCAGGGGGACACCGTGCTGTGGGTCTGGGGTCACTCGGGTGTCTCCCCTTGTCCCAGCTGGTGTGTGATGGGGATGGGGACAGGTGCCCTCCCCTGCGTGGGGCCCTGTGCCTCGGTTTCCCCCCATCCCCAGTGATGCTGGGATATGCGCATCCCTGCGCTGTGTCCCCCCTCCCCGCAGCAGGCTGGGATCTGCGCGGGGAGCAGCGATTACCACGTGCTATTAGCCGGGTAAGCCTGCCCCACGGTTGATGCCGTTCAGCGAGTACGACTGTTTACATAGCACATTGTTCAAAGTAATTCAATTTACAGGAATGCTCTTTACTTCTAAATAAAAAATTAATACAGTTCTTTTGTTTGTGCGTTTATATAAACGAGCTGGCACAAAGTCAGTTTGCAGCGTTCCCATCTGAAGTAAATTAGTGAAGTCTCTTAGCTAAGTCTCTGTATAATTTCAGCACGAGAAATGTCCTCTCTAAAGCAGCCCTTTTATTTTCTTGTTAACATGTTTTCCCCCTGGTCAGCTATGGTCAGGCTGAAACATTCAAACCTTTCTTTTCCTCCCAAATAGTTTTGCCATTACTAATTCCAGCCCAGGACTTTCTGCATCTTGCTGAGTCCAGGGCAGGCGGCAGCTCTGCGGCGTGGGGCCGGGCATGGGCAGCGTGTGTCGGGCTGACCTGGGCCCCTCCATCGCCCATCTGCAGTGATTGGAACGAAGGGTTTGCCGTGTGGGGGTCTCCTGGTGCGTTTGTCTTGGGGGTTTGTGCTGGGGCTGAGGATGTTGGAGCTGCTCGGGCAGAGCTCCCAATGAGCGGTGCCAGCAGTGACTGCACTGGAGGTGTGCGGGGAAGGCAGGGGTTGTGATCAGGGCTGTATCAGAGCTCTGCAGTGTCGGAGATGCTCGCTTCTCCCACGCTGCTCTCGCTGCTGCTCATCACAGTGATTTCTTTAAGCAGCGGTAACACTGAAATGCAGAAGCCAAACCAAAGCCGTGCCTGACCCTGCCTGTGCCACAGGCAGCATGTCCTGGCTGGGCTGGGGTGCAGGGCCATGGGGGCCCCATTGTCCCCATGAATTATCCTGGCAGAAATGGTGGGGTTTGAATGCCCAATGCAGGGATCCTGGCCTCTTGCTGCCTCTTCCCAGCGTAAGTCGCCTAAGCGTGATCATCATCCTCTCGCCGTGAGGAGACCTCTTGGTAGGAGGAAGAAGCAGATGCCTGGGCCCGTACGTGTGAGGAGCACACACATGTTTTGATTTATGGCAATGGGAGAGCCCCCGCTCTGACACAATTTCCATCGAGTCTTACACTGGCTGTTATCGAAATAAAAAGCCCACGGGTTTGGAGGCTGATTCATGGCGGTCCGTGCGTCACCTCAGCCCCTCCGCTGAGGCTGCAGGGAGTCACGTACCGCTGCCTGCACCGCGGGGCAATGGCACTGGTGGGGTGGTTTGGCTGCAGCGCTTTCCCTGCATGGGTGTTGTGAATGGAGCCAGTGATGGGCCCTCGCCCTGCCTTGCCATCACCTCTGCCTGCTCTCACCCATCCTCTTCTCCTCCTGCAGCCGGTTTGGTACCAAGTGCGCCCGCTGCGGCAGGCAGATCTACGCCAGCGACTGGGTGCGGCGAGCGCGGGGCAACGCCTACCACCTCGCCTGCTTCGCCTGCTTCTCCTGCAAGCGCCAGCTCTCCACCGGCGAGGAGTTCGGCTTGGTGGAGGAGAAGGTGCTGTGCCGGATCCACTACGACACCATGATCGAGAACCTCAAGCGAGCGGCGGAGAACGGTACGCAGCCCCGACGCCGCGGTCGTGGCCTCACCCCCGTCACGGTGTGCCAAGTTGGTCCTGTTGTCACCAGAACAGGGTGATGGGGAGCGCTGGGGGGGATTGGGTGTGAGGCCCTGGGCTGGCAGGATGCTCATGCGTTGACAGCGCTCACAGAATAGTTAGGGTTGGAAAGGACTTTAAGATCATCTAGTTCCAATCCCTGTGGCTCGTGGCAGACCCGTGTCCACAGGCAATGCCGGGGACAAACCCTGCAGCCCAGCGTGCAGTGCGTGAGGAGGCCACTGGGGTTTGGAGGCTGTGAGTCATAAATGTAGAAGGTGGGAAAGCTGGCCATGGGACAGAACCTTCCCATCATTTTCCACCGCCCTGCCCGCCCAGGGATGTGCTGCTCCCAGCCGGACCTCGCCGTTTGCTGCTGTCCCTGCTGCCAGCCTCTGCTTTCCCAATCCAACCAGTGACACCGAGCTCATGCAGTGCTGCAGCTCCCATCGCCTTGAGCCCCCATGCTCCTGCATGGCAGCAGCCACAGGGGGATGCTCAGACCAGTGGGGCTGGTTCAATGTGGTGCACAGAGAGGCCGGGCAGTGCTGGGGGCTGTCCTGCACTGGGAGTGCCTGAGATGTGTTCCTATGGCAGCGGCTGCAGCTCAGCGGAGCTGGATGCTGTTGGAGCTTGGCCGTGCTGGAGAAGGGGGGAGCCAGGCTGAGTGCTGCCCATGGTCTGGGGCTGAGGCCGGGTTTATCACCCCTATGGGAGCAGTGGCTGCTGCGGATGTGAGGCTGTTTGCACGTGGGTGCTGCACTGGGTGAGAGCAGGGTGCCAAGGATGCTGTGCAGCCTCAGAGTCAATGAGGGAAGTGCCCAGGGCCACCTTCTTACAGGCTCCTATGCCCGGGACTCTTCTGGGGCATCACCCTTGGTCAGGAGCAGGACTCCAGCCCTCTGTGCTTGGTGGGCATGGGGAGGCAAACACCATGTCCTGGCCCATGCAGCATGTGGAAACCATTAATCAACCTGACATGGAAATAATGTGTTTCTGTTTACAGTGTTTGAGTAAGAGGATAAAAACAGAGTGCCCGCTTGGGCTGCGAGGGTCCCGGCTCGGGATGGGGCTCACAGCCTGTTGGTCCATATGGTCAGCTGCTGTGGAGACATGAGTGAGGCGGTGGGGAGCAAGGATGAAGGGGGAAAGGGTGCATGGCCTGGAGGAGCAGGCTGGTGCAAGGTCACAGGGACTGGTGCTGGGGGGTCCTGCAGGGCTCTTAACCCAGCCAGGAGCTGGGGCAGTGGGGTTGGTGCTGCTCATAAGGACCTGCTGGTGTGGGCTGAGTCCCAGCGGTGTCAGAGAGTGCTGGGGCATGTGGTGAGCGTCCTGCATCCAAGTGTCCCCTGGTTTTGAGAAGTGAATGGGATTGCTTTGGAGAGCTGCAGTTGCTGCGGAGTTGGAGGGCCATGCTCCCCCCCTCTAGTAATTACCCAGCAATTTCTTCTGCACATGAGGTTTTACATACAAGAAAAATAAACAGATGTTGCTGAAGTCAGAGTCCCATTCATCATCCGAAAAGAACAAGTCAAACTATATGAGAAAGTCCTTCAACTCAAGCCAAGACAATCACAGCCTGGTCCAGCTTGCAGGGCGAGCGCCGGGTTGTGCAGGCGCATCCTGGGAGCAGGGTGAGCGCCAGCCCTGCTCAGGCATCCTCCCTCATCCATCCCTCATCGGTGCTGCACTGCGCTGCCGATGGCCGGGCAGGGCACCACAGGGGCTGCACGGGGACCCCAGCGAGGATCCCTGCAGGCTCCGTAGCTCTGTGACATGGCTGGGCTCATCCTGATGCCATGTTTAGCAACTGCATGGACAGCGTTTCCCTGGTGTGTCCCCGTTGGTTTGGTTGCTGTTCAGAGCTTGGGCACCCCAAGGCCATGGGGATGGTGCTGCTCCTGTTCTGGGACCCAGGAGGAGGAGGAGGTCAGAGTGCTGTGAGGATTTGGGGCTGGGGAAAGGAGTGAAATTGTGTCTGAGCAAATGAAATGACTGATGGAGGGCAGCGTATTCAGGGGAAGATGGGGTCACAGGGAGCAGTGTGGGGCAGGAATGAAGGATGTTGGCGAGCCCAGCAGGGGCAGGGTCCATTCCAAGCCAAGTGGTGTGGCCAGGTCAGGGCCAGAAGGACATCAGTGCTTTCCATCACACACCACGGTGACACCCATCTTCCTGCTGCTGTTTCCCCATCCCTCATTCCCCACTGCTTCATTTTCCTTAATTCAACAGTGAACTGTTCAGGGCTCCTGGTGTCTCCTTCCTGGTGCATGGAGGAGCTCAGTGACCCTGGCAGCTCACAAGCGGTGGCTCCAGCTCTGCTCTTTCTGCTCCTGCTCGCAGCAAGGGATGCAGCGGGTGCCCTATGCTGCGATGCCAGGCTGTTGTCCCCTGCTCAGGCGGCCATTGCACACAGGGGCAGGTGGTGAGCAGGGCAGTGCCTGGCCTACAGCACCCGGGGGTCTTCTCTCTCGTAGGCAATGGGATCACGCTGGAGGGGGCTGTGCCCTCGGAGCAGGACAGCCAGCCAAAGCCAGCCAAGAGGGCTCGCACCTCCTTCACCGCCGAGCAGCTGCAGGTAGTGGGGCTGGGCCGGGGTGGGGGGGGGCTGGAGGGGCTGTGGCTCCCTGGCCTCATCCTGACCCCCTTTTCCCTCCCCTCCGCAGGTCATGCAGGCACAGTTCGCTCAGGACAACAACCCCGATGCACAGACGCTGCAGAAGCTGGCAGACATGACGGGGCTCAGTCGGAGAGTCATTCAGGTGAGGGGCAGGCACCATTGGTTGAGCAGCCCCAAGCAGGGCAAGGGAAGGGGCAGAGGGGGTGCACCAAAAGGCTGGTATTAACAGAACTCATACCCCTGGAGCCCCTCGCTCCCGCACATCAACCCGGGGACTTGCAGCATCCAGCAGCTTCGTGCTGCCTCACCGGTGTGTTGGCTTCACTGTCTCCTATAGCAATAGCAGCACCATCCTTCCCCTGTCTCACTTGTGGGTTTTCTATTTGGTTTTCCCTCTTACGATGCAATGGGTAAACCCAACCATACAACCCCAGCCAGTCCCAGTAAACTGCCTGGTGGGAAAGCTGCTGTTAGCACGTGGTCCTGGAGCTCTGTGCTCTGCCCTGGCACTGCGGGTGCCTCCCCACCTTCAGCAGCCATCCCAGCGTGAGCAGGCAAAGCCGGCTCACTTTGGGAAGCATTGGGATTTACTCAAAGGAAAGAAGGGACATGGTGGCAGGGAAGTCCCAGCACTTGTGCTGCTTGGGAGGGGAGGGAAAGCTGTGCCATAGGGACTGAGAGAATTCCCCCTCTGCAGCTCCCCGCTCCCTGCCTCCGTACGCAGTCCCTCTTTGCCCCTTGGTGACACTCATACCCTTCACTTTAACGTTCTGCTGACGCGCTTTCTGCATACAATAAACCACGAGTGATTGAAGTAAACCTGGAGCTTTCATCCAGGATTGTTTTGCCAGCGACACAGTTCAGTTCCATGTGTGAAAACCTGGCTGGGGGCTCAGCGATCGAGGCTCTTGGTCAGGCTGCGGACGAAGCCGGCTGCACGCTGGGCTCTTTCTGATGTGGCTATTTTCTAAAGGCACTTTCAACAGGAAACCATTTGTCAAACGCTCACGACTGTTTCCTTCTCTGTGGTCCGGCGTGCTCGGCCTCAGAGAGCTGAGCTCTGCTCAGCCGTGGGGAAGGTTTTCACTTCATCTAGCTTTAAGAGTCAAGCATAAGAACGAAATCACTGCATTAGCATTGGAAACCCCCCACCTCCATGCGTGTTTTAACTTAGGATGTAATCCCCTAAATATTCCTTTAATTAAAAGCAGTGAGATATGGTCAGAGGGTTCATACCTGCTGCTCATATGGACTAGGGCTCTACCCTACCACAGTACCCTCCTTTCTCGGCTTTAATATTCTGCTGATGTAGCTTTTGAATACAAGAAAGCACAAGTGATTAAAGCAGTATTGTTTTCATCATCCCTAAAGCCACAGGTTCTCCTATTCAGTTTTGTCTCCCCTGTCCTTGCTAATGCTCAGACACCTCCCAGGTAATCTCAGCCCTGCTTTTAGGGCAGGCTGGGGATGCAGGTTAGAATCTAAGTAGGACTTTGAAAGGCTCTCCCATTGTTTGCAGATGAAGCTTTCTGTGTGCAGGGTGCTGTTACCCAGGGCTTTCACGTCCCTTTGAGCTCAAGGAAGGGAACAGTGTGATCATGAATGTGAGTTCCTGCATCACCTGGTCAGGGTGTTTCATTCAGTGACAAGCTTGAAAGTTTTAATTACCCTAATAAAGAACAGTCTTGGTTTTGACCAAGGCAAATCAATAGTAGAGATGCCACGTCAGGCATCCTAATGTCTGTACTGTCCTGAGACAAATCTCTTGCTCTAAAGAGTGTAAAACAAAGCTATGGAAGCTGGTGGAGCACTGGTGAGGTGTTTCAGTGTGCAGATATCTAGGTTTGAATCCTTCTTTCTTTTAATACTTGGAAGAGACACCCATCATGGGTCTTGGTGAAGGACCAACACGCTTCAACCCAATTCCCTCTCCACCGACACATCCTTTGCTGCTCTTTGTTCCAGGTTTGGTTTCAAAACTGCAGAGCCCGCCATAAAAAACACACCCCGCAGCACACGGTGCCGCCCTCGGGGGCCCCCCCATCCCGCATCCCTTCCTCGCTCTCTGATGACATTCACTACTCGCCCTTCAGCAGCCCGGAGCGGGCCCGCATGGTGACGCTGCACGGATACATAGAAAGTAAGAGCCAGCAATGGCAGCGGGTGCCTGGTTGGGGTGGCAGGGCGGGGGGATGGCACCGCAGCACAGAGCGCTGTCAAACCCACCCTGGTGCTGCGGGTGCGTGGCTGGCGCATGAGCTGCTGCTCCTCGTGCTCTGGTGATCTGTGTCTTTGGGGGTTTCTGAAGGGCTGTTAACCAGGAAGCCCCAGATGAGAGGAGGAGGAGGGCAGAGGGGCTGCTGCAGCCTCTTTCCTTCCGTACCTCATCCCCAGGAAAGTCACTGCCCGGGTTTTACCTGCCTGGTCCGCGGCCCTCCTCGTGTTTTCTTTGTCATGGAGAAGAGATGTGAATGTGCCCTGTTGAGCTCGGTGGTCAAGTGGTCTCCTTCCTGCTCACAAGATCAGAGTTGCTTTTCCTAACGGTTGCTAAGCGCCAGTGCATCATTTGTGAGTGGTGGGCAGCTTTGGTCACTCCTGGATGGAGGTTTTGGCTCCATGAGGCTTTTCCCCTCCCTTGCCCATGTGAGCTGTAGTAAAACATGGCTCCTGCTGCCTCTCTGCCTGATCCACTGGGTACCTCTCCTTCCATGCGTGTCCCAGGCTGCTTCCCATGTGGGAGCCTGACCGTGCCGGTTGCAGGGTGTGTGTTGTTTGTAGTAACAGAGGCTGAAGCCTCTTCTCATCCACAGGTCAGGTACAGTGTGGACAAGTGCACTGTAGACTCCCCTACACTGCTCCACCAGTGCACCTCAAAGCAGACATGGAAGGACCACTATCTAATAGGGGTGAGAAGGTAATTGTAGTCCCTGTTTCAGGCTTTGGGGCCAAACCTCCACTGTAGCAAAGATTTTTGTGTACCATCATTGCCACTGCTGTCTCTTGTCAGCATCACTGCTTCTCCATGATCTCTGGCAGCTGCTGCCCACTCATGTGTCTTTCCTTAATTTTGGTGGCCCTAGATTGATGTACCAACTGTCGGTCAAAACGGCATCACTTTGTTCTTCACTGAATACCCCTCGTTGTTGTGATGTGCTGGGGTTCTGTGCCTGCATTCACGGAAGGCTTTGGCATCTTCCTACCTAAACTCTCTCTCTGATTTTCCATGAGTTAATGGAAAAGATTCATTTCTTGGGGATTCCAGTATTGCTTAAAAAAGGAACAACTGGCTCTTACAATACCTGAAGTAGGAATGTTATTTCACAAGGCCTGGCCAGGAAACAATATTCATAGACTCATGGACTCATATTGCATGTTGATCTGTTCTGCTCAGCACTTAAAGCATCTGTCTGGTCTAACGCAGCTTATTTGGGGGCAAGACTTCTGAAACATGCTTTAGGCTCATAAGACTTGATTTGTGATTCTAGTTCAAGTGACTTCATTTTGAGGAAACACTAAACCTTTGGCAGCTCTTACTGGTTTTAGCTTTTGTCTTTACTGTTCGAAGTTCGCAGCATCTCTCTTTTCAAATCTCTTTTCAGTGCAGCAATGGGTTTTTGATCTCTGTGTTGATAAGCACAAGCAGGGGCACAGCAAAGGTACTTTTTCAGTCTAAATGCTACCATTTAGTCATGATAACCTGCACAGTGAGCTGGAGGGTTTGCAGGAAAACCATGATACTGTCCTGTCATTCAGAGAAACTTCCTGCAGCAAGGAGCTCCTGTGATTTAAATACAATCACTTGCTCACAACTGTTGCAAAACTGGGTTCTTGGGACATGGAGCTGCCCCTAACCAGCTCCTTTTCCAAACGATCAATCCCTTGCATGTTGAATTCTTGAAACCTGGAGCAGCCTTTTTCCACATCCAATGTTTTTTAAAAGCAATGATAGCTGAGATCCTGGGAAAACACATGTAAATGCAAAGTCTCTGTTTCCCCCTGCACATAGGGCATCTCCCTCCTCCTCTCCTCGAGGAGTACCCAGTGCAGTGGCTATGGGAGAACTGTGTAGTGACCAGCTCTTCCCCTGACTGATAGTGAGGACAGACGCTGTATGTGCAGAGCAGTGAGGCGTAGTGGTTTAAGGGAAGCTTGCGTTGATCAGCAAGGGAGGTGGATAGAGCAAGGACTGTTGTAATGGCCTTCACCTTTCTTGGTAGCTGCTGTATCACAGAACGAAGACATCAAATCCAGTTTACAGCGTGTTGCACAGGCTGAGATGGTTTCACAGCTACAGCTGTGCCCGAGGTGCACTGTTCTCTTAGGGTTTGTGCTGCCATAGTCCCGTTCCTCCCGCATGGGCTCCTTGGCTGCTGTGCCTGCCTTCCCCAGCCAGCTCCGTTCCATGGGCAGGGCTGGCGGATCCCGGGCAGACAGTGGTTCCAGAGGGTTTTTCCATGAGGAAGCGGCTGCCGCAGTGGAGCACGTCTGTCCTGTTGGTCGCTGAGAGCACATTTCCATGGCGAGGGCTGTCTGTCTGTGTCTGAAAGCAGCTAACGCTCGGTTCACGTTTCTCCCACTAGGTCATCCTCTTTCAGTACTGACTGCGCGAACTCTTCCTCATCTGCCCATGGCGCTACCAGCACCACTGCCCCTCAGCCGCTGAAACCCAGCGTCCAGCCCAAGGCAACTGTTATCAGTCATGCAGGAGAAACTCAGACCCAGCATTCTCAGTTCTTGCCATTGACCAGCACCTAACATCCACTATTATTTCTCCAGCGCCACTCTGTGTATGTGTGTGTTGAGTGCAGAGTTCCATTTTTCACTTGTTTCTTGTGGACTTGTAGAATGACCGTGAGTCTCTCCAAGGCAATGCCAGACACAGTCAGAAGTAGTGACTCTACTGTGCTTGCAACTCTTGCTCCCAAACCCATGGGAATACGAACAAACCAGAACATGCTGAGTCTCGGGGAGGGGGTCGATGATCACCTCTTGAACATAAAGGAAGGAGGAATTTACGTGGTTTGGCCTGATTCTCGTTTTGCACCAGTGAAGCGCTGTCGGTTCCCGGACGTCCCTCCCGATTTCCACTTGCATGTGTGAAATCTGAAATGAGCTTTTTGGCTCAGCAACGTGATATATACACAGATCTTCCTGAGCCAAACTCGCAGGTAGCTGAGACTCCACTAAGTGGAAAACGTTGATGCCAGCTGGAAATAGGCAGTTTTTTCTTCCTCCTCAAAGTGCTTTAGAATCACTTGTCCTTTGATCACTCTAAGGTAAGTAAATCTTAGTGGGTTTTCCCCCCCGTTTTATAGGAGGGGAAACCAAGGTGTCCTAAACTGGGAAGAACCGTGGGGGTTGGCGGCAGAGCCAGGTTGAACACCCTGAAGTTTTTGATTGCTGACTTGTTCTTAGAACACTGAGTATCTCTCTCCTTCTCTCCGAGCCATCTGCCAAATCTTGTTTTTTTACTCTTGTTCTTCATTAACAAGCTACTTTAATTCCTTGAAGTCACGTTGGATCACAAATGGGTGGTTGCAGAATGTACCTACACAAACCCCTCAGACACTCCATACGCTGGGAGTGGGAAATCCTCAATGGAAGCTGGTTGTGAAGGCCTAGAAATGTTCTGCCCTGGTGCGGACCCAAGTTCAGTCGGTGGGAACCGTGGGGTAGAAATGGGAGATTGGTTAAAAGGCAAAACCCTCGGCAAAGCCAGCAGGAAGAGTCCTAGCTGAGTGGACATATTCCTTTGTCTGGCAGCATCGTTCCCATTCCCTCTGCCCTCCTGTTATTCCCCATTGCTGGAATATGGCTGTTGCTGCTGCCAAGTCCTTGGAGGAAGGCGCAGCCCGGGAGGACTGCTGCTGGCGGGGCAGGCACCGCAGGGCTCGTCGCAACAGCAAAGGAAGTGCTCAGCAATCTGGCCCTAAATCAGGAAAAAAGCTCTGAAATGATCCTTCATTGATGGCAATAACAAAAAGTAAACACGTAACCTTTGCCAGCCCCTCTCAGTTTGCACCAAGCCAAGAGCAGGTCTGTAACCAAACCTCTCTCCACGCAAGCACACGGGTCTGTCTTGCTGCTAAGTGTCTGTGAGGCTGCGTTTCCGAGAATGTGAAAGCCTACTATGAGCCACAGTTAGTGTGTAATATGATTGAGCTGTGCCTGAGGACCAGGAGACAGGAATCCACCCGTTGCATAACTTGTTTTTAGTTTGAACTCCAGATACGTGTCTTTTTCTCCGTGCATCAATCTCCATTGGGTAGGCAGCCGTCCCAAAGGCTTGGCCAGCCCCTATTGCACACGTGGCAAGGCTGTGCCCGTGAGCTGTGTGTGACACCCATGGCCAGACATGTGGCTCCAGCTATAATCAATCACAAGGTGCGCTAGCTGCTCTGACCTCATGGGGAACGGCATCAGGAGATGTGGATGTCTGATGAGGTGGCCACCAAGAGGTCTTTGAGAAGTAACTGAGTACAAACGTGCATTGATATTTGTTGGAGCAAATATATATATTATATATATATGTCTGTGTATGTATGTATGTATGCACACGCAGAGGTTTGTGTGTGTGTATATATATATATATATTAAAAAAATACAGAGAGACAGAGCGTGATGGTAATCCCTTGGACAGTAAGGCCAGTATTCTATCTGCAGCTAGCAGCTCTACCCCCAGTTTAAAATAACATTTGAAATTAAGTCCACAAAGTAGTATTGTCACCTCCTGACATGTGAATAACTATTTCCAGTGTGCAGCCAGTGACAAGGCACTCCCTTATGCCTGACCTGACTAGAGCCGCCGCTACAGAGGTGTCCCCTCAAGGAGGGGACAGTCACCAGTTGTACCCATTGCAGTCATTGTTGTCCTTTTTGTAGCCCTGAGGGAAGGATGGGTGTCCCTTTGTTGGCTGTTGGTGGTGTTTGTTATTGCAAGGCTGGGGTGGATTGCTGTGTCTGCATGCAACAGCTTTAAGATGCTGGTCGTGGTCGGCAGGGTCACTTCTCCATTTGTGCTCACACATCCTAAAGAGCGTTTCGTTGTGGAATTAGTGCCATAAATGAAGGGGTAGTTGTTTGGTTTAAGACCGAAGGAAAGACTCCAGGCTGTAACTTGACCTGACCACAGTACTTGAGATTTCCACAACTGTTTTGTTGAGGGAGAAAACGTTTTTCTGATGCATTTCTCTTCTGTCTCGGCGGTGCAATGAAAGGGAAACTATTAAATATGTATCTGCTCAATATCAACTTCCTGATCAAAAAGAACTCCACTTGTGAAATGTACTGTATAGCAAAGTGTGTGTAACTGATACCACTGACAGGACTGGAGTGCAAAGCAGAGGGAGCATCGGTGCTTCTCTCCAGTGGAAGTGGACTCACCACCAGCCCGTGGGGTGAACTGCCCCGCACAGATTGTGCTCCGGGGCACTTCCCCCCATAAGTAGCCAGGAGCAGCTTTGCTAATTCAGAAATCAGGCTCTGTTTATATTAAGCCCAAATTGTTTGCAAAAACTGGAAGCAATTCAGCTTGTGCAGTTTTAGAGCTAATTATGTGTATGGAAAATACTCAACTGTACCAAGAATGTAAGAAATCCTCTAATTTATTCAATACATTGTTTCACAACATATTTCACACTGACTGTTGCCACTGAACCAAACCTTATCTCAGGTCATTTGCATTCATCTCCTGTCTGTAGATTAAAAAAGAAAAAAACCCCACAAATAAAATGAAACTCATTCTCATTTTCTTAGTTTATTCAGTAATTGCCAAATGGGTTCTGGTGCAGCGATGCAGACTCCACGGACTAAACTTTTCCAGTTGCTATTTCAAAACCTTTTGCAGAAACAAATCCAATGAAGATAGCCAGTGAAGGCTTTTCACTCGAGTTTAATGCGGTAACTAAATAAGGCGAGGGTCTGAAAGTGGAATGGTTTACAGTTTTATTACCAGTTCTTTTTGGTTTTGGCTCATGCTGGTTAACCCCAATACCCGAGCTAAAGGTGCTTACACAACTTCTTAGTAGGGATGGGGGAGTGGGAACCAATCCTGCACTACTATCAGTGATACATCTGTAGGATGCCAACTATAGACACGTCAGTTTTATCTCATCTGCCAATCATTTTGTTGTAGCATGTTGCAATTCTGCATGTCTTGGCTACAATGGTTAAACAAGAAATTTCTCTGAATGAGTGGACAGTCAAGACTAATATTTATTTTAAAAGAAGTAAAACTAAATTGTAAGCACTTTTTTGTAAAACCAATGTCTGTTTTGTTACATACTTTTAATGTTGTGCTTTGTAAATGTCTTATTTGTGTAATAAATAAAGTTAATGCAAGTAGAAGTGCTGGCACTTACATCCAGAAAATGATGTAATTCCATTTTATTTTTTTTTAAATACTTTCTGGCTTACTAATCAAGCAGCAACCCACCCAGTTTTCCTCTTTTATTATTTTGTTAAACTCTGGCTTCAGGAGAGTTCAACAAATGTTCGTAGTAAATGGATATAATTTCCTAGTTAGCAAACCAGTCATTAAAGAATACCTCTGGTGTACATTATTACAATGATCAATCAATATCCAAGTACTGAGCAAAAAGAGAGGAAAGGAATTCACCAGGACAGCTAACTAAAATCTGGGGAAATAATGTTGATTAAGATGGATTTGAATGACTTCAACACTGAATCCAGGCACACTCTTTAACAAATTGTTTTCAGGCTTAATAAGGTTTATATATACTACACTACATGCAGGAATATTAGTGTGAGTACAGTCTGCTTTTTTTCCATGGATTTTTCTCAGCATGACTGATTAAATGATTATTTCCAGTTTTGTTTGTGCTGACAAAGATGACAGAAAGATTATATCCCTGTGGAGGGAAAGGGGGAGACAAATCCACGAGGACAAAGGAGATTTATTGTGAATCAGATTACCTGCTTGGGAATATTGTCAGCTAGCAAAAACTGTTTTCATGGTTTTGGTTGATGCTCACTTGTCTCATCCCAAGCTTGTCGGCAGGTCTGAATGATCCATTCATGCTCCTCATTATCTAAAATGGAGATAAAGAGAATGTCAGATATCACCATGTCAGATCTGCTCTTTGCAGCAGTAGGGCCCAGCTCCAACAATTTTTTTCTTGTGAAATAAATCCATTTTTAGCCATTGGCATCTCTTAGAACCCATTGCTTTATTTCTCTAAAATATGGTGTGCTGTTGTGTTGGAATTTGTCAAGGCAGGAGGTACTGGATCTATGGCAATGACTCAGGTTGTTTGTCTGATATGAATAGCTTGGGTGAAACTGAGATTTACATGAGTAGATTGGATTTTGGGGTATTTTGGCTGGAGATGTGCAGGAGATGTGTTGAAACTATCAGAAATGAAGATACACATGCTTTAAATACCATGTCTGTGTTGCTTGTCAGTTTATGAAAGGTGATGGTGAAGTCAAACCCTTGGTTTTCCAGCTTTTCTTTCAATGCTGTTTTGACATGTACTTCATGACAGGTATCGATAAGCGGATACAGTGGCTGATAGATGTATGTTAGACCATCTTCTGTGTCCCTTGTTAGTATTCATGGCTGTCATGTTTATTGTCAGAGCATAATGACAGTGTGGGAAGAGAAAAAAAAAATCAAAGACAATGTAGACAAGAACAAGTGTCCAGCAAAGTCTGAACAGAAATTTTGTGTATGATTACAAGTAATAACTTGGTACATGTTAAGTTGTGGCTTTTAAATCCAGAGATTTAAGCATTCTGCAGCCTTTCATTTTGTGTCTGTGTAGGAGAAAAGAGATTTGTGTAGCAGACCAGGAAAAACAAAACTTCAAAAGCCTTCAAAAACCAAATCAAAGCATTACTTAAAACAACACCTGTATTCATTTTTACATAAATGAAATATGTTAGAGCTGCTTCTTGTGTGTACCACTGTCTTAACAAATTCATATCAACTGCTTGTGATGCATGTCCCTAACCTGCTTCCATCTAAATTTTAAGGGGTTTGTAGAAGCCCTTATTACCTGAAAGAACAGAATGATTGCAATAAGGATGGAGCCAAGGGGTTTGTAACTCTGGTACTGTGGGCATTGCTTGCCATAGTGCATAATCTCCTTTATTTACACAGTGCCCTGCACTGAGCACCCTGCTTAGGTAGGTCCAAAAAGATGGAGCAAGAAGCATGTTGCTTGTAAGGAGTCACATTTTCATGGAGATCTTTTGACTGTGCAGTTGTACCTTTATGTTAAAGCGACACAGGAGCATTTGAAATGCAAATGGTAGAAGGGTTCTGGGAATGAAGTTGTGCTATTGAAGAAGTGAAAGTCCATAGAAGAGCATGTGATAAATTAGGTCTGATGCACAAATCCTTAAGTTTAGAGGTTAATCTCATTGGTTGCAGTGGGGTTTGAATCAAGTCAGCTTGGTCTTGGCTTTTTTGATTCCTTTTTGTTCTTCATGCTACCCTCCCCTTTCTCTCATTCCTGAGTTGAGTGCATGCCTTTGCTTCTCGTGAGGTGCTGCTCACAGGCAGCTCTCCTGGCATCCTGGTGAAAGCAGCCTGTGCCAAAGCATTTATCCCTTGTCTGAATGGCAGCACTTCTCTGCCACCCTTGACAAGCAGTAAGCAGAAAGGTTGGTAAATCAGAGGAGGTTTTCCCTAAGTGCCTGCTCTCCAGTTTGCTCTTTGCATGCAGCCACTGGTTTCCAGACAAAGTGCTTGCTTGTGCCGACTGACCCTCTTC